TCCATCAGCTGTTGAACTCAAATTGTCTCCAGCAGTCAGAGCAGGTAGCTTTAAAAGAAGTTTTTGTCTAGTAATTCTCAGATGTGGGAATTATTACTCTCTGTTTACTTGCATACATCTACAATGTATTGACAATTAACAAGTCAGCATTAAGATTTTCCAAGGAAATTATTTTTGAAGGTACTTTTGTGCTGAGCTATATTCCAGCTCATTTCTTCTTTTCCAGTTTGGCAGAAGTCTCCACTTGACAGACTTACCTTGCTGATGTTATTTTAGGTATGAGAAAGCTGCAGTGTGACATGGATGAAGCAGAACGTGTTAGAGCGAGTTTGTAGTGAATTGGAAAAGAAAATAAAAATAAAAACGGAATGGATTTAATGTTCAGGTTAACAGTGCAGTTATAGCTGTATTGCATTTAGCTTAAATAAAAATAATATTATACCTGCAGCTCCTTTGAAATACTGTGTCACCTGCAGTAGAGTGCTGAATGCTGCCTGAGCTTTAATTTGTTGAAGTTTCAGTTAAGCAGTGAACTAGGGTTGAAAAAGTAATTTGTCTGAAAGTAAACTGCCACTATTTATCAATGTTTTTCTCTGTCTGGTCTCTTCTGTATGTTCACAGGACCTTTCCCAAAGCATTCTCATGTGCCTGCTGTAATCTGCAGAATTTTGAGCAGCTCTCAAACACACAAGTACAAGGTGTTTTTAATATAAAATAACCTATGTGTTTTACTATGATAATTTGCTGCTGTACCTATTCTAGTTTATTTTCCTTGGACTTAGCCATCCTAATGAGATACTGTCGGTTGTTTAATGAAGTCTAATTTTTCATTTGTTTTAATGAGTTAATTCAGCAATCAGTACAGTGCTTTGGTCTAGCAGACTGTTCATAGGAGAGTAAATAGGATCAGATCATGCAAATGCCTATCTCTGGGCTCTGTTAACAAGTTTAGAATTGCATTACTATATTTTGCCTTCCTAGAATTCTTTCATGAGATGGTAGTGTTTGATTTCCTTTTGAATAATCTGAAACATCCAAATGTAGTTGTATTACATCCTTTTAAAATCAATACTGTTTAGGTAAACATAAGTGGGGTGATAGAGTGTCAGCTTTCAACTGAGGAATTAGTAGTTGTTTCATATACTCAATATGTTATGTAGATAATTTTTTTGAGAAAAAAATATCATTAAACATTGTCCAAAAGGAGAGATAATAGTGTAGAGGAAAGTTCAGGAAATGTTGGTGAGTGTTTTTCTTGGAATCTGTGCAGTGCAGTATAGTTTTGTCTTTCAAGTTGTTTGACGTGCTGGCTACTAGTGTTTAGCCAGTGCTGAATGTGTTAAATACTCTTACTGATAATTAAGGCAAGGTCTATTACTGCATGCCAATTATGAAAAAATAAAATCTGCCATTTGAAGGAATTAAGTTTACCAACTTCAGGCAAAGGTTTATTTTATTACTATCCCTTTTCTGCTCAACAGAGAGAAAACCTCCAGTACCAGGTTCCTGATCTGTTTCTGCAGAGTGTAGGGAGAGAAAAGAGCAGCTGACTTCCCAGCTATAAACATAACCTTTGTGAATTCTCTTTTTCGTGTTGGAAGAAGTCTTAATTGTGGAGACTTAGTATATATTGAGTGCATATATATAAATACAAACGTGGAAGATAGTTTCTTTTGGCTTCCTTTGGAAGCATCATTCAGGTGATTCCTTCTGTTTGGTGTTGCTTTAGTGCTTTTAGCCTGGACATGAGTCTCTTTGCTTTGACTGTTTTCAGAAGCTGTGTGCTCTTTCAGCAGTGTGGTGAAGCTGACTGCCTGTAGATTGAATTTAGATGCATGCATGTTGGGGAAAAAAGTTTGTTCCCACTGATAGTTATTAATGAAAGGTCTGTAACCAGACTGGGTCTGTGGTTTTATGGTGAAAATACGATTTGAAGGTTCTCCATCCAAATCTGTATTTTTCCCAGTTTGTAGTCTTGTGATGTATGTTTTAATCAGTAAAATTCAATTCCATGTTGTTAAAAAGTGCTGTTTTCTTTTTCTGAAGGACTTACATAGTAGTTGAACTTTGAGCTTCTTTTGTTTCTGCTCACCTTAAAATGCTGGGCTTGAAATTGGCTATTTAAGAGCTTGTTCAGAAATAGGCTTCATGCATCTGTCTCAAGGCAATGGCACATATATCAGATGAAGGAGTAAATAGAGCAGGTATGACCTGATTGGTTTTGGTATCCAATTTCTATGTGTTCCCTGGTAGAATCACAGCTGACAGAAATGGAGTGGTGCCAAAACCAAAATGTTACAACTGGTTTTGTGTCACTTCTCAGACAGAAGACTGTATTTATTAAAAGTAATTGTCTCATGAATAAACACTTCTACTTAGATGCTTTCACCCAATGGCTTCTTAGATGCTTGCAAAGCCTCAGGTACTCTTCTTAAACATGCATTTCCTGGTGGTGGCTGAATTCAATCACTGCCCTGTTCTTCAAGAGGATTTTTTCAGCTTGTGACACTCCTCTATCATAATACGTTAATAAAGTATGAAGTAGCCTTAAGAATATATTAGAATGCAGGAGACCCTGTTGGTAAGCAAAGCAGAAACATCTGGATGTGAATTGGGGAGGTTATATTCTAACTTCTGCTGAAATTTTGGCAGTAATTTTAGGATTTGTTTCTTGTGCCATATGGTTATGTCTGGAGCCCTGGCCACGCTACTCGGGATATAAAAGACAGCCTTGTTTTTAGTGGTTGTTGGACATATCGCTTAAGTACTAAGTTGAACTAGCATTTTAAAAGCAAATGATAGGTTTGTGAAGGAATGTAGTTTTGGTTATAGCCAGAAATAAACTCAGCTGTTTAGCAACTATGCCCATGATGGCAGTTGGACTCAGAGGTCAGATCTTGCTGGAAGAAAAATATTCCTTTTTCAGTATCCTAAAGTGAAAAAAAAATGGCCAACAGCCAATTGTGAGTGAATACAGATGTTGTTTACATGATTTATCATATGGTGATGGCAGCACATGATGAAGATGCTGTTTCGTAGAGTTCATGGGCTGTGTCAAAAGGCTTTAAGTAAATAGAAGTGAATGTGACACTGGAGATTTTAGAACATAAACTTTCTGTGAGTAGTTAAAAGAAGTTAATATGCTCTGTTTGTGGGAGGAAAGTAAACCACAAATTTTCCTGTAATAATTCTAATGTTTTAAATAGCATGAATTGCACAAGTAGGATACAAGAGAAATATTTGTTAAAATCTTCATGAGCTTTTTTGCATCCTGAACTGAATTCAGGGGGAAAAGAACGGATTAACTGAGTAAATTTAAACACAAAACTAGACATCAACACTAACGTAAGTAGCTATTTTTTTCTAAGTCCCATTAGAATGCTATTTCCTTTAAAAAATATCTTTGTTTTTTCTTTAGAATTACTTATCTTCTATTATTTCACATTAAAGTTGCAAAGGAATAAGACAGTTTGCTGTTAAGTAAGATGCTAAGACCAGGAGCGTTCTCAAAGAGATCACAGCAAACCTTTTCCTTCTCTTTAAACCTTTCTAACCTGTCCTTGGAGGCAATAAAAAGCATGTCAAGTGCAGTATGTCCTGAGAGATCATCTGTGGGACAAGAATGTCCTTTTCTGCTCATGGTTGTACAGCTTTCTGGTGGGTCAGTCATTCTTCTTCCTTGCCACTGCCTGTGGCAAAGAGATCTTCAGCCTTTGTGGGTTGTGAGAAATTTTGGATCTTCTTTTTCCTTCAGATGCGGGAAAAATGTGGGACACTTTTCCTAGTTTACAGACTTCTGGCGTTTGCTGCTAGTGTTTTCTTTGCTGCTTGGTAGGCTCATTTCGTTTGTGCTGAGAGATGCAAGTTACACCTTTGTGGTATGAGATACTTTCTACAAATTTTGGAATCACTAAAGCATGTCAGTTTAGTATCTGAATGAGTTTTGGAGGAGAGTAAGAAACAGCTAGGAGAAGTGAGCCTTTCAAGCTGAGTGGACTCTATCCTTATTAGGGTAAGGACTATAAAGTAGGTTTAAAAAAAAAAACAACCCACAAAAAAAAGGGACCAATTCAGCATATTTAAAATGGCACCATTAGCCATTCAGTGTGCGCCAATCTTGGCAACTTTCCTGGTCAGCTCAATGCGTATTGCGTGCAATCAAATACTCCTTTTTAATTGGGAGCTTATTTAGCTGCATAACTTGAGCACCATAAGGTTTGAATGTCTTGGCCTTTGCATCCATTTCACTTGTACATCAAAATTCTTCTGAAACAATTCTCACATCACGTTTTTATAGAAAGTAAGGTTGGTGTTCCTTAAGAGGCAGAGCTGTGATGTTACAGTATCAGGAGGTTAGTCTTTCAAAGACTTATAGTATAATAAATCGAGACCAAATGTATTTGTGGGTTATTTAAAAACCATATTCTCAGCCACACAAAAAGAGCGAACACATTCATTTGTCTCAAATGCCAAGAGACTGGATTTCTGCCCACATGCCTCAACATGTGACTCTTGCAGAAATTCAAGTATTTGTATGCCAAATCAGGTACAGACAACTATCCATTAGTCATGTGACCCTCTGCCTGCACATATATGTGTGTGTGTATGTGTGTCTTTACATGTGTATCCATATATGTATATATAAACACACTCATAAGTATAGTCTTAGCTTTGAAATCTGTCTTGCCCTTCCAAATTGATCTGTTTTCTTGGTTCACAAGTTAGGGAAGCTGGGGAAAGAGCTGCAGGGAGCAGTGTGTGGACCCCTCGAGAAAGTGATCTGTTCTTGAATCTTCTCCATCTCAAATCTGAGGGTGTCCTCTTTAGGCAAAGTGTTGCAGGTTGGAAAAAGGCTGGCTCCAGTCTGTGGGAGCTGGCTCCCTTCACACTGAATAATAGGAATAAACATAATAAACTGAAGTCTGTGTAGTGAATCCTGATGGCTTACTGAATTTGTATACAAAGTTTTTTTTGTTTACTTTATTTTTTTTTTCTTACAGGAAATACTGGATAAATCCCACAATGGAAGACGGGAAGCCCGTTTGGGCTCCACACCCAACTGATGGGTTTCAGATGGGGATGATTGTGGACATTGGCACCGACAACTTAACTATTGAGCCCTTGAATCAGAAAGGCAAGGTAAGTGTCTCACAAACAAAGGAATAGAGAAAAAACGTACAATAAACCATTTTACCTGTAGGCCAAATCTTTGCCAGTATCAATTACACACAGCCTGAAGGCATGGAAAATCAGTTTTCTGTTCTAAGTTTGGCTAAGGATCTTTGCTTAGCTTTAGCTTGTATTGCAATGAACCCTCACACTGACAAGAAGTGTGTACTTTCTGTCAATTATCTGCATGTGCATTGTGCTCATGAAAGACAGGAGGTTTGAATCTCTGTAGCCATTTGATTCAGTACTGTATGCTTTATTTTTCTAAATTAGAGACTGATTAAGAGCCTACTGTTGAGATTGGCTTACGTCTTTTCCCTTACATGCATAGAAATGGTCCTAGAGGGATGTGCTAGGCTCTGGCTAAGGTTAGACACCTTGTTATTAGGTTGATGAAGACTGAAAGATGACTCCTCTTACCTCAAGTACCTTGAGAAGTAACATGAAGTTAAACAAAGGTCCTATAGAAGTGCTATATCAAATTACAGTCAAAATAAATGTAACATTTAAAATGAAGACCTAATTAATCCTAAGTAGTGTGTTCCAACTGCTTCAATTATCGTGACATCTTTCAGATTCAGTATGTCATAATTTAATGTCAGTTTTTACAGGAAGCACCTTGTAGCTATCAATGATCCTAATTCAAATGGTCAGCATCCTGGGTTTTATGAGCTGGAATAAGATCAGACACTCTTAAAACTTGTGATTTCATTCTTTGTGAATATGTTTTATGTGCCCTTTCTAATAATTTTGTCCTTTCTGTATCTTCAAGTATGTAAAAAAGACAAAAACGTGTTTGCAACTTCTTTTTTCACGTATATAGTGAAATAGTAGAGAATGTCTTGTCACAGGTCAAACGGTTATGCAGCAGTCCTTCCTTTTGAAGCAATGTTTGTAGGCTTTCTTTTTTGTGCACCTTGGAGAGGAAGTTGATTTTGCTTTCCTTAGAAATACAAAGCAAGTGTAACATCTGATTTTTGAGTGTGAGAGATAAAGTCTATATGCTTAGTAGTAGTAGGAGCATGCATTCTTGAGTTTGGGGAAAAGCAAAATTATCCAGACAAGAATATTAAATATTCCAAATCTGCGGCTAAGTTGTCTTTAATTGACTTAAATAATTTTCACCCCCACTGCTACTTATGGTTATATCCCCAAATGGTCCTGATGCGATAAAGAGCAAAAGCCAGTACATTGAAACAGAAACAGGCAATAAGGGTACTTCTGAGTCAGTATTTATTTCTAATATACCCTCATTTCAGGGACCCTGTGTAACTAAGAACACCACAAACACAAAACCAAACCAAACAAAAACCCAACAACAAATCCTAATATATCCTAAAATACAGATATTTTGTTTCATGGTTCACAACAAAAAAATCTCTTTTGTCTAGATAGTTTGTTACTCTGCTGTTGGCTGTTTTGAATTAAGCAGATCAATTAAGGGCCTAATATTCATTCGTCTAAGGGAACAAACACTTCACAGTCTAAATGCTGTAGAGATTATGGTCCTATATTTTTAATTATCAGAGTTCCGTATATTAATAGAGGTGGAGTAAAAAGTTTTCATGATTACCTTCTCAGTCCTTTTTTTTAATAGTGAAACATTTCCCATTGCTTTTTGTCTTTTTAAGAAAACTCTGTTCCTATGTACTTAGGCCATTCATTTAAAGCAGTCAGCATTAATACCCATTATCATCAACTTTGTTTTCTTAAAATAATAGTTCAGAAGTGCTCTTCAGTAAGGAGTGATCTAGCAGCCCCAGAGTTGCTCATGATAATTACAGGGAGAAGAGGAGTAACCTGATCTTGTAAACATATCTGGGCAGTGTAACTTATTATTATTTTTTAATCTGGGTCATTACCATGTCATATGTATTCTCTGTAGGTGCTGGTAGCTTTACCAGAGGTCACAGGCTGAAAAGGAAATGTGTATGCATATGTTTGATTATTGCCTTTTATTATACTTCATGTTGTTAATAACTGCAATAAATGCCACAAGGCAGCAGTTTAATGTTCTCTTAAAATCCCCACTCCCTGCCCCACCCGTAGCTAGCTCTGGTGTTGCAGAGTGGCACCCTCTCGGTTCTGCCTGCTGAGCTGTGCATGACACTACAAACGAGGTCAGAAAACAGATCCACCTTAAAAATGAAGAAGTGGAAAGTTTTCAGGAGAGCAGCAAGCAGTGACAGGGATGGAGGAGCTGAGGTCACTGTGGTGGTAGATTGCTTTGTATTATGAAATCAAGTTACCCAGCCCAGTTTCTGTGAAGGTAGTTGGCCAACACACTGGTTCACTTACAAACCAGCAATAGTAGTTTTGGGTACTGCAGCCCATACCCAAGTGTTTACAGCTCTGTGGCAAGGCTGCCTGTCTTAAGAGAGGTGGGGATCTGGGTCACCCAGCCTGCACTGTATGAGGAACAATAATGCAAGCTGCAGGAGTGTGTTGCCTGAACAGATGATGCATGTGTTATACGATGGGAACCTCTTCTCAAAAAATAGATCATTGGCTTGCAAGGCTGATATGCATTTACACTTCTACTTGGAGTGTTTTCTCTCAGATCCTGTTGCTGCATATAGCTTTGTTTTGTTCCTTGATGCTGTAACGGAGAGAAGGCAGCTGACAGTGAAATGCCAAATGGGGAATTAACTCTTTTCCTAGAGGTAGCAAATCTAAGTAAAGTGATTAGGAAGAGATGCCATCCTGGGCTCCATGGGGCACTGAGGAGTGGGGGGCAGGCATTTCCTAGAACATCAGCAGTAATGAGTTTCTGGCAGTCATTGGGAAGGCGTGAGGTGCTGCAGGCACTTGCTGACACCCCTCCTGCTATCAGCTGAGAGGCACCTTATGGTTCTGTGCCAGTTCAGAAGGGTCATAGAGCGCTTTATGGGGCACCTGCTCTGGTATGCTGTGAGTAACCAGAAAGGTATTTTTTCAGGCTAAGTATAAAGGAATAAATGTACTTTGAAAGTAAGGATCAGAATGTCCAAAGTTCAATGCTTTGAGCTAAGGTGTTTGTATTTTTTTTATGGTTGTTTTTGTTTTGGTTTTTTTTTTTGTTGTTTGTTTTTTTTTTTAGCAGTGAGTGGAACTTGCTTGTGCAAACGAGAGATGTTCTCATCTGCCCTACACACTGTCTGTGCTGCTTTAGGTTGGTTAGTGAAATACAGTTGAGAGTAGGGAGGTCTCCTGTCTTTAACTGGAAGGTATAAAGGAGGGCATGGTTACATGTATTGGATTACATGGTAGAAAGAAGATCCTGCTTGAATGGAAAGATATCTTTTTTCACTTATCTAGTTTCTGGGAGAATAGTTAAGATTGCCATTGGCTTTCAAGGACTGGTTCCTTACAAAGAGGGGAAAAAAAACCACTTAAAAACCCACTTAAAAACACCTTAAACCCTGTTTTGTTTCCTGAGACCACTTTATTGTCTCATAAGACTAATACCCTCTCCAATTTCTTAGAACGAGCTTGTGCTAAGCTATGCTTAATGCAAAAGTCTTCCACTAAGTACCTGAAGCATTTTTTCCTTACATTAAACATTTAAAACCAGTAAAAATGGGACAATATAGTAAAGAATTTCTTTGCATTTTTTTATTGATAGATCTGGAATACCTTGCTCATTTTCGTATGTAAAATATTAGGTTTTAGTACTTGGAGCTCTGTACTTCTTTTGTATCATACTTACCTACATAAGAAGTAATCATTTTACATAAAGCAGTATTCGAACTGTGGCATACAGCAGTGGATTTTTTTGTTGACAACTTTGAAACTAGACTTATGTTCTTATCTAAAAAAGTCCAACAGGAAAACATCAGCTTTCAGATAAATCTTCATTTTGCTTTGTTTTATCACTTCTGAAATATTCTAGAAATTATTCATAACTTACATTGAATGAAAAATGGAGGCAAAAATGCAGCATGAACTCTTATTTTTTTTTCTCATTTAAATTTATCTTGAATCAGAAGGCTGAGTGGTGAGGACATTGAAAAAGCTCTTCCTCTTCTGCGATAGTTCTAGCATGGCTGACTTTAATTCCACAAATGTTAAAATATCAGAGGTTTATGAAGAGTCTTACAGAATAGCTGGTTATTGTGTTCATTCTCTCCTGTGGAAAAAAAGTCTGTCATTTTTAGTGGTTACACTGTTTTGTACTGGGTTACACATCAGCAGACAAGAACAAGAAATGAAGTTATATTTTCATGAAGTCGGTCATGTTTTTAAACTTTTCCACTGTTTCACACAAAGGGTAACTGTTGTGTTCAAATATATCTTTACCCAATGATATATACCTTCACTGTTGATAGACTTGTAGAGAAAATAATGATGATGATATGTTGTTACTGCTGTACTGTCAGAGGGAGAAAAGTGTGTGTGGGGAATCTCTGCTCTGCTAAAACTCTGAATATCAACTGGAAACTTCCTGAGGTAGGTAAAGACGTTCAGGGCTTCCATGGCTCTACCAGACTCTCATAAAGGATATTTTGGAGGAAGTTGGTCTGACAGACGTTCAGATGTTCCAATGTCATCAAGTAGCTCCATTTCCCTTAGGAAAGCTTCTTGTGCGTATTTTTCTGCATTAGATCCTGATAAGGAGATGACAAAATATATTTTATTATGGCTGCAAATTGCATACCTTATGATAACTTTGTAGGGAAGTTCTGCTTTGAAACAGTTTTAACCCTTCCCACTTCAAAGGGAGTTAGAATTTCTGACTGTTCATGATGGTGTAAGCCCCAGAAGCTCTCATACAATGCTGAAGCAAATATGAACCAAGTTGCTGTCTTTCTCCTAAACTTTCCTGCGAGATGTTTCTCAGGGCACTACCTTGTTGAGTACAGTGTTAAACAAGCAAACATGTTTGTTTGTTTATTAAATTCATTCCTTAGATCCCATTGGTTGCCTTTTCAAGTATGAGACTAGACTTCTTGTCTCCATTTCCATGGGGAAAGGAGCCTCTGCCTGCAGCGGCATGGCGGCTGTCATGTTTAATTGGCACAACAGGGGTTTTGTTCATTCATAGCTAGTGCAAACGAGCTATTACTACAGTAAACAGAAAAGTATAATTAAAAATCTCCCTTGTACAATAGGTATTTTTTGTGCAGATGCTGTAATGCATGTGCTGGGATGTTTTTCCTTCCTTTTTACAACAATATAAATTATGATTTCTGGAGAGGAAAGAAGAAACAAAGTTGCTTTTGTTATGAATTTTTCCAGTTGGATGTGAACACTTGATAAATGGCTGTTTTGTATAACTGGAATACAGGGGTTGAAGGAAGGTCTTGTTTTACTTTAGTATTGATTTATTGAATTAAAACCACCAGCAAACCACAACCAAAGCTACAGTATTTGGTGATACAGAGGATGTATGTATCGAACATTTATATTTTAAGTAGGAATATTTTAAAACAGAGTATGATAATGACAGCACAGTCCTTTGATTGAACTAATAATTTGGATTTTGTTCCTTCTTCTTCAAAAAACTGAGGAAGGTGTGTGTTATTTACAATGTTGTTCCCTTTGCAGTACTTTTTTAGTCTCTTTTTTTTTGTATTGCACATTATTACATGCAAATTTTGATACAAGGATCAAATATTATTGCAATAAAATGTGTATCACAGTGACTTCATTTTTATAATGTAGTGTAGAAATATAAATGCAGCAGCTTTTGTCTGCATCTAGTAACTTGGTAAAATTTCCGTTTCTGAAGTATAAAGCTGGCAACTTAGTTTTAAATCATGCACAATTACAGTGCACTGACTTGTATCATTGCATGGGATATCTTTGAACTATATTTGTATTTTATTTTCTGACAATGTTAATGTTTCTCATCTAACAGACCTTCCAGGCTGCTATCAATCAAGTGTTTCCTGCAGAGGAGGATAGCAAAAAGGATGTAGAAGATAATTGTAAGTTATGAATTTAAAAATAAATTATTTATTTGAAAAAAAAATCTGCAATGAAGAGAATATTGTTTCCTTACAAACTTCCTGTTGCTTCCTTGTAGTCTTTGTTTGAATTTATGTATGACCTTTACTAGTCCTTTAAACTTCTTAAAGTAAGCCTATTTTAAATATAATTTATTGTGCTTTTTAATTTTCAGTTGAACAGTTTAGAGGAACAGATAGTCACATTATTCCCATATACAACTGTTACTTGACTTCAGAAATACTGCATTCAGATTATGGGTCTAACAGTTTTTTATAGTGTGGCAAAAGACTTAGTTGCTTTATCAGCAGCTGTACTGTACAGCATTTTCCTGCATGTAAGACATTTTTTAGATAGCATTCCTGTGTAAGTACAGGTAATGGAAAATAAATTTTAAAAGAACCTTCCCAAAACTGGAGACAGGAATGTGGACCTATCAGGACCACTCGGAAAGAAAATAGTTGAACTGGGTACAGGAGTGCTGGTGGAGAAGGAGTTTTGAGGTGAACTTGTGTAATAAAATTCACTGTTAATGTGCAGGGCTTTTATTTCATTCAATATTTTACAGTTAGGTGGATGAAAACTGGTCAAATCTGGGGAGAGGGAGAGAATACCAAGAAAGCTGACTAAGCACTATCATCAGCTTTTAGAGAACTTTAAACAAATATTTTGCTGCTGCTGCTGCTCTGCAAATCACAGAGCCACTACTGTCTTGAATATCTGATGAAGGCAAGTCTCTTTAACATTCCCTGTAATACTTACTTGGTGATAATACTGGTGACTTCATAAATAGTGAGCAAAAGTATCTTCTATTGTTCTTCATTTAAAATAGAGGCTAGGAGTCTGGAAGTTATTTAGGTGATGTAACCCCAATTCCTGTCTTGGAATAGGGTTTAGTATTTATATCCCATGGCAGGAAATACAGCTGTTACAGCTGCTCCATAAGGAACAAAAAGATGAGATCTGAGTCTTATGACCTGCCTGAGGTGGTGCAGTGTTGTTATAATTAGAACCAAGCTGGTAGCCTTGATTTCAGTTGCTTATATTTTTGCAAACAGGATGTGGGTTGAAATTTTTCAAAGTTGGTGTCTGTATTCTCTGCACATAATGATTGTTAGGGAAATGCATTTAACCTGTGCATCTGTCACAATGATTTTACTGAGATGTCCTGGCACTTCAGTGTCATAGTCAGGGAATCAAAATTTGGAATGAGATTATGGAAATAATTTGAGATTGCATCAGAACACTGTTCAATTAAATTAGTCATCTTTAGCTTACCAAGTAAAAGATAAAACTTAAAAATACTTTTTTCCAGTAAACCTGTCTGAATCAAATATTATTTTGACTTTTCTAATGTATTTTCACTTGGTGCTCACTAGTTGAGGTTTACCTGCAGGATGTGTGAATCCCAAGTTCATTTTCCTTCTGTCAGAGAGCACTTGTGGTGAGTGTTATTGATGTTTAAGAAAAAAACTATACTGAGTGCTCGTAATACTGTTCCAAAAAATCCTGAAAGACTAGTTAATAATATGCTTATCATTCCAAGCTATACTTTACTGATTAACTCCCTTCTAGGAACTAATTTACTGACGTATTGCTTTTTTGCACCCTTAGTCTTCCATGTGCCAAATGCGCTAGCTGCAAGAGACACCTTCCTTACTATCAAGCCCATCCTCAAATGAGAATTTTTAGTAAATATTGCAAACAGTACAGAGACAACACATTTACTTCTTTTTTCACGATTCACACTCCTCTTTGAGTCCCCCCAAGCCCCACTCATACATGTTACTATATGTGGAACTTCTTTTAATAGCCAAGAAAAAGATTAATTTCTTTTAAACTTCTGGGGTACAAAAAAATGAAGGGGGACAGGGTATCAGATAAGACTTAAACAAAAACCCCCAGTTCTATATATGCAGAGCCTTGCAATTACTTGATAAAATCATTTTCCATACAAACCCTGACTCACTGTGTGTGCCAGGAGAGCCAGTGTGAGTAAATTTGACATTGATATTTCCTAGCTTTTAGTGCTTCACTTCACTTATGTGAACTTAGTGTGTGTGTATAAGTAAATATATGGACAACTGAATGCCCATATGTACACTGGCTATATTTAGGCATGAGCCATGTGAATAGTCAGAATTCTCTCCCTCTCTCCCAGTGACTTCCTTTGCCTCTGGATATGGATGCCTCTTTTAAAGGATTTATTCTAGAGAAGCATTTCAAAGCTGCTGTCATAAGCCCTAGTTTGCATGTCTTGAGCGGAGGTGGTGACATTCCCTCTGGGAGCAAGCTCCCATTTGCTCCCTGAGTCTGCAAGTATAACTGCTTTAACAAGGACTTGTAAAGAGAATACTGGGGACAAAATGAAATCTGGGTTTCTTTGCTGTTCAGATAAGCATGCTAATAAATAGTCGATGATTAACTGATCACTGTTTCCTTTAAAATATACTGCAAACCCTGAGAGGTTATTATGAAGATACACAGTCAAGGGAGTCAATGGACAATTGTTTCTCACCTCAGTACTGAGAATCCGAATGGCTTCATTTTGAAATTTGCTAGTTTTTTAACACCCTGTTTCCTCCCAGGCAATACAGGCGGAGAGAAGGAGACTTTAACTTACGTTAGAGCAAACCAGAGTTTCTCTTTCTGGCCCATTTCCTTCTAATGTCTCTTTCTCTTGGGATTATCTCATTAAAAGAGATGAAGGCAGACCTGCGATTTGTGGTCTCAGAACCATTTTCTCAGCTATGTGAACTGAGTGTGCCTGGGGAGGGGAGGACTAGTCCTGCTGTGCAGCGCTGGGTGTCTGCACTTGGTTGCTGCACCTACCAGAGACTGTGGAGTTGTGTGGGAATGTGTGTTTGCTGTGGTGGCAAAGGAAAAGCCATGGCGATGGGGGCCACCCTCCTGCTTCATGAAGGAATTGTGCACAGGCATGATTTCAAGGCTGTTGTAATCCAGAGGAAGAGTTTGCTTAGTGTAAAGCTAAAGTGTACCTTGTGTGCCTCTGCCAACACAGGAATATGAGTGCAAGGGATTTTGTGGAGGAAGATGGTTTCTTTTGACCAATCCAGAAGTGGCAATGTCCTTTGAGAATCATGAATGATTCCAGGCATTTGAAGCAAAGCTGTCATGGAGGCGAAGGAAGGGCTGTTACTCAGTGGAGCTAAGCAAGCCAAAGGGACGCTGCAAATGGTTGGTGGACCTGACTTTACTTCAGGCATCCTTGTGGAGGTGGCTGCATAGGTTGACTTTAGGTCAATGAACTGGCAGCCCTTCTTAAATGTTTGTGTAAATAACTTGGAATACTTTTTTTTTTTTCTGCTGGAGCCCTTGAGAAAGGGTATCAGTTCAACTTCAAACAACTTTGTTGGTCATTATAGATGAGAGGTGCGTATGCAACCCTTGTGTAACATACAGGGTAGAAGTTACTGTTAGAGATTCACAGAATCAATCAGGTTGAAAAAGACCTCTGAGATTGAGTCCAAGCTATGACCTAACACCAGCATGTCAACTTGACCATGGCACTAAGTGCCACCTCCCGTCTTTCCTTAAAAAGAAGAGACATTACAGGACAGTGCTTACTCCATCCACAGTATTCAGACGTATACAACTTTTAAAGTGGTGCTAATACTGCTAAGTTTACAAGTATGGCAGTCAATCAGTTGTAAGTAGACAAAACAGTGTTGTGCAGGTGAATTTTAAGCAGCGAGATAAAAAGAGTTGCACATATTTGAAAATGGAGGCTGTGTAATGAGTAGTGACCTCAGATGGTTTAGGGATAATGTTTTTAACAGTGTTACAATGGGAAGTGGAAATTACCTCTATAATTAAGGCAGCTGACACTTTTGAGTGCTTTATAGCTGAAAACAAGGACCAGCTTTGCTGGAATGTAAAGCTGTATGGTCTGAAGCTTTCTGTGGATGCCCACTTGCTGCCTAGAGCCACCACCTTGTATATTTTAGCAGTTAGTTCAGGTGTTTTCTGTTAAAGAACAAAGGAGAAAAATAAAGCTAGGGTTTGGTGTGTTAGCATTTTTTTCCCCTAACAGTTTCTCTGAGAAGGCCTAGTACTAACAAAATTCAGAATTGAAGCAGGAAAGGTGGGGTTGGTGCCTGCTGTTGCAATGATGGCTGCTGCTGCCTCCAGACAGTGTTTCCTGATTAGATGTTTATATCCATCAATCCCCAGAGCAAGCTGTTATTCTAAAGGTCAGCTGGGTGGCACTACCCTGGGGGACACTGTGGCTGAGACGGGAGAAGGGAGCTGGAAGGAAGGACACATTCATTGCTAGGGATTTTGGTAGGCACCAGTTTCTGTGCTTAGAGGCCTGCATGGAGTGAGATGCACAGTGTTCGACTGACAGGCTGGTAAAAGGAGCTTACACTGAGCAGAGCCTGTGTTGAGGCTTCTGCAGTCTGACTCTTTGTTCTGCAACTTTCAGTACAGTAAAGAGCAGGTCTGTGGTTTTTAAAGTGTATATTGAGTCAGCAGTTTTGCCTCAAGACATGTAAGGAAATGGTAGGATTAAACTGTAACCAAAGAGAGGGGAAGTAAAATTCTCCTTAATCTTAAAATTTAGGTTTTTGTCTGTACACGAAGGTACTCCTGAGCTCTTAATGGTATGTGATTGTCTTTTACTTGCAGGTTCCCTGATGTATTTAAATGAGGCCACTCTCCTTCACAATATCAAAGTTCGGTACAGTAAGGACAGAATTTACGTAAGTATTATATGTCATGAGAACCAGTCTAATATAGATGTCCTTTCAAACATTCAACAAGTGTTTCCAATTCTGTTTTTTTTCCTATAACAGAACTGCTAACGTGGAAATGTTGAGATTGTAGGCCTTTTTTTGCACCTTTTTTTTCCTTACATTATACTTTGTTTGAGATCAGAATCACATTAATCACAGTAATGCTAGCTAATTTTTACCAGGCAGAGCAATACATTTTTCTCTACATGACTGTTCATGTGCAACCATAGCACTGCTTTGTATCACAAAGCTCTGTTCCTACAGGTACTTCACTGTTAGCAAAGATTTTCTTTCTTCATTATTTTTGAACGAAGCAAACAGGTGCTGTCTTTGACACCTCCTAGCTCAGATGTCCATCTTAATCTTTTATATTGCTATCAAATTGCCTAATTGTACTTAATGAATTCTGACTAAATTACATTTTGTCCTTGCCATCTGCCCGGACATTGACAGCTGTGAAACAGAAGATAAGAGTTTTCCTTCTTTCTTATTTTTTGTCTAATAGAAAGCTGGCTAGGGATAATACGAAACAGTTCTACGTATTTTTTAAGTGTCTGTGTTAAAATAATCAACTTCTAGCATACTGCTGTAAAATTAATTTAGTTAAACCCTTTTATATAAATATAAAAAGAAAGTATAGCTGTTTTCTTCTGTTGCAGTTGATTTACATAGCTATAAATTTTTTATGTCCCAAGATCAAGAGCTAGTTTTAAAATAAATAAATAAAAAAGGCCATTTGAATGCTGTTCTGGGAAAATAATCCTTAAAAAAACCTAACCAAACAATAAACCTCCAAGGAGGTAAAATTCTGAATCTGAACTGATTATGAGGTAGGATAGTATTTCAGTTCGTAAAGCTGTTCTTCATTGTAAACAAGTACTGCTAATATGTTATCCAGAGTGGGTGTATTTTCTGGAGGGGGAAAAAAAGTTGACTTTTTGTTTTTCCGGTTTATATTTTAACTCCTTTGTAAACAGTTTTCTGCCTTTTGTTTAATCCTGGCTAACAGCATTTCTCTTGTTATTAAAAGGAAAATTAATATTAGTACCTGCAGCTCTCGAAGAAAAGTTTTCCTGCAGTGAAATAAGTGCTAAAAATAGAAACATCTAAGAAACAGTGATTCAACCTTCCATCAACATATCACAATAGTGTCCAAATTTCAGTTGTCTAGTGACATTTCAGTAACAACAAAGCAAATAAGTTATTCAGGCTGAAAGTTTATCTCATTTTCTTTAGATCGTTTGCTGCATATCTGCTTTTTTCTTTGATTCTGACCTGTCTTCTTCCCTGTATGTAATCTAGCCATTATAACAAAGCTATGAAAGTTTTTTTCAGAAAAAACTTTTCTTCAGTCTTCCTTATCCTGTGGAAAGGTAAAAAGCAGCTTTCATTTGAAATTCTTCTCAAATTCCTTCTCTGTGAGAGAACATTTGCATTCTGTATTTCTTTCTGTGGAAGCAGCTATAGCTAATTTTCTCTCAGCTGAATGCTTTTATTGCCTGGCTTGAGTGCATTCCCAGGCAGGATCCTTTCCGTCTTTCCTGCTGAGTTGCTTCCATTAGATATTTTAAAGTGATCCTCCTCGCTGGAGGACAGTGCATTATGCTGTCCACGAGCTTAGTTTATTCACTTCTGAGGAGGAGGTTTTGGAGTCCTATCCTTGATCCAATAACGCAGACAATAGGAAATAATTTAAAAGGAGATTAGAAGAAAGGTCAGATTCAGGACATACTCCATAGCTTGGTGGTTAGCAAATTTTCCCAAGAGAATGTCATAGAAGTCATGAGAAGATAATAAAAGGAACTCTAAAAATATGTCCTGTCTTGTATCTGCATTAACTGGAGAGAATCATAAATGCAATTGTTATACTTAGGCTGTAGTCTTCAATAGTAATAGTTGTTGTTAAAAGTGCTGTTAACCACTTGCTTGGATACTGGCTAATAGTTTCATGTTAATTGTTTTCTTCACAGACCTATGTAGCCAACATTCTTATTGCAGTGAATCCATACTTTGATATACCTAAGTTTTATTCTTCAGATACTATTAAAAAGTACCAGGGTAGATCGCTTGGAACATTGCCACCACATGTTTTTGCCATTGGTATGTATTGAACCTGTATTTGTCTTTTAAAAACAAACGCTGAATATGTCACAGTTACCTATAAATTTCCACCTCTGACAGTAATTAATTTATTTTGATGTATTATAAAACAAAATTGCAAGTCTTCTCATCTTCAATATGCAGTTTGAAGAACTTGGAAATAAGCAACCATGACAACCCTTTTATGGTTATTCTTCACCTCCAGTGTTTCAAGTCTAAGCAGTTTAATTTGCAACCATTTAGAAAAAAAAAACCCTAAAAAGAAATAAAGAAATTCAGATTTTGCAAGTGAAAAATGGTTTAATAATGATTGGCACTGTCTTTCAGTGTAGTGATTTTCTTTGCCTTTTATTATGTTGCCAGATCACATACACTCTTTCTTTTTATATGCTTCTGTTACAGATGGAAAATATACTGAAATGTTATTTATGGGATAAATCCGATTTCAGTCACTTTTTTAAATTAAAAAAATAATTGGAAACTGTAATTAGGATTTGATTTGTTAAAAGCCTTCTCATCGTTTTGCATTTTGTTTTGTAATCAAAAGTATAAATAGCTGGGGGTTTAGTACCTGTTGCATAGCAAGAAATTGATGTTTTTCCAAGTTTCCTTGTTTCAGATGTTACTTGTTGCAAAGTACTGAAACTGAATTTCCCTTTGAAAAACATACTAAAGCCACATTGGTCACTATTTTGTAAATACATTTAATTCGAGAGATGTAGTTATAGGTGGTTGGTTTTGTTTTGTTTTATTTTGTCCTGGATATAGTTGAGTAGGTCTTTGTTTTCAAGCCTTTGAGTTCTTACATGTTGGGTTGGAAGATGAACAAGTATACTATAAATTAAACAGAAACAAACTTTAATGAATTGTAATGCATTTAATTGTAAAGATTTACTTTTTATTCCTAAAAATGTTACATTTTGATTTTGCATTGTAGCTCAACTTTATCCTTGCAATTCTGCTGAATATTAGTATGTGTCATGTTTAATGTATTCTTCTTTTTTAAGCTGATAAAGCATTCCGTGACATGAAAGTGCTCAAGATGAGTCAATCCATCATAGTCTCTGGAGAATCAGGAGCTGGCAAGACAGAAAACACTAAATTTGTTCTGAGGTTTGTGCGTTTGGACCAAAGTTATTTTGTGCATCTCTTGTGTTGATGCATTTGGTTGACATACAGAGCAAATGGTAATCAGTAGGTTTAAGACACAATTCAGTAAGATATGTATTAGCTTCTACATGCACTTTATTAAAAGAAATTAACTGAATTAAACTTAAGTACTGACATGATGATACGTGGAAATAGCTCCATACTCATAGAAACCTTAACTCACTTGTAGTGGCATCATGTAGTTATTATGGTTTATGATGCAGGCATTTTAGTATTGTACATCTGGTGTTGTGGTAGATAAAAAAACATAACTAGACGTTTTAACTGTATCTTGCAAGACACTGTTGGTTTTGCCATAAATGTGCATTTCTCTGTTTTCCTGCCTTAGTTTTTTTTTTTTAGTTTGTTTGTGTATCCAGGGTTTTTAACTGTAATATACTTCACCCTAGTTTACTGAATAAGACTGAACAATGGAATTTATTTATTTATTGATGTTTGTATATGAGCAATACTAAGTCAAGCATTTTAAACTCTATGGAAGCCATATTGCTGATGTATATCAGTCTTGCTTCTTGAGACCCCTGGTGGCCTAGTGGTTAGCGTGCAGGACTTTCACTGCTGCGACCACGGGTTCAAATCCCGGTCTCCTGGCCTGATGGAGGTCGTTAGCCCTGTGTGGCCATCCATCTATGAGAAGGACACTCTAAACAAACCTACGTCCTGAGGACCTCACTGCCATTGTCCAAGCTTGCTTGGCCCCGGCAGATGAACCTTAGGATTAAAGGGTGGGCTCAGTTCAGCGCAGGCTGTGTCTCACCTAAAAAATCCATTGCGCAGGCTGGAAAGGTAAAAGACCTTTCCCCAAATCTTCGTTCGCGAAGATGGGCCATTATTATTATTATCAGTCTTGCTTCCACTTATTAGCATTATACTTTACATGCCTTTTATCCCTCTGGAACACTATAACTGGAGTGCTCCTTAAATACACCTATATCATAAGGATATTATGCAGGGAAGCACAGTGCGAGCAGTGTGAATACACTCCCTCACCCCACTTGTCCTTGTTTCCTTCTATAAATCTTTAATGCCATTTTTCCTGACAACATGTATTTTCTAGTATTTACATAGAGTAATTATCTTCCACATCCTAGGAAGAATTGTCCCAACTGTCTGTCTGCCTGTCATACTGCTCTTTTCTGTCCTTGTGCAGTCTTTTATAGATAGCTGTAAGAATTACTGCAGGATGCTGGTAATGATTCTTACAGGGGACATCCCAACTTTGGTCCTGCTAAGAGTGAGAAAAAGTCCGTCACTGGGAGAATATCTCTTAAGGAATGCTCTTAAAGGAGGTTGTTCCTCTGCTTCTCAGCAAAGGAAGTTCTGATCACACAAGAAACAACATTGCTGTTTCTTCTCCCCACCACCTGCCCCCATAGAGTCCATGTACAAAACATAATTGAGTTTTAAGAGCTGGATGATTTTACCCTTGCATGATCAGAATGTAAAACGTACTAATATAGCTTGGTTAGTGTTTCTAAAATTTTTTTGGAAGGCCCTATTTTCGGTATCTGTTTTTAGCTTGTCCCAGATTTACTTGTGAATTTCTAGAAGGCATGCCCTGAGCATAGGGAGGAAAAAAAAAAGGCTGGAACTTTAGAGCAAATATGTTGTGAATTTATTTTAAATTATTTCTTCAATTGCTAAATTAAATCTTGCCTTAATTATGCACCTGCAATTTCCTATCTTCACCATCTCCGTGTGGGATTTTTATTAACACTGATAGTTATGAACAAAGAAACTGTATGCATGGAAACAATCTTAAATTTGGGAAATAGACACGAAACCTTATGTGTTTATTAAGATTTATTTATAAATACGGATAGTAGAGTAATAGTTTGATTATATTTGTATAAAACTGTAATTTCCATATACATGTCTAAAAGAAATTTCTAATGGGTCTTGGAGTATTGAAAAAAAACCCTGAAGTGTGCAAGAATATTTTTGTTTTAACAAAAAAGAAAAGTTAAACTGCATTTATTTTAAAATGTATAGGTATTTGGAACTTACTCAGTATGCTTTCCCTATAGTAAATGGTTAGTAAGTATGGTGCATAGACATGCTTAAATCCTGTTTAATTGAGGTAATCTGACATGAGGTAAACGATACCAATATTTTTTTCTTGCTTTACAGGTATTTAACAGAATCCTATGGTAGTGGCCAGGATATTGATGACAGAATTGTAGAAGGTATTGAATTTTCTTTCATTTAACTGAAAGTTCCAACACTTATATTTTTTTCAGAAGTGTGAGTCAACAGCAACTGAAAAAAAGCTAGGATATAAGTACTATTAGTCTTCCTAGGGCATAATTTATGGGTAGTTGACCTTCATCCTAGATTCTGAAAAAATATTTTTTTATTAGTGTTTCACTTTATTTTTTTTATTATAGTATCATACAGTCCTTGATCCAGAAAATGAGTGTGTGTTTGAATTGAACTTTTCACATTATGTACGCAAGATTGGATTTTAAACTGCATATAATCTGCCAGGACAAAATTATGTTTTCATAACTATCTGTTATTACGAGGAAAGAGCAATTCCTCCTAATCACCATAAAGTTCTCAAAGTCAGATAAAACAGGGAAGTTCTTTTAAATTATGGTTCTGGGTCATTTTTCTGTTACATCTTTTTTTGTCAGAAATCACATAATTCAGATTAGCTCTTTGATTGTATCTGTCTTTATAATAGACTTCCAAACCAGGTCCGAAGAGACTGTGTTGATCATCCAGATGAGCCTCTTTAATGTTGCATGCACTTCCTAACTGAACAAAAAATAAGTTTTTGAGAATACAAACATCTCAAAAACAAGCAACCAACCTAATATTGCCTCATATGTCAGTTTTAGTCTTCTATAGCATATAGTAAATTTATTTTGGAATTTCCTGACTCTTTTTCTTTAAAAATTTGTTTACCTTTTCTTTTGCTGTAATTTTTTCTGTTTTCTGTTGTTCAAGAGAAGTACCGCAGGCTTTAATCTCTTGTTGATATGAGTTTGCTTAAAGCAGTTCCTTAGTGAAATCCACTGTGTGCTAAAGGAACTCAGAAAGTGGCCAGGAGTTGGATAATGTCTGACGCAAATTAATTGGTACTTGTAGGTATTCCTCGAAGAGTTTGTGTTTTTTCAGTCTAAACCAGCATCTGATGCATGAATTCTGAAGTTTTTTGGGCACAAGTTTAACAATCATGCTTATTGCATATGTGTTAATAGAGAACATTTAACCTAGCTGAAAGACCCTTGCAATATGTTTTTATTCATAATCTTTTCTTTAAAAGTTAATATTACATAAAATGCCTGAATAGTTATCAAAGATCTCTTAAGAAGTCGGATTTGTATTTTCATAAGCTTTAAGTTAAAAACAGAGAAAATCTAGCCAGAACAAAAAAGTTAATTCTTATGTCCTACTAAATTATGTCATATCATCCATACTTTATCCAAGCATTGATGTTATTCCTTCATTCTTTAATTGTTGCAGGAACAGATATGTAGATGATTGTCAGTGGAGTTTTAAATCTGAGTTTCTGCTTGCTTAGTTTCCAATGCATATTTTTAGCTAGAAGCCTTAAAATATCTTTTAGATATTTTTAATGGCTTATTGTTAGTGAGATTCAGTCAACTGGTTCTCTTTGATCTTCAAAGCTAGTAAAATGCAGTCTTTCAGAGGCCTTTGTTTCATAACTACTAAGCATTTTCAAACAGATTAAACGGTGCATGATATTTGTGTTCATATATATATATATATGTGCGTTAGATTGCTTGCTGCCACTCTTTCTGTATGGGCTTTAACGTGTTTGAACGCAGCAGCCAGTAAAAAAAATAAAATCACTCAATCACTTAACTGACCTAATTTGAAAGGGCAGTTTGAAGTAGTTTTTGAAATCAACACACTCGTCTAATTTTTTTTTTTTAATTCCCTAATCAATCTAATACATTGCATGCATGACATTTAAGTGGCATTTTTGTCTGTGGGATAAGTGGGTAGTTTAGAATTTATGAATGATAACTAACTGGGAAGTGTCAAATTGTGTGTTGTCTTATATAGTTTATGTATTAGTTATTTACCTACTTGTGTAGAACAGCATAGCGGAATAATTTTTGGCATTTGTCTCTGAATTTTTACAGTATTGATTAAAATACTTTGCAGTGTTATGAGATATCTAAGTACCTAATTTTATATTCTACTACAATATATCTAGTACAATCTATAGAATTGATTATTCCTAATAGGTAATATTTGCCCTTTAATTTTCAAACCTTATTTCCCATAAGTTCACTGAATAATTGGTATGTGTTTGTTCTCTCTTTCTTTTTGGTAGTTTCTTGATCAAATTCTAACACTACAAATATTAATTTTTTTAAACAGCAAATCCCCTGTTAGAAGCCTTTGGAAATGCAAAGACTGTTCGCAACAACAACAGCAGTCGTTTTGGGAAATTTGTTGAAATCCACTTCAATGAAAAGGTACTGGGAGCTTGTTACAGAATAACCAGTGATTATTTTTGTCATAAAATGGAAACGCTAGACTGACAGAAGGCTGAGTAGACTTATTAATCTTGCAGCAAATAGCTACTGTCCTACTTTACAGATGTGATTTGTATTCTGTCACCTTGAAAGGAAAACCAGAGCCACACAGTACTGTGTCATTACTGGAAAGCAGTGGTTCAAGTCAGTAGGAAAATTACTTCCATTTACGAAAGATTAAAAATTAGTCCCTTCATTGCAAAAAGGCATATACAGAGAATAACTCACATAAATTCCTTTAGTACACAAATAAGCGTGAGTTGCATATTAGATATAAAGTATTTTAGCTTTAAATGAATTGTTTATTTTTTTAATGTATTTTTATGAAATGTTAGGACCTCACATAGTAATATGTATGTGACAGAAGTGAAGGAATTGTTTTTTGACAGAAATACTACTCACTGTGTAATTTAAGAAAAATTTTGTTTGAGTGTAGTTTTGTTTGGGTAGCGTATGTATACACACATTGCACAATTAAGGATGACTGTATGTCTGTCCAGTACGTCCAAGTTGAAGACTTTTATTGATGATCTCTGTAGAGCCTCTGTACATGCCTCCTCCTCTTTCTGACTGAGGACAGAGGAACTGAAAGAATTTGTTCTTTTCCTGCAGAATTTAAGCTTATTATCTGGTCTTGAGCTTGCAGTCTTTTCCTAAGTTTTCATCACTTGGTTTTGTAACTAAACTTCAGATCTTTGGCTAATAGTTTAGATAGTAAACTAAATTCCTTTCTAGGTAGAGAGACTTTATCTGTTGGTCCAGTTCATGTTAATAAGCTTGTGGAAAGGATCCAAATTTCTACTTGAAATGATGCATTCATGATCTGTCAGCTTATCTGTCAACACTTACATGGTCTTTCAGATTAATTGCTTTAGCTGAAGCAAACAGCACTCAGTATCTTCAGCAATTGCTTAAAAAATTGTTTCAGTTTTCCACTGCAAGATCAGCCTGTTTACTTGAGCCCCTGTTTTACTTTGTGGTCACCTTATTAGGTCTGATTTCTCAAAGCAATGTGAGTACAAACTGAGACCTCGTGAATGACTGAATAACCATACTCAAATTTGTCAGTCAGTAAGCCCTTCTTAGTTGCTGTAATGGCCATTAAGTTCAGGAATTTCCTTTCTATTAAGATTTCTCTAGGCACAGAGAATTTTATCATAGGCCTAATAACAAATGGCTTTCAAAATCTGTGTTCTATCTCAGAAAAGAAGTGTAAGTTTCGGGAAATAATGTTTTTTCATAATTGGTTCACCTAAGATGTTGTCCAGATATGTATTCTATAATTTTAGCCATTCCTTCTCTTTTACAAGTGTCTCAGTGAAAAGCAATTAGAGAACGTTGTAATAGCACTGCCATCCAAAAAGTGTAAGGACTGCTGTAGCAATGCTCTTTGCAGCAACTACTGGAATTCCGCTAAGGATTTCTGCTTTTTAGGGTGAAGCAGATCTTTATTTTAAGAGTGTGTATGTACCCAATACATGAGCTGAGGGAAGTTACGGAAAAGGCAATGGTTTCTTTTCTAATCTTAGTATGTATTAGGTGTAGGGATATTTTAATATTCTTTGGAGCAGTGTCCATTGAGAAAGCTGTGATCAGACAAACGTAAATTGAAAAACTGAATCTCAAATAATCCAAAAAATATTCAGATAATCAGAAAAATATTTCTTCTTCCTAGAACTCGGTGGTTGGTGGATTTGTATCACACTACCTTCTGGAGAAATCTAGGATCTGTGTGCAAGGCAAAGAAGAGAGGAATTATCATATCTTTTACAGGCTTTGTGCTGGTGCTCCAGAAGACATTAGGGAAAAACTATATCTAAGCTCTCCTGACAACTTCAGGGTGAGTATCAGAATCAGCATTTGTAAAGCTTCTAATATTGTCATATGTGGATTTTTCATATAGATCATACTTAAATCTCTATGTATTATCTTGAACAGACTCATTCCTATTACAAAAATTATATATTTTTTTTGTCAAATAAAGCTGCCTGACATTTTTCTTTGCTGAAAGAATTCCTATGCTTTTTCTCTGTGTCATAAAATTGAGGAACCTTTGCTTTTCCAGAACATGTACTGTTGCATACCCAGCTGCTAGTAATGCTGTTATGGACTCTTCTAGAGGTATAAGGTGTGAATTTCTTGATTGTGATCTAACTGTTCTGTGGGTAATCTATATATAAGTCCTAAAAACTGCATTTATTTCTTCCTATCTCAACCATGCGTTTAGGAAGACTTAGGTGTTGTTCCACAGTTCTCTCTCTTAAATGTTTCTTTCATCATGCTTGCCACCAAGGATCAGACCACAGTGAAAGATGGTTGTATTTCTCTATTACAGTCTGTATGCTTTCACAACACTTGTCTTTTCTACACTGTTCCACCTTTTTCCTATCATACTCTACATTTTAGACTGACATTTGTACTACTGCAGTTTTATGCCTCTTATTTGTCTCATCATCACACTTTGTCCTTTATGGTCACTCCATGTTACAGGATAAGACTCACCAGTCCCTTTCAGTTGAAATCTTTCTACAACCTGTTACTGGTCGAATCACTCAAGCAATGGTGAAGCTAACAGAATGCAAATAAAACCAGTACTTAATATAATACTCTGAATTATACCTAAATGAAAGTGACCTTAAACAGAAGGGAATGACTTGGATCTTTGTGCATACTTCTTTAAAAATGTTAGGTTAATGTTCAGTGGCAGGGAGAAAGCATAGTAAAATGTTAGCAGTTGTTAGGAAATGAAGGGCGAATGAAATAGTGAGTTATGCGGCAATGTACATCCATATTTCTAAATAACATACACGGTTTTGTCATCCCAACTCAGAAAAGAACAGTAAAAGCCTTGGCTGTAGCAGAGGTTATGGTTGGATAGTATGGGCCTTTTAATTCAATCCAGTCTGCCTGTTCTTGTGACTTCTGATTTGTTTACTGTCTTCCCTTCTTCCCTCCATGCTTTATTTTTAGGGTTTTTGCCTTTTCTGAGATTATATGGTTTCTCCTGATTAACCCTGATTCTGTGTTATGTTTCTAATGGCAAACCAACAGACAGGTTGGCTTTCTCTCTTACCATTAATTTCTTGCATTCTTTTCCTCCCATTTTTCACTACTTTATTATTTTTTACTGCTGCACTTTACCTTTTAACTTTTTCCTCCAACTTTTGTTCTTTCTTCTGCCCTTCTCTTTGTTCAGATTTCACTTGTTTTTAGTCATGATAGACAAATAACCTGGTTTCCTTTTGCTTTCTTTCCCTTCTTGTCAAAGTTTTTTCTCTCTTTTGTTTTTTGTTTGCCTGAGTGGCTTCCAACCTCATCCCTTATTTTAATATTATATTTTAATTTCTCAGTATGTTACATTTTGATTATTGCAGGGTTTTTTTCCTTGAGAAAAGAACATTATTGAATGCTTATCCAACTAGTGCAGCTTTACTGATATAGCTGTTTCTCATCGTTCCCCTGAGTATGCCTTCTTTTTCTTTCCAAAGCAAGCTTCTGCCATCCCTTTCAGGGTCCTTACAAGCCTAATCACATCTTATACTCTCATCACCAGTTTTGCTAAGAAGGTGAAAACTTCTTGCGTTCAGTCACTCATTCCTGCTATTTAATTACATTTAAATGAATAATTACGTTTTTGTTTGGTTCTGTTTTTTTTTTTCTTTCTAACAATCACACCTGAACTATCTACTTGAAATTTCTATAAATATCACCATGTGCTTTGTTGACTTGCATTGAAGAGAAAAATAATTGGTAAATCAAATCGTACTGGTAAATACTGGTCTGATGTTTGATTATATTCTGTCATTTGTCTCCATCTCTTACCATTTCTTGCATTATGCTTGGCTTGGAATGTCATGAAAGCAGAATTTTGTGTATTTCTAAAATACACAGACCAAATCCCTTGGGTTTGGATGGGTTTTGTAACACAACAATGTGGAATTACAAGGACATAAGCTAAATGACTGTCATCCTTTTAGACTTCCTTGATCTTAAACGAGAAGCACTGCCAACAAAGAAATACGTTAGTGTGTAGATTGTTTTCTTTGTTGGTGTATCTTCCTACTTGGATTTCTAAATAAAACTTGGACTGTGCTTATCTATTACTTTTCCTAATATCTTTTGTACTCAGTTTCATCAGAATTCCAAGAGGGCTAGAACCTTAAAATATACAAAGTTCCTACTAGCTTTGTGCAAAGTGGGGGTTGCATAGGCGAGACCTAACTTAAAGCACTCACTATGGGGAAGGTGGGTGTACACTGGTGACCAAGCAGGTTGCTGCTGCAACATTGTACATTTGTACTGTGGTATCAAGGTGATCTTGCTCTGTAAAAGCCACGGCAGTATTTTAGGACAGGTTCCTTACTTTCTCAAGGCGTTTCTAGGGGCCTTTGTAGAGTTTACATTATTTCTTTAACTATTTAGTTTGTATCTTCTTCTGTTTTATCTATTTGTACTCAGTTCTGTGATGGAAACTTGATTTGATGCTTATTAGGAAAGAACTGCTTCCTTTCTCTAGGAGGAAAGTTTTTCTTTTGAAACATCCAATGCACACAATACTTAAAAACAGCCAACACCTCTTATTTTTGTATAATATGGAGCTAGTTTTCAAAATTTTCTCCTCTACTGTGCAGTTATTCTGCGCAGTATTCTCTTGTATGTTTTAAAGCTAAAATCTTGAACAAATTTTCAAATATGTATTTTTATTGTGCAGCCACTTTTCCATTAAAACTTATGAAGTTAACAGATTTTTATTTCTGGAACTGCATATGCTCACTGCACACTCTTGGGGATTTTTTGAAATCAAAAGTTCTGCTCATGAGAGCACCCAAGGTTGCAGATGTCAAGGTCAGAATTATAACCTTTTTAAAGTCAGGCTGGTGCAGCACAGCACTGAACAGCCGGAGTTCTTTTACAGAAGATGCTTACTTGCGTATTTCATTTATAGAGAGTTTACAGTCACACCAGCTTTATCACACCGTGACGTTTTTCTTTTTTTACTTCTACTAAGGTTGCAGCAGGCAGTTCAATTTCCATTAAGAATATTTATTGCTTTACCATGAATTAGTATTTTAATCCTGAGTTCCTTGCATGTGAAAGATCCATTCTGCATGTTAAATAAAAAAATTTTACCACTGTTTTTTAATCCCCCTTAAAGTAGATTATTTAAAAAAAACCCTTAGGATAACTTTCATCTCCATATGTATGTAAATTAATATAAATATACTTAAAGTTTATTAGTTGAACTGCACTGAATTTCCATCAAGTATCATTTTATAGGAGACTTTTAGGAAAACAAAACTGTAAAAGGTTAATTTGCTTCCTAAATTTGTATTTCTTTTGTCAAGATTATTTTTTATGTCTTCATTCTCATTTGCTGCTTTTTTTTACCATGTTTTGTTGACTGCATGTTTTCTGGTTCAGAATTCATAGAAATGTCATCTTTCAATAACAATAATAACAACAACAACAATAACAACAACAACAACAGATGGTGATATACTAGGCAAGGTTTGATGATTGATTGGTGTTTTCATATTAATGCTATATTTTTGACAAGAAAAACATTCATTAAAAATTCATACTCTAAAATTGATTATTTAAAAAACCTCATCCCTAAAGCCACAGTTTTGCATTTGCTCTATTGTGCCACTTGTGCCTTTTAGCTTATAAAGTCAGTCCAAATTAGGGCCAGCTTGAATTCTAAGACTCAAGCCTGGTTTCTCTTAAGTACACTTCGTGGTTGTGTTTTAGGTTCCTCTACAAAAGTTTTCAGAAGTTCAAAGTCATGACATAACCCTGTGCTGAACATTGTAGATCGAGGTGCCCTAGGCTGCACCACATGGCTGTGAAAGTAAAGCTGCACAGTAAATCTGTACCTGGAGTACAGTTCAGTTGAAGCTGAACTTTTTCAGATCTAAATTTCAGGAAGAGAGGTCAGATTGCCTTATGTTTGGGCCGCTGAAGTTATAATGGGATGTTGTACTTCATTATAAAAACCCCAAATGAACCAAAGCCCAAGTACAGTGGTATTTAGATGTTCTATGTGCTAACCTGAAGCTGTGTATTTGTGTGCTTTTAAAAATATAATTTCTCCCTGATTTAGTATGTAAATTTAGCTCATGTTTTAGCTTTCCAATGAAAGCCATTATCTTGTGATTAAATGTATCCTACATTATTATTGAATACCATGCTGGTTCACATTCTCAGCCAGTCAGATAAGTTTTCACACTCTCTTCTTGAAGAGCATGACCTTTTTCACTTCCCATCCCCAGTTTCTGGGATCGTGTTACTAATACTGTAATCCAGGGATATATCATGTTTAAAATATGCTGTGCTTTGCATTCTTATTGGCTGATAAAGAACACTTTTCAGTACTTTGTTAAACACAAAGCTAACTTTGAACAGTTGTCACTTTGTTTTAATATTAAATTTGTCACCGTGTTTTCTTCTACTGTTAGAAATGCTTTGAAGAATATTTTGGGGTTTTAGAATTTTGCATATAAATTTTAATCAAAGTGTAGAATTGTCTGTGTTCAGCTAGTTGAAAACATCATCTTTGTTCAACCAAAGAGCAAAGAATCAGTTCACTTCCTTTAGACAAAGGGCTCTGTCCAAGCTTTTGGACAGAGTTCTTACATTCAGCTGAACAAATCTGAAAGAAAAAGCTGGCGATCCTGTTTTGTGAAAAGGGCAGTCATTATCTGAATCTAAATTCACTATGATTTACTGAATAGTAAATCTGAATTTACTGTACAACATAAGATGTATATCAGAAGCCAGGTTTTGAATAAGGCTTCTGCTTATAGCATGTTACAAGCTTTTAATATTCTTCAGGCTTTTGAATACATTATGTCTCTTGCTACTTATAGAAATATTTCACTGGTGAGGAAAAAATTAGTACTTTGGTATTATACATAAGCCAGAAGATTAATTTTTTTTGTTCCTAATTTTGGTTATCTTTTGTGTAATCCCAGACTCCATTAATAGGTTTAATAGAATCAAACATTAGGAAAATATTGTGTGACTTAACTAAATTAATATCCCAATGTGTCAAAAAGTATTTTAGTTGTCAAAATGGAGAAGCTTTCAATAGAAGTTTATTACTGTTGTAATTCTTTGATTTTGTAGATGTAAATAAATACATTTGTAAGGAATGAATTCTGACTATGTACTGAGTTGTTTGTATCATATGTTTAAATCAAGCTATGAAGGGCAAGCCTTAAATAAAAGCTTACGTTTTCCTTACTTCTGTCTTTAAGTATCCATTTCCACTTTTTTATTGTTCCAGTATTTAAATCGAGGCTGTACCAGATTTTTCGCTAACAAAGAAACGGACAAACAGATTTTGCAAAATCGCAAGAGTCCTGAGGTATGTTTGTATCTTCAGTTAGTTTATATTATTAACTACTGCAGATAGAGTAGAAAATTATTATAATTTTACAGTACGGAATGAAATGTTCATTTTACACATATTTATAGGTCTAATGGGTACTGTCAAAGCTGCTCTATTCAGATCTCTGTTTTGGAGTTCAGTCCTAGAAATACATCATAAAATCCCAAGCAGAACAGTGTATATAAAGTGGTTTCCTTTTCATTCTTATAATAATGTAACACTAAATTATGCAGCTTGTCTTCTGTGGAAAACAAAAATCTATCCAAGACTTTCTGTTATTTTTCTTTTTAAAATCTTACTATTGCTAGGAATACGTCGGAAGCAATGTTTTTTTTCCAGAGCCATTTTTACTATCTGGAGTTTTGAAGGGATGCTCCAAACTGTTTTAGATATCAGTTATAACTCAACCTCACTTCTAGCATGAATATATTCTCCTCCTTGATACACTTTCATGGTTTTTATTTTCCCCTTGCTGTTAATGGCTAGTTATGTCAGAGCATGGCATTTCCTGGAAGAAAGTGTGAAACTTAAAAACATTTATATCCTTTTGCTCCATTTCTGTTTACGCTTTTTTAGAACTGGAATTACCAGGATTTTTTGGCATTTAAGCCTTTGAACTTGTTTACATGAGGATACTAAAGAATTTGTTCTGAATTAATAATATATATGAATTGGAAGTTCTTTAAACACATAATTAAACTTCTGCTCTGTTCTCTAATAAAATTTTCATCAACTCATACCTAAAGTATGAAATTCTCATTTGTATAGCTGGAAGATATTTCAAATATTAATCAAATCCATATTTGTGATTCCGTAGCAGGACAAAGCTGCATATATTGGCAAAAATACAAAAATAACTTTACTCAAAAGCTTCTTTCCACCAAATCACCATGACATCTCTTTTACTTTTGATAACTTGGGCTTGAAGCTCATGCCTAGCTATGAGAGATAATATAGATACTTCCTTTTCTCAAGTCAACGTTGTTTACTCCTTGATTTCTAGTGGTTGTATGTTGTAACACTGAGCATGTAATCCTGATTTCTTTTGCTTAAATGTATGCTATTTTCTATAATCAGGGATGGTGGAGAATGATTTTACATTACTGTGAGGCAGCAAGCTCATAGATTATTTTGTTTATGTCAGGCATATAGGCTATGATATGGAGATTTTGTCTCAGATTACCCAGTTTGCCTTAAATAGAGATTTGTAGCGACGCTGGTCATTTATGTAGGCATAGAGTGTCAACATTCACTTACTCTTGCTACTGGAAGATGAACCTGTGCAATCTTCTGTTACTGATATGATTTACAGGCGGGTGTTCTGTCATAAAACTTGTCCTCTAAAGGACTTAATTTGAAATAAGAGAAGACTTTCTTTGAAATAAGTGTTTGTCTAAATTAAAACATACTTAGAGAATAATTCTGAAAATATATGTAAAACATAAAGTACTGGAACTTATGATTCAATAATACTTGTATGTTACAGGTATATCAGTTTGAAGGCTAAACAGAGGATCAGAGTTCAATGATATTTAAACCTAGTCTAGCCATTTAAACAGGAAGTATATTACCTTGTTCAGGTTTTTAAATTGGAAATTTAGTATTTACTCTGTCATTTTATAAAAAAAATACTAAGATTGCTTATTTGAATAAATTAGCTGGAATAGTCAATTAATACTTCAATTATTTTTGTGTTTTCCTTATCAGGAAGATGAGGTGATCATTTTACATAATTAACATGTAGTTTAATGTTATTGATGTGCCTACATGTTGTGTGAAGTGAATTTTTCAGATGCATGTGGTGTTTTGTTTTGATAAAAATGATGTTAGCTTATTTAACATTAACAAGGCTTCTATTTAGTTAATTATTCTTTTTAGTTGAAAAAATTTAAAAATAACTGTAAAAACGTAGCTCAGTCTGTGCATGTTCAGGTAGTCTCTTGACTGCATGCAGATGTGTTACTATCTACTGTTTAAACTCATTTATAATTAAAATAGCTTTCTATGTATATGAATCAGTAAAATCGGCAAAATGTTAAATTGGTATTTCAGAACATAGCTGCTATTCTTCTAGCCCATAGACCACTGCAAGTTCTATTTCTTAATTAGCAGCAAATACTAACAGGTATATTTCTCTAAATAAATCTGTTTAGAATAGGGATAACTGATTTGTTCTATGGTCCTTTCCTATGGCCTGTTATTCTGTCATCCTACTACAAGGACCTCGATCTTGACTTTCAACTGCTTGGGATTCAAAGGACTCCTTTGTATAAATGCTTTGATAGCTCTCTTAGCTGAAGTCTTCCTTTCTCCTGCTTGCTATCCTGTATTCCCCTGTCCTTAGCTGTCACATTCTCCAGCTTCTGCTTTCTGAAGATAGTTTGAAGTTTGCTTTGAAATTTAAGTTTGAAGATCATGCTTCAAAGTATCAACAAGTTAAAATAAATTAGGGTCCTTGAGAAGCCTGTATTATATGAAGAGCTCGGATCTCTTTTTACCTAGTTTGGCATGCTTTTTTATGCTTTTTGTTATGGCTTATTCTTGACTGGAAATATTTGCCTACCTTTACTTTAAATCGCTTACTGAATTTGTGGTTTATCTTGTTTTATAGTATCTTAAAGAAGGTTCCTTGAAGGATCCACTGTTAGATGATCATGGAGATTTCAACAGAATGTGCACAGCAATGAAAAAGATCGGACTGGATGATGAAGAAAAACTTGATCTTTTTAGAGTAGTGGCTGGTGTCCTTCATCTTGGAAATATTGATTTTGAGGAAGCAGGGAGTACATCAGGTTAGATGAAGCATAAATTGTTTTCTGTAAAAAGACTGGAAATGTCTCTTGATTCGAGATGTTTCCTTTCCATGCGAATTATGGCTTTAGAAAGCTGCTTTGTGTTCAGGGGTGATTCAGTCCTAATTCACCCCCTTTTGAAGTCAAGTTTACCTACTTGTTTTAAAATTGTACTTCTTTAATACTCTAAAAGCAAATAGGCTTTCAATGAAAATGTTCAGTGAAGAGTTCATTATAAAGGAAAGAGACATTCTGTGTCTCAAAATCATACTTGTGTTTTAATGATAATTTTAAAGTCCAACTTCTCACTAACGTCATGAAAATATCTTGTAATTAGAAACTATCTGTAGGGAAAGGCATTATGTCCTTTGGCCTCCAAGAATACCATCATGGTAGTATTTTGAGAGGTGAGGGAAAAAAAAGTTACAGCAAAAACTTAGGGCAATATAAACTTCCTAATTTTAAGATGTTGCTCACAAGATGAGTTAGTACAGGTGTAGCTGGGACTTAATAGCAGAATGTGCAGGAAAGTTGAGGAAGGAGAATTGATATTTTGGGAATTGTCATTCTTACCTTACTGCTGAAATCAGCCTCTCTAAATTGAGAACTGCTGTCTATATACTCCTGAAGGACTGAAGAAACTCCTGGTCTGGATGTACTACAAATATAACTATAGTAGAAAATATAAGCATCTAGGTCTTTACCTCGAGTTCCAAGATACTGGTCCCTCTTGGTCCTGCTTCAAGTATGTATAGCTGTTGGTAAAGTTGTTCGGAAGGGCATACCAAAGAACATTTTCATAGGTGTTTTAAATGAGTTAAATGAGTACTAGCCTTGCAGGTTCACTAGCTCCTGACCCCAAGCACAGAATCACCACGGAACTGCACAAAACATTCTGTTCAGGAGAGATCATGGGAGGTCTCTAATCCCATCTGTCAGGCCAATGCTGAATTCAGACTGGGTAGCTTAGGGTTGGCACAGAGGAGGTAGTGTTTTTTTTTTTTTTCTCATCTCCTTTCCGTAGGTCAAATCAGAACCTCCCCAGTGTCAGTTCATGATGTTGCCCTCTGTATGATGATGACTGAAATGAACATGATTAATGTGAATGAATCTGAAAGATGCAGGGGTAGAGAAGGGTAATGGCTTCATGGAGTTCAACAGCAAGCTTCTCAGGGAGCTTCCCTGTTTGGGTCTTTTGTGAGTTGGGACTTTGGGGTTGACAAGGTGGAACAGAGTGAAAAAGGTGCAAATGTGAGTGGAGAGGAAGTTTCAGGAGGCAAACAAACAAGAAGAGGAGGAACCACAGATGGTGAGGAAAGTCAGGGTTTAGAAAAGGGAAGGTAACCAGAAAACTTATCTTCTCTGAATGTTGAAATTCAGAGAAATTCTTCTTCTAGAATAAATTATTGAACTTCTGAAATGATCATTGCATTGGGCTTTATTCTGCTCTCACCTTGTATGTGTGTTCACACAGGGTGTGCATTCCAACTGCTCCAGGCAGTATGTCTTTTAGCAGAGACCCCCTCAAGTTCTGTTTCTGCTTTCTGGAAAACACCAAACAAAAGTTGTTTTCTGCAGGTCAGATGGTATTTCAGAGCATCCAAAATTAAGTCACAAAAGCCTTAAACTTGTAAGGACTCCTCCCTTTCCCCCCCCTTAGTGTCATTGTAGAGGAATGGAAGGAATTCAAGTGATGTTTGACTACTTATTTATCTCTTTTGGCCTCTTCGCTTACCTGTAGAAATAAATTTTACTGTGAACAAATTCTTACTGCAAAAAACAGGAAATACATGTAAATAAGTGTTAGATTTTCCTAAAGTGTTTGGTGCTCCAGTTGAGAGATCTATGCTGGCTGAGCAAAAGGGAGCACTTCTCTTGGCTGTTTACTTGGGAAGTGTACATACTTTTATCTGAAAAATGCAAGTGGCAGGAGTCTGCCATGCCAGGCACTTCTGCTGCATAGCAAGGAGGCCTGGAGGATTACAGGAATATCTAAGTCCAGAAGTTCTAAGTCACTACAGCTAGTTTGTAGGTGTTAGTGCTTCTGCGTTTGGGGATAGCGCTTCCCTATGAGCAGGTTGGTTTTTGAACAGCCAGGGCAGTGTTCTAGAAATATAGAATTATGTGCGTAGTTTTTGGAAGGGGGTTATTTTTGCATTTATTTCGTGGTATTTTCTTGGGTTTTCAAAGCTGACTCTTTTCATTTAACTATATGAAGTAATTTCCAGAGGCAAACCTTTAATTCCTTCAAAGCTGACATTACCTTCACTGGTAACATTATATGTTAGTGGACGATGACCAGCAGGGTCAGGGTAGGATGATCACCGGCCAGTATTTTTCTTAGAGCTGAGCTGGTGGCTGTTGCCCTGCCGTGCTGTGGTGTGCGGGGTGCGGGTGCTGTGCGGTGCGTGAGGCGGTGTGTGTGTCCTTCAGGGGGTGCGGGTGCTGTGCGCTGTGTGACGCGGTGTGTTGTGTGTGTGTCTCCCCAGGGGGCTGCACGCCGCGGGCGCGGAGCCAGCCGTCGCTGGAGCGCTGCGCCGCCCTGCTGGGCCTCGACCAGGACGACCTGCGCGGGAGCCTCACTACGCGCGTCATGCTCACGACGGCAGGGGGCGCCAAAGGCACGGTCATCAAGTGAGTGCGGCGGGGCCGGGGCGGGCCGGGGGTGGGACGAGTGTGGGGACGGACCGCCCGCCCCGCCCCCGGGACGGGGGAGAGGGGAAAATAGATCTTAAAAATATTCTCTATATTAATATAGATCTTATATATTATATTCTATATTTATAAATTGTACATTCATATATAATACTTATAAAATATATAATATATATTCATATACAATCCATATACAGTCCAAATATAAATATAAAAATATATATAACATTTTTTTTATTTTAACCAGTTGATCCAGGTGCACATTTTTATATACCCAGGCTTGCTTGTTTCATTGTTTTTAGGACGTTGGAGGTTTTTTTTTAAATTTTACTTGGAAGAGTGGCAGTTGTATAATGTCTGACTAAAAAGGCTTTTTTTTTTTTTTTTGGTAAAAGAAAGGCTTTCAGTAAGTCACTATAAAACCTCTCATATGTCAGTGAGTACACTGTGTGGCCAAAGAGGTATAGCAGTCACCCTGTTAAATCCACACCCTACACAGAAAATTTGATATAGTGATAGATTTAACAGATACACTGTATCAAGGAATGTTAATGCTGTGCCTAAAGTATTTCAGAAGACACTTGAATCTCTCTTGTCATGAGGGCTGCACAGTGCTCCTGTGAACACTGCCCTGTGAAATTAGAGCTGGAATACTTTAATTAGAGGGTACTGTATCCACCTTTCTGAACATCTGAACAATCAGTGCCCCTGTGTTTGCCACATCTAATTCTTCTTAAATCACATTTCAGTTTTAAAAAGCCCACTGCAAATGGTAATCCAGAAATGTGCTGCTTCTTGCTGTTGCTGGTAAACAAACATTTTGTCTTGACTGCAAAGTTAAAAATGTTTCTTAAAAACTTGACTGCAAAGTTAATAATGTTTCATATATATAAAAAATAGTGGAACAGGATAAATTTAATAGAAAATGTTTGTGTTTTTTTTCCTGAAACTATTATCAAAGTAACTTCCTAGACATAGAAGCAAGATAGTGATTTCTTGTATGCACATGGAGAAGGAATAATGGCAAAGAACATGTATAAATGTGGTACTGATGATAACATATCAATACTATGAGAGTTATGACTCTTGTGAAACTGAGTTTTATCAAAATTATTTCATTACCATTACCTTTTGTAATGGAACACTCTAGCTTCCACCACACATTTTCCCTTGCTGAGGTCGATCCTAGCATGCAAGCTGTCCGGGGGTACTAGCTGTGCTGCCTGCAACTGAATCCTGTGTTTTAGCATTTAGTTTTCTATGTTGTGTATTTGCTTGGACTTAAAACATTACATCAAAAACTGAACTTGGACTGAGCAGTTTTGCACACATTAAAAGTAATTCTCGGTGTTTAGCTGAACGCATCAATCTTTCAATTAGGAAACCAATTAACATTCTCTTCACTTATTGGAAGAATACACGTGTGCTTCTTATTGACTTATGGAAACAGTCAGATTGTTTCAGTGAATCAGAAATACTTTATGCACATTACACCAGAAGTTTCATACACAAAAGTCATAATTATGTGTATTAATATAGTTTAAGTTCCTTGTGTATTTTGTGTTTTGAAATTTATTACTATTATTTATATTGAAGTATTTGTTAACATTTCATAAACTTATGGACTGAAACAAAGTAACAGATGATCGATTTAACCTTGGTATGTCACTGTGGCCAGTAAAGGTGGCAGCTGTTAGTTAATGCATGCTCAGGTTATGTGAGACTTCTGAGGTGAAAAATTGGTCTTTGGGCATTTGAGAGCATTGACTTTTAAAAAAAAAAGTCTTTAAGGAATGTAATGGATTTGAGCAGTGAAAGTTGCAGTGGTCAAGAGCTCATTCTGTTAAAGAGAAGAAATAGCTATAGTGGAAATACTGTTCCGTGCCCATTTCCTGATCTCCAGGGTGAAACTGCTCTCCCTGCCCAAAATTTAGCGTAATAAATCAACCATGACATCCTGTGCAGGTTGAACACCATGGGGTGTTTTTCAGGGGAATGTGGAGGCACCTCTGAACTAACTCTTGTTTAGGAGTCTTAAGTTTAGCACAGGTGTGGGCTCTTGTTCAAGTAGAAAACATTACTACCAAAGAGCTGATGTTTGAGGTGTATTTCTAGATAGAGCAAGCAAGTAGACTTCTTGGTGGTCTGCTTATTTCTGTACTTTGAAAGAACAGATGTTCAAGAGTTAGAACTTCATAGTGGCTACCATGAAAAAGTTATAATGCAGTGACACATGGTAAGTAATGATTGAGGGGGTAAATGTGTTATTCTGCCTTCAGGTAAAAGCTCAAGATCTAGATCTTGTAATAAAATATTCAGTAGTTCATTTCCAGAGAGTTTTTGTAAATTCCTCCTCTCTCCCCTGCTTCTCTCCAGTTATTAGAAATTGGGTACTTTTAGTTACTATCATCTTGGTGCCTTGTCAGATAGTATGGAAAATGACAAATAATTTTTTCTCTTTATTACAACCTTTAGTGTAGGAAGACATTGGTCCTGTAGGACAAAGTCCCTCCAGTGGTCAACATTTTCCAAGTTTTACTATTTTCTTTCTTCCAGACCATGGCTAAATTGACAGCAAACTCTTCGATATATTCACCCAGGACAGCCTTTACCAGTATTATGGATAACATTAGAGTAGAAAATTATATATTACACAGTACAGATGGTATTCATATTAATGCATGGCAATATGAGAATTGCAGGTTTGGAAAGTCATTAATGTTTTTTACTTAATTCAGGTTGTTATCCACCATAATTGCTGATCTTTCTCTGTTAACTTACTGCATATCTGGTTATTCTTCATCTTGCATTTGTATTTTTGAATTCTCTTAAGCATACCACTACACACTTTCCTTTACTGAAATATATCTTTTGGATTTTTACATTATCAATTTGTGAAAATAATTTTGTACGCTAATCATGTTACCAAGATTTTCTGCTTTCTTAGTTCAGTATTATTAGACTGTTTTTTGAAAATACCCTTACTTTCATGTTCCTTTTAAATAAAAGTGTTAAATAGAAGCAGAAGGGCTTTGAACAAATTGCATCCATGTCAGACTCAGACGGCACTCCGCTGGAAATTCTCTCAGTGAACTGCTGATTCAGCCCCTGAGAACAGATTAGTTTTGGCTGTTGTATACATAACACATAGATAAAGCTTGTCTGTATAGTTTCCTTTTGAGAATTTTTGGTGGGACATATCAAGCACTGAAGCAGAGATGCATCATGATATATTGCTTCCCTTTCACCATATCCCAAATGACACTGTCAAGGAAGGTTTTTTAAGAACAAATATAGTTTTTGTTACAGCTTTAAGTTTACTTTGGATTAAAACTTTAAAAATTTTCTGCTCAGTGTATTTATCCTGATAAACTTGGGGCATTGTTAGCAGTGTACTGTTTCAAAAGTCTGCAAACACAAGGAGCTATGTTTTTGTGCCAGCAGATCTTATTTTTCCCCCAGTGTTTTATTTTGGGGGTGTCAAAAATGAATTCAGAGGACTCCTTCCACTATCTCAAGGATTAATGCATTAAGCCTCTTTCTCTAGTATTTGCTAAACTTGTGCAGCTAAAAGCAAACATACATCAATAAATACAGCAATTTCTTCTTGAGTGGCTTACTGCATGTACAAGGAAAGTGGATTGGACGATTTTAGATACTTATTAAATAGACACAATTTTTCTTCTATGGTAATGTAGTTTAGAAACTATTTGATTGCTGTTAATATTAGAGTTTTGACAAGTACATTGTTTTATTTTGTTCCAGCAACCTAAAGAGCTAGTCATTTCTCTCTCTCTGTCTTAGAGACCTTTTGTGTGCAAGTGGATCATGTGAGTGCTAATAGGTCACAGTGAATAAATAGCTCGGCTGAAATCACTGTGCTTAGAGTATAACAAAGGCTTTGTTCTACTGGACCAACAAGGAATAGTAGGAGGGTGATGCTAAATGCTGTCTCTGAATTTTATTAAAAACTCATGTGCAGTGGACTGGCAGAGAGACTTGACAGCTGCACTATGTTTATCTGTGCTTGCCTTCCAAAAGCACATAATGATCACCTTGTTGGTTGATGTTTTTGCCATCCATGTGAAGTGTGTTTGCAGAGTGAAATAATGTGTTAGGATTCAAAATCCGGTACTTCTCTTAGACTGTAAATGCACTGTGCCACTCTCTTACTCAGTTTCTCCCTTTTCATGAAGACTTTCAAAGAGGACTCCATTATCACAAAATAAATTATTTTACAGGGTAAAAAAATCAATTTACATCATTCCATGTCCTTCAGCTTCTTTTGCAGTAGATTTTCTACCAGAAGGCGTTTTTTTAGTGGTGGTACTGAAGCCTCTGTTGGAAAATACATCTTTTCAAGAAATATTTTTCTACAGTTTTTGGAACTTCAGCTTTTCTCAAATTATAAGTGTGCTGCTTATATTCCTTAGTTACATAGGTCTTTCACGAGGTAGATTTATTTCATCCAGGTCATTTTATTTATGAACCAGTTACCATATTGGCTGACAGTAATTGATGGGTATCACTTCACCTGCTCTCACTCCCTTAATTGTTGTCAGCCACGGGCAAATTATACATAATTTTAATTGAATTTTATTTGTTCTGGAAGATGTTTGGGAACTGTGTGGAATTGCACAGTCTAAATCTAGCCCATCAGAGTGCTTTCCCCTAGGCCTCAGACTCTAGGTCAGTGGAAACCTTGGTGAAGAAATTAGCATGAAGACCAAACAGGGTTTTTTGTTGCAGCCTTAACAAAGACCTTAGAATTTGGAAAAAAATTCTTCCTTGTTCCTTACAGTTAGCTTGTGGAAGAAGGAGAGGGGGAGAAGGTGAAAAGGAGACAGGAGAATTTATCTTTTCCTGTTCATACAAGAAACAGGAGGAGGAAAGATATTCATTTGTTTGTCTGCAGACCAAAGGAAAGTAAGAGCTGAGGGAAAGCAAGTTCATGACAAGGAAGTTACTTGGTCTGAACGTCAATTCTGTAATAGGGCTCTTGTGTTTCTACTGTTTCAGTGCATTTTCAGCATTACTTTGTGGTTCTGTACTTTCAGCTGAGCAAAATACATTGCAGGGTTACATTTTCTTTCCATGTGTTTCTGCTACATACTATGAAATTTAACAGTAAGGTTTTGTGCAGTCTTTGGAATTCTGTTTAATAATGGCAGAATTTGCTATTTTGCAAAACGGGACCATTTTGTAAACACATGCTCTAGAGGTATGACTATTTGTCATGTTGTTTAAAAAATTAAATGGAAACCATAAATGATTTTAGTGTATTGTATTATATAATAGGCCTGCAGCTGACGTTGGGAATTAGTATTCTGATCTCTTAAACGTAACAGAACAGAATACAAAGGTACCTTCCTTCTATTTATAAGATAAGATTTCTGTCAGTACTCATTACCTTAAGATAAGTGAAGAGATACTTAGTGGAAGACAAGATTGTGTGTTAAAGCTAATTACTATCTAATGTATTGTAGCTGCAGATGTCCTTAGTGAACAGAATCTCTGCTTCCCTGACTTACTAGTCACAATAGAAAGTGATCTCCATCAGTCTCATGGTTCTCCATCAGAAATATCATCCTTGAAAAAATACAAAAATAATAATTAGGAGTTAGTTTAGTGCTTATGAATTCTAGGAAGTGATGGAAATACTACAATATAGGGAAGCTGTTGTTGTGGTTTAACCTAAGCTGGCAACTAAGCCCCACACAGCCACTTGCTTCCCTGTGGGATGGGGTAGAGAATCGCAAGGGTAAAAGTGAGAAAACTCGTGGGTTGAGATAAAGATAGTTTAATGGGTAAAGCAAAAGCCACGCACACAATCAAAGCAAAGCCGGGAAGACAAAATGTCGTAACTCTGAACATCATCTTTTTCGTGTTCTTCCTCCAGCTTTTATTGCTGAGCGTGACTCCACATAGTATACAATGTCCGTCTGTAGCTGTCCTGGCTGTGTCCCTTCCCAAATTCTTGTTCACCCCCAGCTTCCTCTCTGGTGGGGTGGGGTGAGGAGCAGAAAGGGCCTTGACTCTGTGCAAGCCCTGCCCAGCAGTATCAAAAACATCCCTGTGTTATCAAGACTGTTTCTACCACAAATCCAAAACACAGTCCCATAGCAGCTACTCTGAAGAAAATTAACCCTACTCCAGCAAGAACCAGCACAACTGTGTTCTGCTTTTAAATTCTCTGGCAACATGTTTAGGACCCAAGTGCAGTTTGCAGTCATACGATAAAGCCGAAAGTTCATTTTTTGTAATTACCTCACATTGTTTCTTAAATACTTCCTTAACATTTTATTCTTATATGAATTTTCCTATTCTGCTTCTGGTCTACAGTATAACCATTCCTTAGTTTTGGTACTCTTATCTGTTAATTTGGAACCTTCTTAAAAAAACACCCCCCCACCCCCATGATATGAGGGGGTTAAATGTGTTTGGAAATATATGCATTCTAAGCATGTCAGTGTCATGCTGAGATCATGAAATAGCTATATATATTATTACATGTATATCTAAACATGTGGTTATAGTTGCCTGATATTCCCACAGTTTCCTCCTGCATTTCATAGGCTTTGAAACTGTGACTCATGGAGTTGTTGTTGGGTTTTGTTTTTTTAATATAACTTTTAAGTTATGATATAGACTTGTAATAAATTATGCAGAATAAAGGTCTATAAATAAGAGGGTGAAAATAAATTCTCATCTAGTAAAAGGCCCCTTCTTCCAGTGTTTAAAAAAATTCCTTATTTTGGGATTGCATCTTTCACCGTGAGAACACGCTGCCTTACGTTTTACTTTTTACTTTTACTTCTGTTGCCTATGGCCTTATAGCCTCAGTTATAGCCCTTACAGAAGCATAGAGACAAAGATGTCAGAACAAAAACTAAACTATAGGCTTTATTCTAACCAAACAGCTCATAAATAAATAGATGAAATATTTTTTTTAGATGTGGATGTATAGATTTTAAATATCTTTCTCTAGAAATTGTTAATATAGTTTCTAATTATCTAATAATTATGAAAGCATCAGAATCTTATTTCTACTGATGGTAGCAAAACATTATTCTTTCTTTTTACAGGTAAGATGGTTAGTCTGGCTTGGTAAGATTGTTTCCTGCCTTGGCCTAGAGTTCAGGGGTTTTTTGTGTCTAATTTGCAGTAATTGAAAAGGCTGGTTTTGAGTTTAGAGTCCAATCTCAGCATTTCAGAGTAAGGAATTCTGAAAAGTAAGATCTGTATTTTGTTTTTCTAGGGTGCCCTTGAAAGTGGAACAAGCAAACAATGCCCGTGATGCCTTGGCTAAAACAGTGTACAGTCATCTGTTTGACCATGTAGTGAAAAGGGTAAACCAGTGTTTTCCATTTGAGACTTCTTCTTTCTTCATTGGAGTTCTAGATATAGCTGGTTTTGGTAAGTATACTTAAAATTATTTCTAGCTGTCACTTGTTGCCACCAAAGATTCAATGATGAATTCTGTAATGAGGAGTGGGAGGGTTTTCTTTTTGGCGTTAAAGGTTCCCGTAAAGCTTCTGTCCTTTTCAGCTCACTGAGATTCAGAATAGGGCATGTATTGTGGTGTGCTCTGGCCCTTCTAAGGTTGTTCAAGGGAATCTTTGGTTTTCAGGTGTTTAGAGCTATGTTATCCTGTGCCAGCCTGTTGAAGCATAGGTGCATGAGGACGTATTGGTACAATTTCTCTGTATGGTAGCATCTTGCTTTGGTTTACTGCCAATTGTCTGTCATTTGTCTTAGAAATACGATCTGCTGCAATATTTTTAGATCTGTCTTGTGTACAACTTGAAAATCTGTAAAAGGTTTCATTTTGCTGAAAGAAACAGATATGGATCTGAACATGTTAAATATTAGCATTGTGAAGCTTCTCTTATTTGCTATTTAATATAAATTCTTGGAACGTTTATCATAAAAGTTTAACTTCTGTCTTTCAGAATACTTTGAACACAACAGTTTTGAACAATTCTGTATAAACTACTGTAATGAGAAACTGCAGCAGTTTTTTAATGAAAGAATTCTGAAAGAGGTATGATATATTTAGTATTATATTTGAGGATTTATTTTTTTACTGTTGTATATAAGCATTTATTTTTTGGTTAAGAGATATCTAAAGTAACTCTGGTTTTCATAAGATTGCACATTATGCTTGAGTTAAAAAAAAATCAGTTTTCACACTGTGTGACATCTGGGTGTGTCAGAAAAGAATATGGCATTTTGAAAACCAACAGTATTTTTCCTTCTTTTTTACCCTTTATTAAAATGAGTTATCCACACTCTGGGCAATCTCTCATACCAAATAGGAATATTTAATTGCATGGGCTTATCATTAAGGTGGTAACATTGGAATATATTAAGCTATGTAAGGAAGTTCTCAAATGTATGTTGGTTCATCGTATATTTTAAAATTACTTCATGTTTATTCAATAAAAATATGATGAGTGGTGTTTTCTCTTTGTAATTACTTTTTTTTTTCTTTAGGAACAAGAACTTTACCAGAAAGAAGGCCTGGGGGTTAATGAAGTGCGTTATGTAGATAATCAGGACTGTATAGGTAGGTTTTTCTTGAAATGTTAAGCTATTCCTTGATGTCATGGAGAAAGAAGCTTCAAGCAGAAGAGGCAAAATATGTATAACACTAGTAATTTTATGATTTTATATATAGCCTCATACAATTCAAAATCATAAGAGTTCATAGGCATTGCTTCAGTGCAAGCATTAGATATTTCTTCTTTCCACAGAAGAAAAATGTAGTAAAAATTCCTCCTACAAGAACAGTTTCATAGACAATGGAAAAAAGTTTCAAAAGCTACGAAATTCTTGTGTCTAACTGTTTTGAGAGCATGAATTTCTATGTTGGCTTTCAAGGGCTTTTGTATATGTAGGTGAGAGGTCAAGGCAATACACTTGTTAAAAGTTGTGAAACCACCACTACATGCTCAAAGTCTGGTCTGCCTTTCCTAAAACAAATGCATTTTGTTTTAGTCCCTGGGCTCCTGTTGTCAGTGGAAGTATTAGGCTTCTAGTTTTGATGTGTGATGAAACAAAAAGCCAACCCCAACAATCCAAGCAATTATCCCATAAAGACCTATGATCATACTGTAGGAACATTTAGGCACGTTTTGGGAATTAAGATGACTAAATTCAGCCTCAGACTGAGAGTAAAAATCATACAATCCGTACCTGATCCTTTTTCCCCTTGTTGCATGTGTTAGGAGTTAGAACTTGGTATATATAGGATATCAATTAAATCAGCAATTCAGATATACTGAATTAATTTGCAATGACTTCTTGTATTTTATGTGAACAGCTTTCCCTACAAACATTTATACAGAATCAGATCAGCAGCATTTACACTTGCAATGTTCAGTTCCGATATGAGTTTATATATTCTGTTTTTGTACATATATTTTGTTTTATTAATAGATTTGATTGAAGCAAAATTAGTAGGTGTACTGGATATTTTGGATGAAGAAAATCGTCTTCCCCAACCAAGTGATCAGCATTTTACTTCAGTTGTGCACCAAAAACACAAGGACCATTTCAGGCTCTCAGTAAGTTTATTTTTGCTGTCTGTTTTGTTTTAATAAAACAGTTCTTAGAACAGTTGATAGTAACACTTCAATTTAATGACAACCTTTCCTAAGAAATCTCATGCCATACCTGTCTGCACAATCCATACCTGTTTGCTAAGGACAAGTTTGGTTATTTGATTTGATGGAAAGTTCACTGAAGGCCTTAAGTCTTCAAGAAATTCTAATATCCTGCTGAAACTAAAGCCATTTCTTCACTTACATTTTAAGTTTGTTAACATGTAAAGCATGAATAGAAAATAAAACCACATTTTAAATTGTTTCATATCAGATGAACTATTGTTGTTCCTTTTAAAAATTTCTTGCTTTGGAGAATATTTGACTCAGGTGAAGTATCTAGCTAGCACTTCAGAGATCATACAAGGAAAACCTTCTTGTTGATTTATTTTTTAACATAGAGCACTGTATGGAAGATTAATGCAAATTATTGCAATTTAAATAATGAATCCTGTTAAAATTAAAAAAAAAAAAGCTGAAAAACTGCAAACAAAGGAAGCCAAATGAAATTGTCATCCATTTACCTTTCATTAAGTTTCCGCTTACCTGGATTGCTGTGCAATGAAACATTTTTGTCGGTATGTGTACGATCAGCTGGGTGGTTGCCTGTTAAAATATACCATCCGAAGTCATATTCATCAGCTGTGGAATGAATGGTGTAGAAATTGGTGAATAAAGTCAAAACCAAAATCAATTAACTGGTATTAGCAATCCTGATGACTTGTATTTTGAATGTGATGTTTCTAAAAGTGTGAATGAGACTGAAGTTAGGGGTTTGGAATATCATGGTTTGATCAGGAATGGTAGTGATCATCAAATTGTACTTATAGGAAATGTAATTTTTAATACCTAGTGTTCCCGGTAGATCATAGTGGTGTTCTAAGAATAAACTTTTTCTTACTCTCCATTGTAATTCTTCTTTTGTAATTCAACTTCTTAATTCCAGATTCCTAGGAAGTCTAAATTGGCTGTTCACAGAAATATCAGGGACGATGAAGGCTTTATTATCCGACACTTTGCAGGAGCAGTATGCTATGAGACGGTAATTTTACTCATGAAACACTATTTTTGTTGTGCTTTGTAGTACATTTCTATTTTTCAGTGTATATAGGTTAAATGACAAAATTTGCTTTCATCAGAAGAGAAATTCAGAAGTTGATATTTCTTAACTTTGAAACTAATTTTTTGAGTATTTATCAGAATTAACAGTTTCTTTTAACTTTTCAGGTTACAGACAGTTTTACTGATATATTTTGTGTAAAAATTTGTTTCAAGTATATAGGTCTATGATGTCAATATTAAATATATTGATTCATGATCTACTGCAAATTTTCCATCAAAAGATATTTGCATCTTAGGGAGAGAAATATACTGTGTGATAGAAAAGTTTTGTTAGACTGAAGAATAGCTTTTTGGAAGCATGCTTATCCTTGTAAATAGTCACTGCATCATTCTTCGTGTTTTCAGTTTGTGCTGGCAATGGACTCATTCATGTAAAAATACAAAATACCTGAAATTGCTGCCCTCAAAATACATTCCAGATTCTTGTACCTTTTGGACTACTATTCATCATACAAAAACTTTGAAACACCACCAATGTTTAAAAATAAGAGTTTAGGATAAAATGAAGATCCATAATGCTTTGTTGTTCTGGTTTGTAACTGCAGCATGTATGAAGGAAGCTACTTCCAAAGACCTTTTTTTCTCATTTGAAAATGTGTACTTGAAGGGTTTGTTTTTGTTTACTTCAAAATACTTCAAGAGTGATAATGATTGCTGTGCTGTTTTGAAGTAGACACTTTCTGTAGGTCCTTTTACAAATAAGAAAGTTGAAGTCTGTGTTACCTACATGATTTCTCTGAGGTTGCTCAAAGTCAATATCAAAATAATAAAAAAAAATCGGAATTCCAGTAAAATTGGAACAAATTTTTATTTGTTCCAAGTGCTCTATTTTTAACTGTGTACTTCATCATGATACATTAATAGTGCCTAAGAGTGTCTTCAGGAACAGAGGTGACTGATTTGATCACATATATTCATCTGTCAGAGCTAATCAGATATGAGGTAGCTTTGGTCCAGAACTATGTTAATAAGCTAGACTTAATTTATCCTTTCCCTCAGAGGGGGTTACTTAGCTTGAGCCTTAAAACTTTTGGACTATAGTTGCCTTGTTCTTCTTCTGTTATTTGTTTTTCTTTTTCACTGCTCTTGTGGCAGTTCTCACATTCTGATTTGTGGTGAGAATGCTCATTTGGCTGCATTCATATTCTAGTCTTGTGTTTTCGTGGTCCAAGGGAACTTTGGAGGCCTCTGTTTGTCTTTGATTCTCATCACCATTAAGTCCTTTTATGGGATATCTGGCAAATTGACATTTTCTTTCAAGTAGTCTTGGCCTCTTCTGTTCATTAATATCAAAGTCTCTATTAAAGTTGCACCAAAAGCTATTGAGATTTTAGTTAATGTGAAATTGGATACTAGTGTCTTGATCTCTGAATTTCAATGTAATGTATTGTTCTTAACTTCTGAAAGTTAGTGATACAATTCAAATAAACCAGAGATAAAGTTTGTAGGAAGGGACAATATGTTTTATTAAACCAACTGTTCATAAATAGTCGTAGTACTAATAAAATAACCAGTTTTCATTTCATTTTCTAAACTGTATAAATGTACCAATTAAGTGTGAACATTAATTCCCATTTCACAACAGATTTTATATGATATTACAAGCAGTGAAGAATTAATCTTCTCAGAACTCCCAGGTGATGATGTGCTGAGTCCTGGAAAGGGAAACAAGGATAGTCATTATCAAAAACCCAACTGATCTCTTAAAAGGCACTAAACCTTACTTTGGGTTTCATGATTCCAACAACATCCTTCAAATTTAAGAATGTCTTTTCTCTCTGTCATTGGTGTTTTGTATATCCAGTTGAAAAGTTTTTTGAAAAAACGTATGAGTATTTACACCACCTACTCTTACTGATTTTTGAATTTAGTATGTAACTTAGTTTTCTTTAGTTTTCTTATTAGACTAGAGTAACTGGGACAGTAAAACAAATGTACTGTTATCTCTTGGGTTGTCTTTTCAGATGCAATTTGTGGAAAAAAACAATGATGCTTTGCACATGTCCCTTCAATCTCTTATATGTGAATCCAAGGACAAGTTTGTTCGAGAGTTGTTTGAAGCTAACACTAACAACAACAAGGATCCCAAACAAAAAGCTGGGAAACTTAGTTTCATCAGTGTGGGAAACAAATTCAAGGTAACATCATATAACGAAGAGTTTTATCTTCTTGTAGTGTATGCCAGTTTTAAGTTACCTGCATTAAGTAGAACCTAAGATTGGGAGAGCTAGCAGTAGCTTAAGATTCAAAAGAAAATTTGGTTAAAAAGACAGGGTTTTTTTCTGTGGAATTATAAGAAACCAGTATACTCAAGCTATGTGCTATGCATTTCTGATGAAAATATCTTTCATAATAGTCCTTACAGAGATTATACAGTGATTTTTAAGTCAGAATCCTGCAAAGCCACATGGAAATCTTTATTCAAAATGTTTAATGTTTAGAGATTTAAATTTAAATTAATTGTGCCTTCTAGAAGATGTATTGATTCACTACAGTTGGCCACTCTTAAAATTCAATACGTAACCTAACCACTTTTTTCCTCTTCTGAAATATAGTCATGGCTTACACAGGAAGATGTTCATTGTGCTGAATGTTTCCTTTCTCAATACCTGAATCTGATGCTTCTCCTCATTTTCTCCTTTCTTGTGCTTGTTGTAAAGCTGACCTTCAAACCTTGTCTTCTCCAAATTTTTTCTGCATCCTTTTCTCATTCAGCAGTTTTATTTTAGCTGGACTATTCCAGCTCAGGATGGCTAGAAAGAGAACTATAGGGGAATTAAGAGATGAAAAGCAGGCACACCGTGGGCTGCAGGTAAATTTTTCAATGTCCTGGTAGAGCTGCTGCAATTTCAGCAAGAGCTCTTCTCAACACATCTGGGCCAGATCCAATGAAGGATTTACATGCCTTCAAGTCAAGTGCGGCAACAGTTTTGGTGTGCTACCTTATCTAGAGCAACCATAAACCCACATCATTTTCCTAGCTAGACTCCTTGCAGTCCCTGGGGAACGTATCTTAGACAATCCAAAAAACCTTCTTGTAGTGTGGGATGCTGCCAGTAGCAAAAGAGTATTTCTACTCCATATCAAGGTTAAGAGCTGAATCAGGACTGCAAGATTAATTCCTTCTTGCATAATTGTATCTTGTGGCTACCATTTGAACTGTTCTCTAAAGATGCAGAGGCTGAAGAACAGGAAGGATAGGTAGCAGCACACTGCTTCAGGTCTATGCTGTGTTTTATAGCTATCGTATTTCTTGTAGTGAGCACCAAGTTATTGGTCAGTCTGACTGAGGGTATTCTCTTTATGACCTTCTGGAGATGTGTTGTTATGTAGCCAGAAATAAAGTTTTCATGGGGCAGGAAGAGTAGGAGACAGAGCCTGACTTGTAAGGTAGTGGGTTTGGCATTTAACTGGGAATTGGGCAGCCTGCTCTCCTGAGTTTTGCTCTGATGATTGTTTCCTCCTCCTTCTTATTCCGTAGTGGTTGTAGAATTAAACTGTAGCAATCGGTTCAATACATGATCAGAAGGCAGACTGAAAAATTACATACAGATAAGCCATGTCCTAAGCAAACCCTGCAGCCATGAGTCTGTTGTAGGTGAAGGTGAGATTCACTATTTTTTAGAACCGCATTTTTAAAATGAAACCAACTGTGGGATCTTCTGAGAGTTTCCACTTTCTTCCATCTTTATTTTCAGTTTCTCTCAGATTTAGCACCCCACGTCCAGTAGATATGGACTTCTGTATGTTACCAACGTCCAAGGAGAACTGAATTAGAAAGGGAGACATTTTTAAAATTAAGCAGCAATTGAGTGGGGAACTTTTGGGATTGACCTTTGAAATTTGGTGTTCACCTCTGCACCTAGAACATAACTAAAGTCCTCTTTGGATCTGGCCCATCAATCTATAGTTCTTTCAATGTTTTCAAGTTTCATGGCATTTTGAATGTATGTGTTACTTCCAGTAATTCATTTAGTGTTACCTTCCCAGACACAGCATGTGATGCTGATGAACACTAATAGCCTTGAAAATTTCACTTCAGATGACATCAAAATAAGTTCTCTTATCTTACTAGATACTTCCTCTCTTTAAGAATAAGAATTCTTAGTGCATTAGTATGTAAGTCAGTCTTCTAAAATTAAAAATTCTTCTAATTATATCAATTATTAGATGATGTTGCAGAGACTTCTCTTTATGAAATCCTTCACACGTCCCTTCCTTATAACTAATTAAAATTAATTCTCATAAATCAGTTGAGGAAATAATGATTAATTCATCATCAGATCTATTCAAGAATCTTTGAGATTATTTTACCTTACTGTGCTAATGATGAATTGAATTGTGACAATTCAAAGAGCAGTAGTTTTAGCAGTATGTTTTACTTGTATGCACATTTTATTAGAGAAATTTACCTGAGCATGGCTCTGGCTTATTTCTTGTCAAATCACAGAGTATAAGGAAGGGGTATTTTTCCTCAAGCAGAAATGTATTTTGTTGATGGAAATTAGGCTGTCCCTTTCAAAATTAGCTGTTTCTAACTTAAGAAAATATAATAATTATAATCAAGTTGAGATATAAAGAGTATGTGTAAGTGAGAACTGAGCAGGAGGTTATTAGTGTTTGTCATTTGTGGCACTTCTTTCTTTCTAACCATATCCATGTTAAGTTAAAAAAACTCAAACCAATATTATCCACTGGGAGGACAACTGGCAGCTGTAGAATATAATTGAAAGATCTGCTTAAAAATAAAGTCAAAAGTCAAATCATTTCAATTTTGCTTTCAGTACAGAAAATTAAGAATATGTTAGGACATACTGAATTTTGTCTTCCTGCAGTTTATATACTTAAAGCTTGCTAGTAAACTAGAAAGGCTGACACAGCAGTAGTCTATGTGGCAAAACAGACACATCTCTAAAGTAAAGATATTGCTGTTTTCCTGGTGTGGTTTTGGAATATTTGAAATCCCTACCAATTACTTTCTAAAGCAACTGTAAGTTGTTTTCCCTGATAGCCTTCAGTCTTTGGTTATCCTGAAGACTTGCCCTCAGATAATAGTAGGACTGCAGTCTTTTCTCATCACAGTTTGTTAAATGCAGCCTCGGTAAATGCGATTTTAAAATTGTAGTTTATTGTCATCAACAGAAAATTGGAAAGTTGGAAGTTTGGAAATAAAAATAGATTATTGCAGGTAAATGTTGACTTAGCTTGAAAAAAAACCACAAGAAAACCCTGAGAATATGTTTTCTGTGTTAATTATTGAACATACAAATATATGCTTGTTATAGATTAAAGTCATTATTTCTTTTATTTTCCCAAATGGACTTGCATGTTTCTTTGATAATGATGTTGTAATAAATAACTAGTCCATACAGTATTGTACAATTAAACACAACCAGTTTCCTCAGGACCATTCATGCACACTCTGTTAAAATTTGTGAATGTTTGGTTTATCAGTTCTGTCATAATAACAATGACCATGCATGCTATACTTCTATTTGGTGTGTGTATTTCTGTAGTTACCATGGTTAAGGCTCTTGAAATACCTGTTTTCTTTTACAGACTCAGTTAAATTTGCTTCTTGAGAAGCTTCACAGTACTGTAAGTATATATACAGATGAAGGTTCATAATTTTTCTCAATATGGCTTCCAGTAAGTGTGACTAGTAATTGCTTTAGAGTTTGCAGCTTTATAGTGTTGTAGTGGTTTGAAACCATGACAGGCACTTCTGAAAGTCTTCCTGTGCATGTGATGGTTGTTGATTTACTTGAAAAAAAACCCAAACGACATCACCTTTAAAAAAGTTCTTGTAGAGTGAAAGTTACACAATTTGAGTAAACAAGATGAAATCTGTTTGGGTTGCAATCACCTTTTTTGTTATTTTTACTTCTTTCCATTCATTGGTTAACACTTATTACTAATTTGCAGAAAATTTAGAAATGTTATTTAAAAGTAAGGCAGATGATAATTTATTATTAATTACTGTTTTCAGATTCCATAAAGCTATTAAAAGTAAAATTTTTCATTTCACAGGTGGTCAAAGAAACTTAGTCCCCTAATGAGTATTTGTTAATTTAGCGGATGTATTTAGATAGCTTGTGAAATTCTCCACGTAGTTCAACATGCCCACTTTCTTGTAAAACTTGGAGTTCTAGGCACAGAGTCTTGTTTCTCTGAATCACATGTTCTAACCAGTTTTAGATACAAGGTTACGCTTTGTCAAAAAAGAAAAAGGTGGGAAAACCAAGTGGAACAAAGGGGTCAGGTGCTGGAGTGTAACCAACATACAAGATTTTACTGTAGTCATGTGGCTGGTCTGAGAGATGATGTCTTTCACACAAAACACTCTGGAACTGACACACAGTCCAGGGAAAAAGTGTGTGGCCAGGCTTGCTGTGCTCTTGAGTTTAGCTGACCCATGACTGAGGAGGTATTGTTGACCTAGAGCTCCCTTGAAGATATTCTCTCACTCTCAGCTGAGAGATGGAAAAAAAAGAGAAGACGCTGCAAATGAGGATTAATACTATGTTTTCTCACCCAATTTTGTTTTAGTATATAAAGGTCATCATTAGCGGTCACCTGTTCCAGGAAAACCTGGATAATTGGATGGTGCTTTGCAAAAATGTCATCCTTTATGAATGTGAAATGATTGGAGAAAGCAGTGGTCAAAATTGTAGAGGTGGAACACATGGTCATAAGAGAGAAGCAGACTGGAACAGCATTGGGGAAGGGAGACTGAAGCTGTGAGCCAAAGGAAGTTGTAAAAAGTAGAAGTTAAGGAAGGTCAAGTTCATCTGGCATCATTCTGATGTCAGGAGTCTGGTGGCGTGTTCACTGATGTGAATTCTGAAGGACTGAGGCATTTAAGTGATGTGACTGTAGAAGATAACCAAGGGTAGTAGAATCTAGACTGATAAATCATAATTAGATTGTACTAATGTTAGGAAGAACATTGGTGAGTGAAAACTCAGCAAAATTGAGGATCAAATTAATAGCTTTAGCACTGAAATCAGTTACATCAATTAACTGGTTTAGACCAAGGCTACAGTGCAAAACTGATATACGAGAGAAAAAGAATGGGATTGGGACTAGATGATCTTTTAAACTCCATTCCAACCCCTTGACATTCTGTGGTTCAATGATAATGTCAACATTTCTCTTTTAGAATATTATTATTTTGTATCTTTTTTTCCCCACCATAAGTCTTAAATGATTAACTGTTATTTTAGGAGTTTTAAAAATGTTTAGATTCTGCTAACTTCTTGTTTTGGTCATAGGGGTCTAGCTTTATTCGCTGTATCAAACCTAATTTAAAGATGACAAGTCACCATTTTGAAGGAGGACAGATCCTCTCTCAGCTTCAGTGTTCAGGTAATATATACCTCTGATATTTTTTTCCCTATGTTTTTTACCTTGGGCAGTACAGATTAATCTAAGTTTGAAATATGTGAGATGAAAGCAATATTTCCTTGCTTGAACTACTGTTTTCTAGAAGGCAGGTTATTTATGCCTTATGTGCAGTTATTTAGATTCTTAGTAACTTAGAACTCATTTTAGCCAATAGAACTCTAGAAATTAATCATCTGAAATGCCATAAGGTCTCTTCTTTGCAAGAAGAGTTGATGTAACTTCCATTGACTGGTTTTATTATAATTAGAGGTCAGACACCACGTGCATATATGTAAGAAGCCATGTAGCCATACATTGGTACATAAATTTGGATTTCCTGACCTGGAGCTGAATTCCATCTCTTTGTGATGCCCACAGTGTTAATAGGGCAGTAGTTCAGTATGGAACAATAGCATTGTTTTAAATTACTGGGACAGTTGAAGTGTAAGAAACTCCTGTGTGCATTTAAAGGCAGTCAATGTTAGCTGAGATATCTAATAATCTGTTTCCTTTTATAGATTTTATAGATACCATGGTAGAGTTTAATCATAGTGGTTTACTTTTTCAAAATGTCTTTATGTCTCTATTCATTTGATTTGGAGCTGAACATGCAACACAGACACTTCAGTATAGTCTCTCTTGTTGCTTTGTATACTGAAGATTGTAATGCTCCATCTTCATTATTCTTGAAATGCTAGATGCTTTCCAAATTTACAGCTTTATTTTCAAGAGTGAGTATTAGCAGTTTTGCTCATGCTCCACTGAACAGTGGAAGGAACTGCTTGCTTGGGAATTGTTGTGCTGGCATTTTCATTCTTTATAGGGTGTTTGTTCAACAAAGCACTTCAATATATTTTTCCCTTTTCTGTATTTTTGTACTTTCAGTAGCTTTCAGTTGATGTTTTGAGAAGCTGACATATTTCACGTGTAATTTTATCATAACAAAAGCTTAACAACTTCTCAGTACTTAAGTGTTCCATTAACATCATTAGTAGCAGATTTCTTGAGGTTAATAGCATTTGGCATGAGAGGAAAAAATAGCAAATTACCTCCTCTCCCCAACAATAACAATTGTGGTGCTTTACAGTAGTCTTACAAGCTCAGTTGTCTATCTATGCTTTCTTTGCAACAGTAAATGAAGCTTAATCTAGTAACACAGTCGTAGCATGTAATGTTAAAAGACCAAGATGTAATGTTATAAAATCTTTTTTGAAAAAGACTTTGTTTAAACAATCAATTTGCAATTGAAAGCAAATATGCAGAAGTTTAAGTTGTAAGACAGCAACCATAAGTTAAGGGCGAACTTAAAAACTTATATGCAGCCTCTGTTGGTAGGCTTATGAAAAGCAGTGGGCAAAAACTGGCATGGCCTGTGGTGCCTTAAGTATTTCGAGTCTTTTACTGACTGTGTCTGGGCGTTACTGATGTCCCCTTTGCAGCCAAAATGTAGTAACTTTATTCAAGACATTAAAGTTTCATCTTAGCAGCTGATACTTCGTATTTTAAGTACAGCAAATGTTCTAGCACTGCATATGCATTTGTTGTTGCATCTGCACAAATCTCACAAATACCATTGACATTATGAAGATAAAAGCCTTGTTGGACATTATGTGGTGGGGGGCTTTTTGTTTTTTTTTTCATTTTTCCCTTTAAAAATGAAAATGTCAAGCCTGCTGAAAAAGAAAAGAATATTTAGAAGAAATATTAGAAAAAAATTCCTCTTCATGGTTGGGTGTTACTTGCCTCTCAAATAGGGAGCAAATTGTATGGGTTCTTCTCATCTGCTCAGTATTAACTTTTTGTGACTGATCACAGTATCAAAAAATGTTAGAGACTGGATCCAGTCTCAACTGAACTTTGTGGTTTAGCCTCTGGACAATGTCTTTGAGGCGTATGTTATAAACTACTTGTTATCATAAAATTAGGTGCTTAATTTCCATGTTACTAACACGAGTTTTTGTGCATGTGTTTCTGTGAATCTAGGGATGGTGTCAGTTCTGGATTTAATGCAAGGTGGTTTCCCTTCACGAGCTTCATTTCATGAATTATATAATATGTACAAGAAATACTTGCCTGAAAAATTGGCTCGACTGGACCCTAGGCTTTTTTGCAAAGTAAGAAATAAATAATTCTTCTGTATCAGCCAGGAGAGAAAATGTATTGTGGGGTTGTTTTTTGTGTTTTTTGAATTTTCTTGTCTTTTTTGAAGGAGGCAAAATATAATCCTTTCTGTTTTCTGTGTTTCAGGCACTATTTAAAGCCTTGGGACTGAATGAAAATGATTACAAATTCGGGCTAACCAAGGTGTTTTTTAGACCTGGCAAGGTAATCTTTTTCTTAGAGTTCATAAATGTGAATCTTAAAATAATTTCAATTGGAAGGGACCTTTGAAGGTGACATTGTTCAACACATTCCTAAAAGTGTGGCCAACCAAAATAAGACTGCCCAGGATTTTTGTAAATATTGTTCATTTTCAATGAAAAAAACCCCAAATATTAGTATTAGTACCAATACAATTGGTTTTATAGTCTTGCTGCTGCTGCTGTATTTCTAATGCAATGTTTGTATTCCCAGACTTATGTTGACTATTAAAAAGAAAAAGTCAGAACAAAGAAGAAATATTTTCTAGTAAAATCTATTTTTAGCTGAAATCTCTTTCTGTGATTCTGTGCATTGCTGCTGCTATGCAGAGAAAGGAGATGAAGTAGGGACCTGTTGTGTCGCAGAAGAATGTTCTTACTATCAAAATTACTAAAAAGCAGAAATACAGGATTTTTAGGAAAGGTTGCCTTCAGTGGGACTCTTATACAAAGGTTAAAAATTGGGAAGTGCTTTCAGGGTTTAGTTTTTCCCCAGATATACAATTAGATGTGTCCTGAAGTTGTGGAAGGCTAGAGTAAGTTTTCAGGATGTAGCAAAACAATTGATTTTTTGGCAATAAATATTTTTAGTGATTAGTAAATAGTTGGATTATTCAAAATGCCAAGTGTTGGACATCAATAAAACAAACAAACAAAACCCCTACAGTTGTCATTTCTGTTATCATTAAACAATAAAGTGATGTCAGATATATCTGCTCACTTTCATTAATTGAAAGCTGATATAATGATGACATACAATTTATGTTAAAAACATTTTAACTTTTTAATTAAGCATGATCTTAAATAACAATGCCTAACACTCTCTGTTCTCCTAATTTTACAATAATTTTAATTATTGTATAGTTTGCAGAGTTTGATCAGATAATGAAGTCTGATCCGGATCACTTGGCAGAGCTGGTTAAACGAGTGAATCGCTGGCTTATCTGCAGTCGTTGGAAAAAAGTTCAATGGTGTTCTCTCTCAGTGATTAAATGTACGTATTTTATGTGTTATTAAATCAAAATGTTTTTTAAAGAGACAGCAAAGCAATTATTATCACCTTGAAATGTGGCCAAGGACACATATAGCAGATGGTTAATTATAGAAGTCCAAGCAATTGATTTCAAAGCTGGTGAGATTTTTCCTTTTTTTTTTTGTGCTTTGTGTTAGTTATTTACAGGGGGGTTACAGCCGAGTTTGTACGAAGTGGGGCATACACCAGTCTCCCATGTCTAGTCTGCTTGGGTGCTTACCAAAGCCTGGGTAAACACTCTCACATAAATAACCAGCTACGACAGGTGTTGCCAGGAAGAGTCTTCTGTATCATAAGGAAAGAGGAGTGGTTCCACCCTTAGCTGGCAACATAGAGTCATTTAGTTCTGGGAAGTGCCTGCACAGGGGTTGTAATCTCCAGACAGAAATGGCATGTTTGAAAGTGTTGACGTGAACTACGGGACAAACATCTTCACTCCAGCAATTACTGCTCATCAGCAAATTAGTCCCTGTCACTGTTGATATGCAGTTTCCAAGTTCTTGGCCTGCCCAGTTTACAGAGTCATAGAATGACCTGGGTTGGAAGGGACCTCAAAGATCATCTAGTGCCAACCCCCCCCGCCACAGACAGGGACACAACCCACTAGACCATCCAACCTGGCCTTGAAGTTTACTGTGCAGAGTGGGAATGAAGTGGTGTGGAACAGAGATTGATGCTTGTGGTGTACTTCAGTTAAGATGTGTGGGAGATGTGGAGAGGTCTGATACAGAATGTCAGGAATCTATAGTAGCACAGAGGGTGAAAAGTATGCATTAAAATGGGGAAGAAAAGCAAAAAGACCTCATGCCAGTGCACACACAGCTGTGCATTTGGGCTGGCACAGTCACACTTCCACATCTGTCACTGATTGGATATTATTTGTTGCTGCTCATAGTGGTGCAAACAGAATTTGTGAATTCTTAACATATAGGCTTAAGACATCAGAAATTGTAACAGTAAAATCTTTTGCGTTCAGAAATTCATTCCATTTAGTCTGTTTCTCAGAAAGACAGGACAAAGTTTGTCACTGTGTCCAAAAAGTAGAAACTTAGGGAAATAATATTCATGTATCTTACTTCTTTGTAGTGTTTTATGGGAAATTAGAAGCTAAGTTTTTTTTCCCAGAATAAAGCTGAAATAGATATACAAGAAGTAGAGTGCAGCTTTGTGACCACTGAAGTCTAGTGGTTAAATATACTGTGTTCACAAACTCTGTGCTCAGCAGGTGACTAAAGGCAACATGGATCCTTATATTTCCTTTAATAGATATATAGAAACTGCATTTATTGTTACACTTCTAAAATACTCAGCATATGTGCATGTGCCTGTGCCTTGATTCTCTATTTAACTTGCCTCCTGGTCCCAGTCATTTGAGTCTTTAGATGAAGTCTGTATTAGAACAACAGCTAGAGGTTCTGTTTCGTGGGGCTTTTTTTCATTCTGGTGTTGTAGAGAAATGCTCTGCAAAGTTGCAGCCACTTTATTATCTCGAGCAGATATTGGCTACTTGATTACTGTTCAACACAGCACTTTGACTTAAAGTTAAGTGTTTCCTGCTTGCTAGATCCCATGACTTTTAACAGAGGTTAATGATATTTATGAATCTGGAGGGAGGTGATGGTGCATGTGTGTGCACACGTGCTTCATTGTTCCTGTATGTTTTGGATGGGAGCCTCTATGTCTGCCCCAAGATTGTTAATTCTGCTGTCCACTGTGTCTTAAATGTTGTGGTTCCAATACAGAACAAGCTCTCAAACACATGGAGTCTACATACGGTTTTGAGCTATGAAACGTGTAATACAGGAGTTTGTTAAATTGTATAAAACATTGAGACGATATCTTCTGTGTCTTTACAGTGACAAATAAGATAAAATATCGAGCCTGTGCCTGCATTAAAATACAAAAGACTATTCGTATGTGGCTTTGCAAGAGAAAGCACAAACCACGGTAAGAAGATATTCCTTGGCTGAAGAAAATAGGTTTTAAATAATATTCTCTTGTGACTGTAAAAAGCGAAGATTTACCGTTGAAGGAGACCTTGAGAGGTTCTGTGTTCTCTTTCCCAAGGATCAATAGACTAAATCTGAACCTTTCCTAAGAGATGTTTATATAGCTCTTTGCTCATAAAATCCTTCAGGGGCAGCCTAGTTTTTAGAAATCCTTCTTTTAAGTCTGTCTAAATGAATTTTAAGCTCATTAATTTTTGTCCTTTACCCATTCTTTTTTTAACTTAGTGTGGCAGTTTGAGCCACGTTAGAAATCCAAAATCCAATTTCCAGGCTTCCCTGCGCCCCTTCCCACAATATATCCCAACACTGGAGAGAAACTTTCAGGCCAGAGGCTTCTATAGGGGAAGGGGGAAGTATATATATTTATTTACACAAATAAATATACTGTACAAACTAAAAGCAGATAGATAGATATATATATATATATAGCATTTCTATCAGTCCTTTTAAACCCCTCCCTTTAATTTTAGTCCAGGAAGAGCCTTCCAAGGCTGCTAAGTAACGCAGTCTCTCTCGTGTGGGAGCGTTCTGGTCCCCCAAACGCTCCCTAACCAACCTTCAGCTGTTGGCTGCAGTTTTCTTTCCTCACAAAGTCCCAAGATAGCTTCAAGTCTGTCCTCTCATACCTCAGTTCGTAGGCTGCTGTAGTGTAGTCCAGCTTATCAAGCGTCTGCGTCCTGGAATGTTGATTGTTCCTCCGCTTTTCGGCTGTCCTGCGTTTAAATCACGGCAGAGACATCCTCCGGGCCTCTCTTCGGTCCATCTCCAATTTCGCCTGGGATTCCTTTCCCTAGCTCCAAGCTGTTTCGTCAGCAGCCTGTCCACTTGGCTCTGCTTAAATGCTGAGCCTTGCATCCACTCCCACTAAACAGCGAGAGGGAAAAACAGCCCCCTTTTGCAGCCTGGCAAAGGGATGGGGGAGAAGAGGGTCTGGCCACAAGGACCCTCTCTCTCTCTCTCTCTCTCTCTCTCTCTCTCTCTCTCTTTCCCACTTACCAGTTGTTTGTGAGTGATGTCCATCACAAACACTCACTTCAATGGTGCCTCCAACTCTGGCCTAGGCAGAGTTGGGGGGCCGCAGGGCTCCCCTCTACCCCCCCCTGGAGGGGGGAAGAAGGAGCCCAGCCACCCCCTGGCCTTCTCCACCTACACGCAGCAGACACCAACAGCTGAACTGCCAACAACTTCCAGTGCTGTGTATATATGATTTTGAGCAGAAGCAAACAACATGAATGGTGATTGGCTCTCCAGGGAGCACTGCCCTGGCACCCATCACCTCTGAGCCCCTCGGCTCCCAGGGGGGGCCAATTTCAAACTATGACACTTAGAAATAATTTTGTTTTACCTGTCTTGTCTCCTCTTGAAATTAAATAATTCCATTAGCTGACTGCACGGAATACTGATGGAAAAAACACTTCAGTCATTAAGCTCTCCTGACATCTTTGTTGTTTGATAGAGATCCAACTCTGTTCTTCAGTAGTGGGCTTCTTATAGAATTTTTTCCTTTACATCCTTTAAAAGTCGTATTTCATTTCTGACCAGTTTCCTTTATTTTAAGCTGTTTGGTACTCATATTTAATTAATTGATTTAGTTTCTACTTTTTATGTGTTGTTTTTTGTGATTCTCAGTTCCATGATTTCTGTTTAGGAAGACTGTCTGTAGAGTTGTAACTTCTGTGCATGTCCTTCATTAGTTTCTTAAAAAAACTCCCAAGTTTTCCTGGATTCTTCCCTAGCCTTGTTTTTTCACTCCCATGGGGTCTAATGACTGTGCTCCCTGCTGTGTTGTTAACTTTTATCTGTTTCAGTCCCATTAGCTTTTTGAGTAAGTGGCACTACTCAGCCTTTATCCACTTCAGTCAAAATTCTCTAGTGAACTAAGGATTTAATACTGGGGGAAAAAACAATCCAACCCAACATTAATTCAAAATAAAAAGGCTTTTTTCCATTTTGAGTCATTGACTGCTAGTCACTTTTAGTTACTGTGTGCAAAAGGCTACATTACTTAGTTACTCGATGTGATAATATTTGAATTTCAAAAAAGAGGGTGAGTTTTGTCAGAAGACATAATTTGTCTGCCATCTTACTCTTCTGAGTGAGTGATTAGCGGTAGTTTTAAAAATATCACCTTCTAAAAACATCTCAAGATACAAATAAACTGTCTTTCCTTCACAGCATTGATGGCCTGATAAAAGTGCGTACACTGAAGAAGAGACTCGATAAATTCAATGAAGTAGTAAGTGCCCTGAAGGAGGGAAAAGCAGAGACAAGCAAGCAGGTCAAGGAGCTGGAGTATTCTATTGATGCATTAATGAACAAAATTAAGGTATGTGATAATAAGGAGAGAAATAGTTTCTTATCACTGGAATCTTCTAAAAACTTTATCTAAAGTAGGCGGCCAATGAATTTTTCTTTAATAGAAAAGGTACTTTATTATAGTGGTCTTAATTTTCATTCACTGGGTAAATCCTGTTTAAAATTATTTGTGAATGTAACTCAAGTGAATCCTGAAACTAGGTCCATATGTCTATACTTTGGTATTATTATCTGTGTTTCAGAATGGGCACTGAAGAATTTAAAGCAAAAATGCACGTTGATATTATGAGAAGTGTTGTCAATAATTTGCTTGTTGCTTTTACTATTGGAATAATGCATATTAGCAATATTTTAACTTCATCAGGGCTGAAACAGACAAGCCTTTATCACAAGATAAAGAGATTTCTGTTCCAGTTAACTGGTAGTAAACAAAGTCAGCTCACTGATTATGCGTCAGGGTCTATAGTTCTCAGTTTCATACCACAGAAGTAAAAGACAAAATGAAAGCACACTGGCATTTATTGATGTTAGAAAAAATTGGGTTTGTTGAATTCTTGTTTCATGCAATATTACAGCTTCCTTAGTGTACCATATTAAGATCTTTTCATTTAAAATCACAGTTGAAAAGATGCTAGAGTTAACCTGTCAACTTAGAGTTCTCTTTTCTAATAAAAATAATATAATTTGATTATTGCCATGATACACCCTCAGAAAAGGTCAGCAAACATCCCATATTGCAGTTTTATTAGTATGATGTGAATTGTAAAATGAAATTAAATTGTAGCTTTCAATTAGGTTGGAAAATGTATGTAGCAAAGGCTATTTTTTAGAGTATTTTCAACCTGTCATTTGCTACTAATACCTTTTTCTAAAAAGTTAGTCACAGCATGGCCCAATATTTTTTCTGAGTGCTAGCAGAAGCAGTGAGAAAAATATATTCTATGACATAAAAGGCAGAGCTGTAAATAACCACTATAGCAGATAAGAACACAATGCAAAATGCACATGGACAGGCCTTAGTTTTCATCCTAGCATGGTAAGAATTAATTTCTGTTGCTTAAAACTGCAAAATTTAAAATATGAAGGCATGTTTTAAAGAGAAGTCGTTTAATTTCAGGGGTGAAAAGGAGATTACTTTTATGGTTTTACATGAGAGAGGACAATAATGAATCCTCAGGATTTCAGAAAGAAAGAGAAGAATGGACTCAAACTTCCCCACCCTGAAGTGTCTATATATATTTTATTATAGTGCTCAATGTTCTCATTTCACTTAATATTATTTCAATAGACATTTTTAAAAGTGAAGTATAAATGCAAAAGAATATAATCCCCTTATTATTTTTGCAGACCACTATAATGACTAGAGAACAGATACAGAAAGAATATGATGCTTTAGTTAAAAGCTCAGAGCAGCTTCTGAGTGCACTGCAAAAGAAGAAGCAGCAAGAGGAGGAAGCGGAGAGGCTACGACGCATCCAGGAGGAAATGGAAAAAGAAAGAAAGAGACGTGAAGAGGAAGAACAAAAACGAAGGAAGGAAGAAGAAGAAAGACGTCTGTGAGTCATGAATAAGTTGTTGGTTATAGAATGAGAAGAAAATAGGAAAGGCTTTTTAATGAGGTTGTTTTTAATAGCTGTATACGTAGAGAGTTACTTGGATTGTATTCCTGGTGTGCTGTGCAGTGTTGAAATGTTCCCTTTCCCAGTGAATTATAAGGCAAGTGTTAGAATAGCGAATGGAAGAGATGATATGATGCAGCTGCAAATACAGATGAACTTGAAAAATGTCTTGACTTTACAAGTGTCCTGTTATCAGGACTGTACTGACATCTGGATTAGCATTCAGTTTTATGGAAGATATCTCTTACTATCTCATGTTCACTTGCATCATAACAATGTTTTCATTTCCTTCTTTTGTAATAGCAAATCTGAGATTGAGGCAAAGAGAAAACTGGAAGAGGAAGAGAGGAAAAAGAGGGAAGATGAAGAAAAGCGTATTCAGGTTAATATTTTAGCTCTGTGTGGCTTTGGCTTTTTTTTTTTTGTTCGTGGTGGTTGTTTTGGGGTTGTTTGTTTGTTTTGTGTATTTATTTACTTACTTTTGAATCTTTTTTGCAGCTTAGGTTCTCCACTGAGTCTAATGGCTTAATTTTGTAAATGCACATCTCAGTCATTCACCAGTGTTGCTTTAGTAGAAAATGTAAGGCACAAGTCATGAATAGGGCATCCCAAGACAGATTACCTATTTCTAGTTCATGTGCAGCTGTTGGTCTTCTGAGTTTAAAGTTAAAAATACACAACACCGGAGAATTCTAGTTAAGCCTTTGAAGTTTTTGCAGATGTTCCATGTCAGCCAAGTTTGTCATTTTTACTGGAAGTCACATCTGGACTCGGACCCATATGCAAAGCAGTGCCTATTGCAAAGTCCTGTAATGCCAAGTGCAGAATATTGAGGAAGTACTGTGTTAGTGCTGTGGAGGAGTAACTATAGTGCTCTGTATCATTTGAATTTTAATGATTCTAAAAACTTTTGAAGACTAGTTTTCATAATAGTGAACAAAAAGCTTAGTGTATTTTTTTAAATGAGTAATAATTATTTGGTACTTTATTTGAATAGGCAATACAAGTGGTGGACAATAATTATTTGATAAACTATATGGAAACCAAGGTGCAATCTGTAGCTGTTTCATTTTTCTTGGGTCAAACTGAATACTGATGCTGTTAATTTTTCAGTTCTGTAAATATTGCATGTTTTGAAAAGCTATTAATATACTACTTAACATATTTTTCCAATATTGCTTCTGTAGCATTTTGATTTCAATTGGATAAGGTTAGAGATGTCTTTTTATAAAACAGGCTGAAATTGAAGCTCAGCTAGCTAGAGAACGAGAAGAGGAAACCCAGCACCAGGCAGTGCTTGAGCAGGAACGTCGTGACCATGAACTTGCAATGAGAATTGCCCAGAGTGAAGCAGAACTCATCAATGATGAGGCTCAGCTTGATTTAGGATTGCGCAGGTATGGGGTTAAGTAGTTACATTTTTCTCTCTTTTTTTTTTTTTAATTTTTGCTTCTTCCAATCCTGATCAATTTGAGAAGACTACGCTCTTGCTGGTTTTATGTATCTTTGTATTCATTAAATGGACCTCTTAAGTCAGTGTACTAAAATCTCTTTCAAATTAACTTGTGAAATTTGTTAGAAAGATTGCTTTTGCTTAAAGACTTCCTTCATTTTGCATCTTGCTACATCAGTAGTTTTGTAGTTGCTTGTGAATACAATTGCAGTTCTCTTTCTCTTTTTGAGTTCTGACAAGGATGGCAATCAATTTAAATTCTGATTTTTATGACTCATTTAAAGTAGGGAATGGAATTTCTTCAGTGGTAAGTAGTAATAAAATACACCTTTTCTAGTACTTGATGATTCTGCTTGTACAGTGTGAATTTGGGGGGGGATTTAAACAAGAATCCCTCTTTGAATGCAGAAATAATAATAATAGTTATTTCTGTGTCCTGACTGTTAAGTTTTTTAAGTGAATGAATATATCTAATATAGATGTATTTGAAAATTAAATACTGTATTAGTTTTGTTTTGTGTGAAATTTTGATGTGTCATAAGAATTGCTAGACTTTTAGTATAGAGATCCACATTACCTGTCTGCAAAGCAAGAGCTCTTCATGTGTAAAAGGTGCCTTACAAGCGACTTAGAAGATCCAGTAAAGATGGTACTTACTGGTCAAATTGAATAAACGTACCTATGAACATGGTCACATAATTGGTGACTTCATTAGTACTAGTCTGCTCATTTTGTTGTTGAAAGAAGGAGTGTGAGAAAATTCCCTGTTTCCATGGAATTTCAAGCTCCCAGATGTGTTTCCTTTGTTACCCAAATTTTATCTAGATGTATACTTTTTTTTTTTAAAATAGCTGCATGCCTACTTGAGATAGGTGGATAATGTTTTTTGTCATGTACAATACTGATTTCTAGATGCTTCCACTAAAATTGTTGTCTTGCCCTCAGTTATACAGTAGCTGTCACCAATAAGACTAACATGCTTAATTCACAGAATCATAAAATGGCTTGGGTTGGAAGGCGACCTTGAAAGTCATCTGGTTCCAATGCCCCTGCCATGGGCAGGGACACCTTACACTAGACCAGGTTGCTCAAGGCCCCATCCAACCTGGCTTTGAACACCTCCAGGGGTGGGGCATCCACAGCTTCCCTGGGCAGCCTGTTCCAGTGCCTCACACCTTTCCCTGTTTGGATTTTGGTGCAATACTTTAAAGGTAAACACAAAGTCACCCCAGTGTTGCAACCTGGCAGAGTTCTCTTAAATATGAAAAAAGGGAGGCAATAGACAAGAAGGGCTTAGAGAACTCAATTTTTCTGTCAGTGAACTTCTGATCTCCGCAGTGTTTCCTGCCGCTCATGGGTGATTTTAGTATTTGTCTTTCTTGTATAATCCCAGAATGGATGATGAACTAACCATCATCATAACTCTTTATGACGGCCAGTTTCTCTCTGATATGTAGCGGTATGAGACTGAAGACTCTTTTGGATGATTGGAAAGTGCTGAATGGTCTGAATAAGTTAGCATAGCGATGTAAATCCTTTGATAATACACAAATATAGAAAAAATAATAGATTTTTCTGCTTATGTGAGATTTCTTTTTTTCTCATTGGCAAATTTTTTCCCCCTACTGTTTCTAAGGTCTACTTCAAATAGTTTTAAGCACGTTCAAAAATTGATTAGAATGCTTTTAATTTAATCTTTGATTTATTTTATTTTGGTTTGCTTAAAACCAAACTAAAACATTCTCCAGGCCCCAGTGTCTTCTACTAAAATCAAAGGATAGATTTTCACATAACTTCAGGAATTGGCTTAAATGTAGAAACTAGAGGAATTCTCTGAAATTAAAACTCTTTATTGGTTTGAACAAAATATGTAATTTAATAACTAAAACATAAATTCTCAGAACTTATTTTAATTGATACCAATCAAAATTTTACTAGAGTCTGAGGAAGTTACATTAAGCCATCTTCTGCATTTGAGACTTGCACATTACCATATGATACACTAAAATCAACATTTTCTGTTAAAATTCTGCTGTAGTAAGATAAGGCACGTATCCCTTCATACTAAATTCATGCAGTATACTCGTTCTATGCTGTTTTCACACAATTCTGTAAAAAATCTTTTCATGCTTACACATTGGTATGAATGAAAGGGTATTTTCTCTTGTATGGTGCTACCTGTGGAGTGAAAAGAGTAAGAACGAGGTGATTTTATGTGTTTATTTTTAAGGAACATGTATTTTTAAGGTACCTGTGTGTTGTCTTATTTGAAAATGAGTAGCCTCTACTTTATTCTTTGCTACCCAATACCTTGCAACATTCATCATTAGTTTTTATAGATATTTAAAAGTACATAAGCATTAGCAGTTCCTTTAAAAAATATATTTGTTGGCTTCTGTCAAAGAAGAAAAGTTACTTTTCTGGCAGTAGATCCAGCATTTTTATTTGTGCTTATTCTGTGTGGGATATGCTGAACTTCTAGCTTCATCCAATTTTATTACTCATCCACAGTTTAAAAGGATGTGTAATAAGGGTTTTACGGCACCTAACAGCAGTACTTAGCACTTAAGTAAAAAATAAGTTAAATAATAGATATTTGCTTTCAATTGTGTAATAATTTTAATTTATGCGACTTAGTGAAAGATACAGTATAGCATATGACACCAAAAGAAGCTAGTCACAGAGAAAGTGTTACTAGACTACCTGTTCCGTGTGTTAAGTTGGAACAACCCAAAAAAGTTTTAATTTGTAGCATATTTAGTGCTACATATGTGCACCTTTGGGTTTCTTGTATGGCAGTTAAGACTCAGGGTCTTTTCACAGCTTGCATGAAGAAGCATCTGTCTTGTTCCCAGAGAAGCTGCACGAGGATTGCTGTTATTTCTTGTGATATGCTTATCCAAGAAAGAAATGTATCAGTAGCATGGCTCAAAGTCTCTGATTTTGAAATGGTGGGGGAAGTTTTCAGCTGTACATTTTTTCCTGATTGTAATTTAACTCATGATTAAATGAGAAAGGAGGAGGAAAAAATCCTGTTTCTCAGTTAAAAAAAAAATGATAGGATGTGAAAGAGCAGGAAATACTATGACCCACCTTTTCCCACTTCAGATTATTAGAAAGTTAACTGGGAAGTAGTCTATCTAATATATATCTTCTATTTGCAGAGCCAATGGAAGAAAGCCACAAATGACTGCGTATGGCATTTTTTTGCATTTGCATGCTCTAATAGAAAAAACTCCCCTACTAATTAATTAAAAGAAATTGATATTGTGCTTTTGTATACTAATACTCCGTAATAATCTTTATTAGCATGCTTCTGTAACCTCTAAATCATTAATACCTTATATTCACTACTTTGCTTATGTCTAATAAATACTTTAATAATATACCTAATAATATCCTATTTAAGGATGATTATATAATTACTTTAAGGTTTTTCACATGCCTTCCATTTTTGATTGTCCTATGTGATTTATTACTCTTTACAAAATCAGGACTCTCTGTGTGTGTGTATATATATATATGGAAATGGAAGTAATCTAAATTAAGTAGCCATATGCTGTGCACTTTATTTAACTTCAGTTTGATTGGCAAGAGGCTTTCACAGTTAAAAAGGCTTGTTTTATATGAGTACATTTGGATTATGATCATTTATCAATTTTCTTATAGGGAACAAATGGCCACAGAAATGTCAGAAATATTGTCTAGGTAGGTGAGAGGACAACATGAAATGAATCAATCATTTTATAAAAACAAATCACACATGAAATGGGTTGAATTATTATGAAATTAAAAATAATGGAATCTGGGTTTTTTCAAGTGATAAACAGATAAGTAAATTATGTCTTTCAGATAAATTTACATTATCACCACCTTTTTCTCAGCAATTATGTTTCTATGATTTTTATTGATTATATTAAAAAAAAAGAATAGTTCACATACCCTGATATTTTGTGTAATTTTGTTAATGTTTCTCCAGCTTTTTTCTCTTTTCACCTTTGTAATGATAAAGCACTGGGCTCCACCTCTTTCAAAGGTGTATTTCTACAGAGTTAATGAAGTTATTTATGTCAACATAATTGTTGGTGCTTTTAATAAGAACATATTCTAAATATAATTAATTTCAAATAAAAGCAGTTTTGAAAATTACCATGTTAAGACCATATTAAAATGCCTCTTAAGACATCTAAACAAAAGACCCTTCTGAGATTTCTTGAATGCTAATGCAGGATTTTGTGCACAGTGCAGAAGGAAAGGAGAACAGTGCTTGAGGTCTGAATACAATTTTGCTGGAACAGTCTCACACTAGCTGGTGCTAGAATACTAATTCTCCGTTCAAAGAATTTGTTAAAATGTCCTCCATATTAATGAGTAATTGAAAAGTGTTTTATGCAACTTGAGGATGGAAATTACCTTTGACATTCATTTTCTGAAGCTTACATAAGAAGCAAAATTGTTCAGAGTTTTTAAAAGTTAACCAGTTGTTAAACAAGCTACTAAGCTGTTTTTTATATAGTCTGGAGATGATCGGTTTCATGGGATTGATGAGTTTTCTATTTGTAGCATTGATAATTGGAAATGCAGCTGTTAACTATATTTGTTTCTTGCAGTGGTATTTTAAGAAAAGGAATAAACCATGTTGTGTGTAATTAAGTTAGCATGCAAATTGAAATGGCCAGATTGCGTTTCATATATTGACATATGGCCATTCATAATGGCCAATTTTTAATGTACAAAAAAATGACAAAACTTTGGGACAAAATCAGAAGCTCTGTGTTGTGGTTGAATTCAAAATGCAATACTTCTTACTGCATACTTGTTTAATTGAATTTTTCTCACTTTTCATACACTGGAAACTTTTGACTTAAGACTGATTTTTTTAAAATTTTTTTTTATTTTTAAAGTCTGAAAATATTTTTTACGATACGTAACTCTCAGACTGAGCAGTGAACACTGATTGTCAAGTGTGATGCTCCTCTTATTGCCAGACTGCTATGCTGAAAGTGGTGTAGAAAACAAAAGAGTGATCTGCAGAGTGCAGACTAGTACTGCAATAGAAAGACTAAGCCATTCAATTGGATTAGGATTCTTAAAGATTACTAGTTTAACCAGAGATTGTATAGCCTAGTTCTGCTGCTCTAAATTATGTAGCAAACTCTTGAAGTGGTGGGTAGTGTTGCTAAATAAGGAAAATCCTTAGGATTTGTTAAATTAAGTTCAAGAAGTTTAGACACCAGGCAGTGGAAAATATTTAGCAGCAATCCTTTAATGTCCTACAGGTATGCCAACAATAACAAACTATTAAAATATATATTTTGACGGAGTTTGTCCAGTTATTTGTTTTACACTTATGAGTAGTGCTAAGTCAGAGCTAATTTTTTATGTCAGAATTCTCATGTACTATAACTGGAAGCTGTGTGTTGAGTCAGATTAGTAGTATGAGTAGGCATTATTAAGCTGACACTACAATAAAACTAGTTTTAATTACATTGAAGAGATGGTGCAGTTAAGAAGAACATTTAGTTAAACAGATTGTTTTATTCTATGAAATTTAAATTGCATTTGTTTTCTCTGCTTTCAAAACTGCTTTATCTGCATAAAGAAATTTTTCAGGTTATAATAGGTGTTTATAACCTGTTAATTAAAGAGGGAAAAATAAATATCAAGCTTCAGGGTACCACATGAGACCTTTATGGAAAAATAAATGTTAAAATAGTATTTACTGGATTATACTTACTGTAATAATGTACCAGTCCCACAAAGATATTGCACAAACAGACCTTCAAATGAAAAGGTTTGTTTTCTTCTGGTTTTATCTCTTGTGATTTTTTTTATATGACATATTGCATCAAGAATTCTGCTACCCTGTTAAAGATCTAGTTTCTTCTGAACAAATCCTCTCAGATCCCAAAAGATAATTCAATTTGCTTTATGTTCTTAGTCATGAGCATTAGTGAAGGTTGGTAAAATCATGTGTGTGTTTTTTAATTTCTTAGTGTTCAAGTGTGCTGATCATCACTGAACATTGGCGTGTTTTGAACTCCTTTTATGTGCAAATAATCCATGGGAGGTTTGCCATTCCTAAGGGAGGGTTCTTCCACTTCTTATCCATACCATATTTGTGGAAAAAAAAATAAAATTCAAGTTTATCTTTACATGTAATGTTTGTTTTGTACATGGAAACCTTGTACACGCTTTTAAAGATCACGGAGATTTTAGTAATAATTTCTCATTTGTATTTGCTGCTGACTTTCTTGTATATTACCTACATGATGAATACCTTTGGCCTTTGATAAAAACTGGGTTTGGATGGCTCTATACTAATCAGCCTTTCCTCTGTGTGGTATTTTTTACCTTAGTATTTCTTGAGGATTCATATCCTTCCCAAATAAATGTTACCGTTCTCAGACAGCCATTATACAATTAATATAGAAATAATTTGATTTCTTCTATCAAATTAGACTTTTTTTAAAGACACAGAATATTTCATCAAGTTTTGGAACAAGTATTTTGTCCTAATCCAATTTTAAAGAGCAGAGGAAATGCCTTTTCTTCCTTCTCCTGGTTCTACTTCAGAAATATTTTTCCTTGTCTGTTTTCTGAATGGAACTAAAAATGTCTGTGGGCATTCTTTGTTGTCTCTTTTCTACATCTTGGCTAGTACTAAGTAAAATGCGCATCAGCATGGGATGAGATACACAGAGATAGAACATGCATCTTTTCACATATAAGCACTATTAATGACAATTCCTTTTAATCTCTAGGAGACCTGTCAGATGACTGTGTGATTTTTGGACATAAAATATGTTTTAATTTTCTCTTAATAATTTGAACATCTTGAAAATAATGTGGTATTTTGCCTTTAAATTCAGTCTGTTTGCTACTGATTTTTGTGGCAATAAGAGTGATGTAGTGTTGATCATGGGATCTCTTCCTCCTTTTACAACAACTCCTGTTTAATACTTAAAAAATACATATATATTTTTTAAATAATCTTAGGGGTCCTGCAGTGCAAGCCACAAAAGCTGCTGCTGGTACTAAGAAGCATGATCTCAGTAAGTGGAAATATGCAGAGCTTCGCGACACAATCAATACATCCTGTGGTAAGTGCGATTTTTTTCTGAGTTGAGAAAGAGGTCAAGTTGCAGTTGCATGTTACTTTCTTCCTATTACACAGATAAAAACTTTTTTCAGGTTTAAATTAATAACAAATTAATTTAAAAAGTTCTGTTACCCCAAAAGCAGCAATAAATGAAGCTGTTTCCATATTAAGAAAACAATTTCTTTGTTACCTCTTTTAGTGATTATATATTTATGATAGTAAACTGCTTGGACCATAAAATATGTGTTATAATTTCTTAAATAAATTGTCTCAGATTTTTGTATTTCCACAAAGGGAATAATAGTTATTGTGCTTTACCTGGAATGTGTGTGTTCTAAGAAATTGTTTGCTATCACTTCTTGCTGTCACCAGATCACAAAGAAAGCAAATATGTCATATAAAGCACAGCATAAAATATTTTCTGTCTTGGATATTCAGATTATTTGTTAATTTTTCCAACTTCTTTTGGGAAGCTCACAGTTGGGGCATTAATTACTTTTCCCCCAGTCTGAAGATAGAAACAGATAAGAATTATTCCTTTATTAGATACTACTGTCTCTTCCTGTTTCTCATTGAAAGCAGTTGGTTAACTTCTGATTTAAGATTCCTCTATTTTTCCCTGAAGAGAAATTGGAAACAAATCCATTCTCTTATGCTGTTTTTACACATGCAAGACTGGAGCAATGTTTTCACCTGACTAGGTGCTGCAATAATACCTGATGCTCACGTGTGTTCATCCCTAGTGAAGCCAGTTTGGGTACTCTTAGATGACTAAGGAAAGAACCTTGGGATCATTCAATCTCTTAGTATAATGAAATTCAGCAAAATGAAAATATACAAATATATATACCTAGATATGAGCAGTCAAATTGCTGGTTTTCTTTCTGCAGTTGCAGAAATAAAGTTCAGCAGTGAAATTTTATGTTTCTGTGCTGCTTGTCTTGTGATAGTGTCAACTGGCAAATTTAGTTTTATTTGTCACATTTCACTGCTCCAAATCCCTCAGTATAAAGCTGCTTTGGGGATTGCCTTTACTCTAACGGAAAGGATACACAGAACTCTGAGGTAATTTCTGGGCCATAAAATACAGGCCCTGTGCTGCAGATAATGAAGTTTATTATATTACATTTTAATGTATTAGTGTTACAACTTGAGCTCAAATTGTATACCTATCAATATAAAAAAGCATTTAATAAATAATTTTTCTGATTTTTCTCACTCATCCCTTCCCTCCTCATTTTTGGGATAGATATTGAACTGTTGGCAGCTTGCAGAGAAGAGTTCCACCGAAGGCTAAAGGTGTATCATGCTTGGAAATCCAAGAATAAGAAACGCAATGCAGAAACAGAACAGCGTGCTCCCAAATCGGTCACAGACTATGGTGAGGAGAGATAATTTTGTGTTTATAATCACTTTTGTGGCAATATTCTAAAGAAAACATTTCTAGAATCAATTTTGAGTTTGCTAGGTTGAAGGAAATTCTTGGGGGTTTTAAGAGTATTTTTATGTTTATTTAAGGTAAATACTTTGAAAAGATTGAAACTGGCAAATACTTTGCAGAAATTGAAATACTTTAATAGACCCAGATAACTGTGTTGAATAGCTCTCCCTAAAACCTTTTCTTGCATCCAAGTCACATCTGTTAAAATTCATTCTTGATTTAGGCATTTTTGCTAAGTGTTCATTGCTGTGCTACTTTATTATTTCATAATATATAGCTATTTAGATATAAATATAGATACTTTTAAAAGGTGCTGATTTATCATTTACATCATGGTAAGCCTTACGTACATTAGCTTACATTCTCTTTTTAAAAATTCTGTGAGTGCTGATATTGCAATTTTTGCTTATGGGATTTTGTGTAGTCCCTGCTTTCTTATTAGTCCTTCATTCTGCTGATTTCACAGATGCATGTTTATTGTCAAAGCAATGAACTAATGAGAATAAGTGACTGCCTTTCAAGCTCATCAAGAAAGTGTAGGATTTGCCATGTTTAATACTGCCAGACTGAAAATTCAGTGCCCAGTTTCTGGAGTGCCATTTGCGGAATGAATTGTGTTCCTGCCATACAGTTGAAGCAAGAGGCAGAGGAAAGGGAAGATGGAGAGAAAGTGCTGTCCCCAGAGTCCCATTAGCCTGAGATTAGAGTATTGTCCTGGGACATGGAGGATAAAGATCTCAGGGAACACAGGTGCCCTGCTTTCTCTCAGTTCATATACAAAGTTGTCTCCTTCCCCTTCATTCATTTACTGAGTGTGCATTGCTTGAGAATTTGAGGTTTTTGGGGAACTTTGGTACAGATGTATGGCAAGTGAAATCTGAACCCCTGGAGAAGATATTACTAAAGAATGGATCCTTGTGACTGTGCCCAGTAATGTGGTTTTAAGTGCTTAAGAAAGCTAATGACTGAAACGGCAGGAAAAGGCACTTGAAGCGCTTCTGCAAAGCAGTAAATTGCTTTGAGTTTGAGTTCACAAGTTCTCTGTGGAGCTAAATGGATAAAATACATATTCATGCACAGTATTGCTGATGGGAAGTATCAAAGAGCAGAAAATCTTTGGATTTGTGCACACAAAGCTTGGAATACTCATATTCTTATCCCATGTATTCAGACATTTACAGCATTCTTATCAGTGGTTTTCATTGCATTTTTTTACTTTTCTTGAAATACGGCATCATATTTGTGAAGAAAAGGACATTGCGGTTCAGAAGAAATTGATGGCAACCTATAAAGACTCTTAATGTCAGAATGATTCTTCCTATTGTGAATAATTATACTACATGGGCATTTCACATCTATGTATTATTGTGATCTGTGCAGATAGGAAGAAGGGATTCTGATTTCCTAGGTGCTAAAGCTAAAAGACTTTCAGGTGTCAGTGGATGTGTACTTCAAATGATGCAGTTTCTTCTTTCCATGTCTTCATTGATGTAATATAATTTTACAGGTATCCTTTAATTAAATTAATACATTCAGTATAGAAGCTAAACACTGGTTTGTATGTTATTATTGGAATAGGCAGATTTGGTATTCCAGAGGTCTGGAAAATTTTTTGTAGCATAAATATCAAAAATTAAAAGTACTACATTATTAACTAGTGGATTTGTCACAGCAATCTGTGCTTAGCATGTATACAACTGAGTTTTTGTAACTGGCATCTCAAATTATAGAAGTAGTAAATTTCAAGATTAAATTCTGATGAAAATAGAAGTACAAAATTAATAGAAAGACTTAGTATCTGTGTTTATTTTGCAACTAGAATTCCCAATTGTGTATCATCAGCATTGGTGAAAAATGTTGAGGTAATGAAACAGTAACTTTTAAAGGATCAGCACTTTTATGTTTTGTTCAACATGTAATATTTGTTCACAGATTTTGCACCATTTTTGAGCAACTCAAGTAAGTGAGGAGATGGTTATTTAAGCTAACCTTGAAGAATAGGAAGACTTGACAGCTTGATACTAACATTAATTAATCCAGTGTTTTGCTACACTTGTACATAGAATTTAATTGTAAGAATAATCTATTTTGCAATTTGGCAATGTTATTCATTTGATGGTAATTATACATTATTCTAGTAATTTACAAATGTACTTGTCTTCATGAAATCCTACCCATTTGAGCAGTAGTGGGAAGGGAGAATGAAATAACCTTTTTATGTGGGTTATTTGAAGATATAATCTCCCTTTTTTTCATACCCCCTACAAAATAACTTGTTTGTTCTAATATTTTTTCACTGTCAGCATATGGCTTTTTGTTGTAGCAAAACTCTGTAATCAACTTAATATAACAGCTATTTTCCTAGCACACAAACTAACGTTCAGGTGATGGTTTCTTCTGAATAAAGAAATTCAGTTCCATAGCACTGAGAAATAGAGGCTATACTGGCTGCTTAGTGTTCCTGTCCTCTAGATTTGCTCTTGGATTTAGGTATGCATAGGGGTAGAAAGGAGCCTTAGCAATTACTGTTGCAGTGCAAAAAGTATTTGACAATACTAAAGCACTGATGTGCTCGGATAGGTGTTCAGACAATTTGTAGAAAATAGTATTAATTTCTTATAAACTGTGTCTTCCTGTAAGGTACATGTTTTATCAGAGTTGATGTATAAAAGTAGCATTCACCTGTTAAAATACTGCTTTTCTTCTTCTCTTTGTTTATGCAGACATGGGGAAAAAAAGGGAATATGTTATGTATAACACATGGGGGTTTTTTAAGGTTCTGCTCTTCAGGCTCAGAATAACTATTTTTACTTGAATCAAAGCAGAAGAAATTTCAAGTTGCAGTTGCTGGTCTATATTAATCTTGTTCACAATTGTAAAAATACATTGTTAAAAGCGATTGTTGTTTTTCATATTAAATATTAGCTCAGAAATTATCTTTGCTGCTCAGTAGACACTGAACAAAAATGGAATTCACTTTTAATTTTTGTCTTTATGCTGAAACATACAACTGTTAATACTGACTCTCTTTTGTAGAGATGGCACAGATCCACATTCAGAGTTTCTTAAACAGGGTATATGTGACAGTGGTGGTGTAAACCACTAAAACAAGTTCAGTACCAAATTTTTGCAGGAGGCAGTTAGTATAGGAAAGTATCTTGCTTGTAAGAGCATTTACTATTCAAAACTAATTATGATAGTGTATGCATACCATCAGGAAGTTGGATCAATTGATCAATTAACATAGAGAGAGCTTTCATTTTAAAGAAAGTTTCTCTCTGGAAACTGAAATGTGTGGAACTCAGAGAGTTCAAAAATGCATACGGAAAATATTTACCAAAAATATATATGAAGCTTCAAAAAACTTCATATAACTCCGTCTCCTTTAGAAGTTTGCTTGGTTGACCTTAATGGTCTGAAATAAAGAATTTCTTTAGAATAGAGAGCAACCAGAAAGTAGTTCTGATGCTGGAGTTTAGCACACAGAAATCTAGGCAGAAAGTTATGTTTGGTTGCAACTTTGTGATAAGCAGTATTTGTTGTCAACATTTCTATTAACAAATTAGTAATTTCTAACGATATTATACACCTTTCCGTGTTGACTGTCAAAAATCTTCAAGTGATGCTTTTTGTTTTGTAACTTAAAATGCTTTACACTGTGATCTTCTTTTACAAAGACATTGACAGAACTAAAGCAGTTACTGATGAATGTTTCTGGTTTGTAAGACATTTTATATGGGAAGTTTTACCTTAAATATTGATTTAAAGCAGAGTGCATTATTTTACTTGCTTTGTTTTGTCTAAACATTCCATTGAGCAACACATAGATAAAGTAATTAACATGAGCCTTTCCTGACCAGTGTTGTAGCTGTTGTGATTAACAGAACACACATTATATGAGATGGAACTACTTTTTAGGTTTGATGAGACTTCAGCTGATCTTGAATTAGAGAGAATCTCTTGAGTTTTGGGGGTTTAGTTTGTTTTCTTGTTTGGTTAGTTGTTTTGGTTTTATTTTTTTTTTTTAGATTTGCTGATTAATCAAGCAAGTAGTAATATGGCTTTCTTGTTCCCTAATTTTTTGTTTGCTTATTTTTGGGGCTTTCTTCTGTATGATAGCACAACAGAACCCAACAGCCCAGCTACCGGGTAGACAGCAAGAGATTGAAATGAACAGACAACAGCGTTACTTCCGCATTCCCTTCATCCGCCCCGCGGACCAGTACAAAGACCCCCAGAATAAGAAGAAGGGTTGGTGGTATGCACATTTTGATGGGCCATGGATTGCTCGACAAATGGAACTTCATCCTGACAAGGCACCCATTCTCCTTGTAGCGGGTTGGTATTGAAAGCAAAATTCAAAACTTTGAAAAGGTTCAGAGTGGGTAAGTTACTTTAGAAAAAGAGAGTGAGGATACAAGTTTCCCAAGTTGAAACTTTTCAGAATACCATTTGGCCACATGTTCTACTTGTACACATGCTTCGATTTGGGAAGTCAGAGATAGAGTGGGAATTCCGATGTAAATGTTTTTATTAAGTGCCCTCTGATTATTCACTGAACTGGAGACACCATGAAGATAAAACATCACAATTTATCTGGGAAAGTTCTACTCATCATTGTATTGGTTTTTAGTTAGCTTTGAAAAATTACAACCAGTTTATATCAAAACAATTTGTGCATACGTTATATTGTCTTTCCATAATATGAAGCTAATAGCAAACTGATGCTTTTACCCTATTTATGCTGCCTAATGTGGGAGAATAGCTTTTTAATCTTAAATGTTTAAAATAAAAACTAAATATTGCAATGGATAGTAGAGGTTTGTCTGGTGGTGAAATATATCCAGCTTTTCTGGAGGATGATGAAAGGGGGGGAAAACACTGGAGAAATGCTGTTTATGGTTTTGTGTTTTGAGTTTTTGTATTTAACTTAGAGACCAAGGAAAAGTCTATAACCAATTTGTTTCTCTTCAGAGTTATACCTTACTACCAACAAAAGTTTGTTTCCTGCAAATTATTTTTAGTAGAATTTCTTACACCAACTGTTACTATTCAGTGTCAAAGCCCATAGCTAAAAGTAGCACTGCTGTCATGAGTACCACATTGAATGGATCACCTATTAAAAGTAAGATTATAATTTAGTGTTTGAGCTACACCCATCATTTTGTTGAATTCCCTATGTTAGTCCCATTTGGTAAATGCTGTTTGTTTTGCATAGGAGGCTGACAGATTAGTTGGTCAAAAGTCTGGAGTTCTTAGTTGCTTTGCTACATTTAAACAAATACTAACAGCAGTTTGCTGTGAAATGGCCTAAAACTTAAAGTATATGTAAAACAAATGCAATTGTCAGCCTGTAATGGATCTCAGGAGAATATATCAAGATGCTGATCTTTTCACTTCTTTCCTTTGTTCCTTTTTGCTCACTTTTTAAGCACAACTTTGTCAATTGCAACATGTGATACTAGTTTATTCTGATACCTCTGTGGTGCTCTGTGTGTTACAAAAAAACCAAACCAAAAAATATTTATCTGACAACTTATTTCCCCATAAACTGTGAAATCTGTTAACAAACCAGAGCTTCAGAGAGGGAATCTAATTAACAAAGATCTAATTTGTTTTATGGGACTTTTGAATGATCTAAAAATGTTTTATTTTTCCCTTTACCATTTCAGGTAAGGATGATATGGATATGTGTGAGCTTAATCTTGAAGAGACTGGGTTAACCCGAAAGCGAGGTGCTGAAATTTTGCCAAGACAGTTTGAAGAAATTTGGGAGCGCTGTGGAGGTATCCAATATCTTCAAAATGCAATTGCAAGCAGACAAGCTCGTCCTACGTACGCTACGGCGATGCTGCAGAACCTGTTGAAATAAATGGGCATTTTGCACAGTAGCATTCGATATGAGAACCCTTGCCTGTGATACAAAGGGAAGAGTTCCTCTGGGCAACAGAGGACGTAAACATTCTATAATCATATTAGAGATGTTTAATATAAAGTGAACAGATTTTATTAATCACATGGTTTGTTAATTTGTACTTTATGATGTTTGATTTGTGTAGTGAACTTTACTAGGCATGAGGACCTTGAAGAAACTTCAGTCAGTGTAGTTTGTTGCATTTTGTTTATATGTTTTATTTTCTTTAACAGTTTCTGTTAGAACTCTTAACACTTCTAAGCAATCTGTCTTTACTCGGGTACATATTAAAAAGAACTGCATTGCAACCACCTTTTTATAAAATGCCTGCTTCAAAACACTGAGTAGTTGGCTTCAAGTGGTCTAGTAAAGAGGAAATGCTATTTCTAATAACTGGAATTGTGAGGCCTTAGCTTTGACTTCTGTTACGGAGAAGTTGGAGTATACTTTTATATAATCTGAGACATTTTATGTCCTGAAATGCAAACTGGTTAGTGTCTGTATTTAGTAACCTTTCTTTTTTCAGAACCTGATGGGAAATCCTCTTAAACTTGAGACCCATAAATTCGTATTTAATTCATTCTCTGTCTTGGTTTAAGAGAAATGGTTTTCTGTACATTCTGAGAAGAGCATTCATATATGTCAATATAGTGTAATATTGGAGGTCCTCAAAGAATGTACTGGTCATTAGGGCTTATACCACTTCTTAGTTTCTTTCTCTTTTTTCTGTTTCAGAACAAATTTGCTTTAGACTTATTTTTCTGACCACATTTCCATTGGGAACTCTTGGACAGTTTGTTTAGCCAGGTAGTGTAATTTCAAAATATTATGCAAAATTGTCCAAGCCTTGTATCTGGAGGTATATAAGATAAAGGATAGGATAAGGGAAATACGTTCAGCTTTTTGATGTCAGTATAACTTCACTGAATATTGAGGCCTGAGTCTCAGACATTGTGTTTATTTTAATTGTAACAAGATATACAAGGTCTCTACCTTTTGTTAGAGTGTGTAAAACATTGATCTAATAACATAATGCATCATCCTAATACTATGTGCTAATTAAATAGCTACAATTTTTAGTGTACTGAAATATCATAGTGATTTGGACACTACTCTGAGCTTTGTCATAATCTCTTCTGTCAAGTTTCATAGCTTGTAACAGTTCCCTTATTAAGCAGTTTGTTTTGGGAGTTTTTGCGGGTGGGAATCGTTAATTTCATACAGTTTTAAGATGCATCTCTTTCACTTATGTGAACATTGTTTTACTATGCTGGCCATTATTTCCACAAATTAAACTTGACTATATATTATCTCTCTAATAGGAATTCAAAATATAAGTAGCTTGATGTCCAATTACTTATTTAACCTGATTCAAAAATGAAGTCTTGCTCTTTTAAGTGACAAATTTTTTTTACACTATAAAATAATTTCCTCACTCTTTACTCAGTTTGAAACCTCTTGGAAATGTTAGTATTTTAATGCATAAATATACTTAATAATTTTCAAGAGGTACAGTTCTGTAGCACAGAGAGAGCTCCTGATGCTGACCTTAGATCTTGGTTGTATGCCACAGTCTGCTTGTTGTTATAAATACACTCCTTACTGTAATACTTGTGGAGATATTCAATAGTAGTTAACTCTGTACGGACCCACTGCATCAGGGAATCTCAGCTTCTGCTGCATACCCACTCAGCCTCTTGCAAATGAGGAAATGTTTTAATTTTACCCAAATTCTTCACTAAAACCATAATTTGTCTGGAAGATAAATTGAGAGGTGCATCAGACTGCTGGCTAGCAAGTTGTGTGCAGACCTGTACAGTGTTGAATGAATTTAAAGGTGCAGCTTAGGAAATTTAGGTTACTGGTTTAATGTGTTACTGCATTGGAACCGAAGTTTCACAACTTCCAGTCTCTGGAAACTTAGTACTGCAGGAAGCTGTGCTTGCTCACATGATCCCAGAAGGAAAATCATTGAACTGACCTGTTTTTATTACTGTCTGGATTTAGCTGCTTGACTTAACACGTTCAGTCCCAGTGTGTGTGTGTATATATATATGTGTGTGTGTGTGTGTGTGTGTATATATATATATATAAAACCATGGATCTTATGAGACTGAACATAGTAAGCAAGGAACCTCATTACTTAAGTGTGTGTCTGTTTATACACATATATAAGCTTAAATATTTTAGTAAATATGTGTGTAAACATACCTGTGGGGAACTTAAAATGAATAAAATTAACTGAATTTTTCCAATCTGTACCTTTGATTATGCTAGGATTACCTTGACTGGCATCAGAAAGAAAATTTGTTCTTCAGAATGGGGTGTGTGGGAATTTTTGTTAGCTAAATGACTAAAAAATATGAGCTATTGGGAAAATAAAATGGACTTTAAAATGGTGGAAGAGGGTCTGGTGGTTGGACATTCTCAAGTGAGATATTCCCACCTCTCTGCAGTGCTCCAGAAGTATGACTGAGGCAAGCTGAAGATACATTCCAGAAATCGGGATATTCTAGTTTGTACAGTAGCAGGCTGCTGTTTTATTATTATTATTTTTCTTTCTTTGCACCAAAAGCAGCATCTGCTCTTAGTTTTACTGATCTTTCTGTGCAACAAAATTAATTTTCAGTTAGTTTCAGACTATTTTATTTTTTCTTACATGTCAAGCAATGTTCAGTTGCTTACAAATTATTTCTGTGATCCCATCTACTGTGTCAGATAATTATACAGTTGGTTGATTTGGAGAGGAAATAAAAAGAGGAGGGGAGAGGGAGTTCGACTGTAGTATGACCTAATGCCCTTCTGATCTGCGGTCATAGAGAAAAATTTAATTTGTTTTTTAAACCACATTGGCTGGTTCTCTCTGTGTTTGATTAAAAAAAAAATAAAAATTCTTTCTGCCTATCAGTGAACCTGTTTGTTATAGTTGAGATCTGCCTGAAACAGTCCACAAAACAAAGGAGAGGATGAGAATCACCACACTAGGCTACATTCCTGACTAGGTGACCCTGAAATATCCATTTTCTTGAGAATGCTACTTTGAAGATCATAAGGTCGTTAAATACTTATCTTTCATCCACTGAGAAGATTGTTTTTCTTAACTTAGTTTAATCCTTTGGGTTTTTCTCAAAAATCTTTATTTAAAGTATTTAAATGACCTCCTAATACTGTACTGAAAATTAAAAATAAAAAATAAACACATTCCATGTTGAAATCTCACTTGTATCTTCTTACCATTTTGTCTTTGAAGATTTAAAGCATAATAAATAAGGGTAAATTAAGTTATGAGAAGGGTAAAAGGATTTCTGTGCTGGAACTCCCTGCTGCTTTTCTATCAGATATTTTTGATGCTTACTTTTTAAAGTTTTACTCTAGTGAAGGTTTTGTCTTTACTTTCTAAGGTAAGTGTTTCTCCAAAATGACATTTTGATATTAAAAAATTCTGATCTTTTTACTTTTAAGTTTCATCCTTAATTTCTCAGTGTTTATTAAAACAAATATCTTTACTTTTATTACTATTTTTTTAACATTTATTGCTATCACTTCCCATGTATCTGTAATTTGCTATGCTGTGTACTCTTTGCATATTTTTCATTTTTCATGACAGTCAGTGACTAGTGCAACCAATTTTACTGCTTTGAGTTTGTATGCTGCAGGGGAAGCTTTATGTCTGAGATGGAGAAGTTTTGTGGGTTTTGCTTGTTTGTTTGTTTTCCCCTTAAAAAGAGTCTTAGAAAACTTTCTTGTCTTAAGGGCCAGATCAGAGTGGTAGTTTTTTAACATAAAAAGATTCAAGTAATTTGGGCTTTGTTATCTAGGAAATGTAATTTTGTTTCACTTTCCTTATGGCTTTTATCTCCAGCTGTAACTTTACATAAGTTTTAAGGTAACGTGATATGTTTTAGTTTGAGATTAAGTACCAGTTCAATTCCCAGTGAAATTTTCAAGTAAATAGTTTTATTATGTTTTATTGAAAAACAAAAGGCTTACATCCAGCAAATATATTTGGTAATTAATAATTGAGAGTGATAAATACAATCATGAATAATCATTATTAAAAGACACATTTTAAAACTACTTACTTTTTAATCTGGCTAGTGATAACTAGTATGACTTGAAATACACTAAACACATACAAAAATACATTTGTAATGGAAAAAAGATGGAATGCTATCAGCATTCTTAATGTATTCTTAGCTTACATGAGCAATAGTGAAAAGCTAACATTTGTTGGCAGGGATGACTTTCAGTGCCCTGCAAGAAATATTTTTAAAGTAGTTTTATTCTGAAGTGTTACTGGGTAAAACCACATCTTAGGTTTCTTCTTTATTTTTTTTTCTACTTAAACAAAGTAAGTAAAAATACTATTTCAGCTGTAGAAACTCAACCTTGTATTCTTGGTGCTTTGCCTTCATTCGTACACAGTTTCGGTGGTTTTGCAGGCAAATACGTGCAGTTAGTTGTTTGGAATTCGTAAACAGTTCTTCTGAGTGTACGTAATAAGGTAAAATAAAGTTCAGTCTTTGCTGTGGTAACTGCACGGTACGAAGAGAGAAGAATTGTTGCTGAAATCAGCTGCTGTCCCAAATACACAAAAGTTTCACCTCTGAACGAGGACCTGTCATCCAGAATAGTCATGAACTTTGTCAAAGCTCAGTTTGAGCTGTAAGTACGACTTCTGGTGTGCACCAAGCAGCAAACAGTGCCCGAATATTGTACAACACTGGTGCACGATATAAATATAGATATACTCAAGAAAAAGATGCTCAAGGTAAAATAATGCTCATACTTGAATCAGGATTGTGGATTCATAGTGCATAAATTAATAAGCCTACAAAATACTTAAAGGCTGCCTGATGTCTGCTTAGATTTGTTCTACAAAAACTAACAGTAACCTCTCAAAATTATTTGTGTGCAAACTGAGTTTAAAGTGTACACAATCATGTGGAATTCTAATCTACTTTTTACCAGGAGGTTGCTTGTGAATGTAAATATCTTGTTCTGAAAAGATGAAACTCCAGGTATTGTGCCTCAGCAAAAAGTTTGAAGTCTTAGGATAACCTGATAGTTTCACTGTCACCAGAAATTAAGCAGTTAAGTGTATATGTACATATGTATAAACAATGTTCATAGAAGCCCTTAAAAAAATTAATTCCAACTTGCGTGTGATTTGCAATGTGAGCATTGTAGGGAGAGAATGAAGAAGTTCCCGGATGGTTTTAATGTGTCCTTTGGTCAATGACAGTTCGTATTTCTGTTCACCACTTACATTAGTGTGTGTAAGGAAGGTTAATAAAAGGATATGGAAATATGGTGAAGTTCCATTGACAAATATTGAAAAATGTCACGTCTCAGCAAAATCTGTTTCTAGCACTCAGTTCTTAAATAAAACAGTTAAGACCTGTAAGCACTGGATGCTTAATGCATGCATCTTAACAATTATGACTTCCTACCAGGTAAATTTTAGACGCTGTATAATATCTATATCAACTTGGTCATGTTGCTTTTCTTCAGTAAAACAATTTTTTTAATGTGTCCTGATTTTAGAGCCAAAACATTATATCTTTAGGAATCCTTGAATTTTTTTCATGTGCATAACCATCCTGAAGTCCCACCTTAAATAATGCAGATCTTTTTTGAATACCTGTAAGAGAAAGTCTTGTAAGACATTTGAAAAACATTGTTTAATTTGAAAATGTACACTATGTATCTAGTGCTAATAGGGAAGGTCACACTAACACCTGTTGAGATAATGTCTAGTTCATTGTAAGGGCAATTGAGCCTGGAGAAGAGAAGGGTCCAGGGAGACCTTCTAGTGGCCTCCCAGTACCTGAAGGGGGCCTACAAGTAAGATAGACAGAACTTTTTACAAGGGCATGTAGTGACAGGACAAGGGAGGAATGGCTTCAGACTGAAAGAGATTAGGTTTAGATTAGATGTAAAGAAATTATTTCCTGTGAGGGTGGTGAGGCACTGGAAAAGATTGTCCAGAGAACTTGTGGATGCCCCATGCCTGGAAGTGTTAAAGATTGTTAGTTTTTGGACTATTTACTAATTGGGCTAAAACCCACCCAACCAAATCCCCCTCTGACAACTAAGCTTTGCAATAATTTTCCATGTAGTTATTCTGTAAATAAACTGGAGACATTTTTTATGTTTAGGAAGGAATTGAAGGTTATTTTAGCTTCTGCTGGAACTTTATGCCTATTTTCAAATATGCCTTCATAAATACAGAGCTGTACTTATTGTAGATAATATGACCTAAAAAGCTGTCACTGCTTTCATTGCGTATAGCAAAACAGAATTTAATTACTGGAATCCTCAATTTGGCCTATGAGTTCTAGAGATCCATGTCCTCCAGAAAATTCATATTCAAAAGTGCCATCTTCTGTTTCAAAAATTCTAATCTGAGAGGAGTTTTTAAGATTGTGATATCAAAGTTGTCCTCTTAGTTTCAGTTCATGAAAGCTATTCTTCATAAATTTTTTTCCCTCCATTGGCTTTTTTCAAATTATTAAAAATGTGTTGAACATAAGGGTGATGTAAACACTCATTGTGAATGTAAGTAACAGTGAAAAAGCCACCTAATTTTTTGAACCTATTTCAATTTTCTTGTTGCCTGACTTCCCACTAAATTAATTTATTTAACTAGATCTTGAGAAGAGCTTTGTCTGTATACTTTTTACAATTCAAATAGTCTCAATGACACAGGTCTGGTTTTCTTTCACAGATGTGCCATTTTATTACTTTAATAAAATATTTAGTGCTTTTCTATGCAGTAATTTTAAGTAGTTTAGGTAGTATGAAAGTTTAGTTGTCTCAATTACCGACAGGCACATTTCATTTAAGATAGGTGTAAAATACGAATTGCAAACTTCTGTGCTTGTGTTTTTTATAAGCAGTGAAACCAATTCATTCTTGAGCTTTTCCAAAGTGCTGCTCCCTGCTGCTTTGTCCATTTCTGTCTCTGCATTCCAGTCCCCCCATTTTCACCTCAGTCTATAATTGTGACCTGGAGTACTTGAAGAGACCAGACCTGGGTATGACGAAGATCAGTGAAAATACTCTTCCTACATGGTATCATTACTTGCTCCTTTATTTACATACCAGTAAACATGTAATGAGCCAAAGATTCATGTAGTCGGTATCCTGTCTCCCATAGTGTTCAGGTAATGCCAGGGCAGTTCAGGGAATGCCAGGGCAGTCCTGTACTGATATTCCCCACAATAACAATGGGTACTAACAGCTATAGCAAAACCTTTTGGTTCCTAACTGGACTGGGATTCAGAAAAATGAAAACAGCTAAGTGAAGGCTTTTTTCCTACCTCTCAAGAGGGCATACTCAGATACGTCAGAAGTAAGAAACAATCTGGCAATTTTAGAGAAATTTTTCACTCAGTTTTTCTCATTTTTGTCAATTTCCCCCCCCCACAAAGATACAAGAAGTTTGAACTTGAAATAATATTTGAGATATGAGCAGTATGCTGCTCAAATTAGAATTCCTACTCATTCAAACTCTATGTAGCTTAACCTAGCTCAAGTTTTTATATAATCTTTAATTTTTAAAGTTTTTATATTGCTTTTTAAACCTCCCGTTTGATTTGCATTTTGTGTTACTTTGTCATTTAGATATTCCTTCTTCCTTCATGTGTTCCAGTGACTGCCACATTAGCACATGGTTATACAGAATATAACTTTGTTGCATAAAAACACTTAAGAAGAAATTGTTGTTGTCAAGTATCCAAAAAATCTGAGTTTTTCTTTGTACAGAATTACTACAAAGAGGCTTCCTGGTAATATTGACAAATGGGAAACAACAAATTTTTAAAGTTCCACAAACCTTGGTTTTGTCTGGCTGATGCTGGAAACGAAGAATTTCAAGGACTAACTTGTCAATCTTGGCTTTGTAAACTGGCCTGGTGACCTAAAAGAGTAAGAAAAAAACAAAATGTCAAACCACTAATTATTTCACTAAATCACAAAAAGCACTCAGATAGGATGGACCACCAGAACCATGCAAGAGAGCTGTAAGAAAAGCAGTTCTGTAGTCCTGTTATGAAACCTACACAGCAGTAAATGTGGAAAGCAATGAATGCGTTAGTATTTTCAGTTCTGAAGTTGCCAAGCGAGAGAATAGGTTCAAGTTTGATTTAGTTGTGGAGTTAATGCTTGAAGATGGACCTGTTATTTCAGGTGGGGCTGTTTGCTGAGGGGTAAGGGAAGGATTTTCATGCATTTTACCTCCAGGCTGAATTGTGTTTTCAAGTTCGTGTAATGCTTCGTGGTCAGTGATCTCTGAGGAACCGAGACAAGCACTTACACTGCAAGCCATGTGACAAAAGCTAGATATGGGTTCATCGTGTTCAAAAGCAGGATTAATCCTTACAGCATTTTCTGAATTGCAGCTGCTGAGAGTAGGCCTTCTACAATGCAGAACATTTTTGTTTAGGTAAGATTTTAAATTGCAAAAGAAACAAAAGGAATATTTTGAAATTTGAAGAAAGATTGTGAGCAGCTTACTGCAAATTAGAGTTTCTTTTGCATTTTCTTCTTAACTTAATAATTAAAATGATGAAAAGAAAAGCAAGGCTTAGTAAGCCAAGAATGAGAGGTGTAAAAATGAAGGGTTGTGTGGGTTCTGGAGCAAATTTGGCACAGCGCTGTCCTTGGTAAAGCTGGTGTCTACGTACAGGGCATCTAAAATAAGGAGAGGAAGACAAAAAATGAAAACAAAATCTGCAATTAATTATGAGCACATTATTTCCACTACAATTAGTTGCTATGTGTCTTCATGAAAATAATGTGATTGATAATAAGGGAAAGATAATATTCTTACATTCATGAGAGTGAGTGTTAAAAAGACACTGATATCTTCTTTGTCAACCTACAAATTTTAGGGAAATTGTGCATTTTAAACATCTCTGACAAGTTTCTAACCCCACAGGTGAAATTGAAATAATATTTGAGGTTTAGAACCTGAGAATGGCAAATGTGTTTTAAGGTAATGTCTGAACGTATCTTTGAAGCCTATATTCTGTGTACTGGTGATTTCACTCTGAGTAGCAAGGCCTGGCATAAAAATAGACGGGACACTACTCCTCATGATAGGACAAGAGGAAATGGCCTCAAGCTGAATCAGGGGAAGTTCAGGTTGGACATCAGGAAAAATGCCTTCACTGAAAGGGTTGTCAAGCTTTGGAATGAACTGTGCAAGGAAGTGGTTAAGTCACCATCTCCGGAAGTGTTCAAGAAACATCTGGGCATGGCACTCACTGCTATGGTTTAGTTGACACAGTAGTGTTCAGTCAAAGGTTGGACTTTATGATCTTAGGGGTTTTTTCCAACCTTAATGAATCTATGATTCTATAAATAGCTCCCTTTAAAGCAAGGGAAGATTGCCATACTTCATGTGAGAACACAGGGTTTCCAGTTAGTGGAAAAACTAAGATGGTGCTGAGTGAATTCACCTGCAAAACAAGGGCAAATAGTAGGCCATAATTTTCTCTCTCACTGTACAAGTTTGCACAAGCTGTCAGGATGAGACTGGGGGTAAGTTTGTAACTCGCTATAATTCACTAAAATTTTCGCTCATTATTTTTAATCCTTTTGTAATTCCACATGATGGTTTAGTTATTACTGTACATCAAGTCAGGGCTTTTCTAAAAGGAAAAAGTTTTATTTTCCTTAGTGCATCAGTCTTGGAGGAGTAGGCTATACCCCTTGCTACCTCAGTAAAGTTTGAAGAGGACCTTTGTAGCTCACAAGCTGATTCCTAGTACAAAATACTTCAGCTACCCTAGTGTGACTGCAAGTCAGGAATTTGGCAGTAACTGTGGTGAATTCAATATAATCTTGTATTAATCTTTCTGTGATGGCCACTGAAGGAAATGGATTATGGCAGTATTGTTGTTACAGTCAAATTATCGTATGAATAATTTGCTCAGTGGTCTTATTTTTTTGACATTAATCCTAACTAAGCTAGAAGACCTATCACTGACCTAGTCAAGTCAATATTGAGAGAGAATAAACAAATGCAAGAATTTTAACTTGTTTTATACTGATACATGTGGCTGGTCAGCTACTGTGTGCCCATTGAATATACAGTTTCACATAATGCTCTGGATTGTCTAGTCTTAAAGTGCGAAGAAACTTGATCCTTTGAAACAGAATTAATATGTTCAAGTACTGTGTAGTTCTCAATATTGACTTAAGGTAATTTTGTGTGAAAATTCTTACGGAATATATTTGCAGTTAGGAGGAGCTGCTAATCTTCAAGTCTTTCCCAGAAAGCCCTGATAGCAGCCTCAGCCCTAATGTCCTTTATTGGGTGGTCTGGAATCAGAGTAGTCCTCATTGGTGTGTCTATATGAATATAGATTTTAATACATCTTAGGAAAATGTAATTTCTTAAAATACTACTATATAATCAGTAGCCAAACCATGAATGCGCTACTGCATTTTTGCCATATGTGTTTGGAAATCTGAAAAGAATGCATGGCTTTGTGTGTGTCATCTCTGCCAATGATGCTGAATTTCTAATAAATTTCTAAAAAGTAACTTTTCTAAAAAGTAACTAGGTCATGGTGTTCTGTTCGTCCTAACAGGCTGAAATGGATTTAGCTGTGGTGAGGCTATTTAGAAAGGTATTGCAGTGTAACTTTAGGTATCTGAATGTTGAGATTTTGGCTTATTAGCCTAGTTTATGCTGTTGAAAAGTATATACTCAGCCCTACTTGATCACGTGATAGACATTATCAGGAGGATGTTAAGAGAATTCACGTTGATCACCATCTCTTTACCTGCAGACAGCTCCTCTTCCTGGAACTAGCTCACATTTCCCACCATTGACACAAAGATGCGGTTCCAGCTCGCACAGGCTCCGGCAGGGCAATCCATCTTGGCTGGCATAACCAGGTTTACAAAGGCAGTCAGCTTCCTTTGTCCACTCGTTCATTATGCATTCAGAAAACTTGTCACATGCCATGAATTTGCATGGGTCTGCCTGATCAGCTGTAAAGGATGGGTAAATTATTAATTGAAGCATTACCACAAAGTGACTTGGCAGGCTTTGTGGCAGCTAGAGAAAACAATTCCCATTTACTGGCCTTGACACTTGGGCATGTTAATAGGAGGATGGAGTCTAGCATAAAAGGACACACATCCTTCTTCCTGTAGATGACACAACAAGCATGCAAATTTATATCAACTTCTGCATTTATTTACCCCATCACTGTTAAGCTGTCATTTTCATGTCACTGACAAGGATTTTCACATTTGGATATTTTTATTCTGTTCTTACTGTAAGTGCTAGTTTTATACTCATGGCTGCCATGCTATAGCCTTGCTTATGTGTGAGAAATAGTTTCAGCTGTAATGATCCTCAACACATAATTTAGGACAAGATAGAGGGAGGGAATTAGGTTTTGAATATTACACAGTACTATGATCTGCAACCCAGAAATATTGTCATGGTTTAAAGAAAATATGTGCTTGCAGGCCTTGCTCTTTTTTTGTTTTGTTTTTTAAATATTAGTAAGGGATGCCTCTTTGAGATTAAGTGAAAAGGAGCCTACTGATGTTCACAGGAAGGCCTAAATCAGAGACAGCTTAAAGTCCTAACTCCAGCTGTCACACAAATCTATTTTTCCTTCTTACTAGAATTGCAAAAAAAAAAAAAAAAAGACCCAGAAGGAGTAATTTTAACCCAATACTCAGCTTGTGCTGATGGGGTGATGAAGATGAGGGCTGCATCCACCAATCTTGTCTCCTGGAACCTGTTTCCTGCATACTATGGGATAAAACCCTTAGAAGGCAAAAGATGAGAAGCAGACCAGATGATACAAATTTGTACTTGCCACCAAAGAGTTTAATAAGATATGTGAATCCAGAAAGGAAAAAAAAGATGTAGAAAACTGGGCAAGGAGAATGCAGAGAAGGAAGTGAGAGGAGATATACAGGTATGAGCTGGGCTACGTGACCCTTAATACTTATGTATTTTAAAAAGATTTGTACTGGATATTGCAGCTACTACTTGTAGGTACTAACTGGGCTGAAAATTTTCTTCTGCAGCCACTTCATGCCCTGTACTAGATGCTCAGTGATAATAATTTTAATGAAAAATGAGCATTGAATATTTTGTAGCAGTACTGGAAATCTCAGACACACACTGGAATATTCTTCAGTGGTAGAAATGAATCCATCAGAGCTGTTCACTTTTAACCTCTCTGTAATTCTATGGCTAGTTCCTGTTTTGCATTTTAGACTAGTGAGTTCTAGCATGTGCAATTTCCCCTTGCTATGTACAATGCTCATGTCGATTTGATATGTACTTTGCTCCTGGACTGTAAGTGTGTGTACATGTAAACTCTTAAGAACAAGCAGAGCTTGGCATGAGCACTTTGCTGGGTTAGAGGGTTATTTTTTTGTCATAACATTTCATTTTCCTTAATACATACCTGTCATGCTGTGTTATGCTTTCTGTTTTCACTTTGTTTACATTACAGAAATAATGCATGCAGGTATTTTTAAAAGTCCTTCTTTATGGTATTATTTATGACCAATGTAGTCATCCTTTTGCAGCTCCTGAATCTTGATCTATGTTTTGGACAGTTCCCATCAGCGTTTCAATTTGATAGAACATTGTTACCACTAGATGGCTCTCCCTTTCAAAATAAATACGAATTTGCTTACATTACCTCAGTTTACTAAACAGGTTGGGGGGGGGGGTTGTTTATTTGTTTGTTTTCTGAAATAAAAACAGAGGGCTTTGAAATACCTGTATGGGAATATACTGGTTTTCTAAACACAGATTCTTCTATTTTGACATTTTACTACTGCTCATAAGCCTAGAAAGAACAGCTGTCTCAGCAAACTCATTATAATACTGTTTGTTTGAAATACCACATCAGTAAAGCAGCCAATATGGATGAAGATGAAAGATTTTTAAATTTTTATGTGTTTGCATTTTAGCAACTTTCTCATTTTAATTTTTATTTAATGAAAATTTACTACTAAAGCAGGGAACGTGTGGTAGCCCAAAGTTAACTTTTTATCATTAGTTAATAATTTCTTCATCAAAACATCAGTTTATCGTGACAGTATCTGAAGGTTTGAATACTGTGATTTCGTTAACTTTCTTTACCACAAACTATCTATGCTTTTAGTGGCCACAAGGACATCTGTATAATGAAAATTGGTTAGAAACTGCCTGCATGAATTGTAAATAGACTTTTGTTTTGGAATTGTCAGAGTTCTGTACATAAAAGGACAGCTTAACCAAAATGTCTAAAGGCATCTGCATACTCAGATGTTGATATAATTTTTCTCCATGACAATGAAATCAAATTCAGTCCTGAAATTGTTACCAGAACCTGAAGATAGATTCAGGCTTCAATTTTTATAAAACAATATAGATTTTGAAAACATTAAGCTTCTGACATAACAATAGTGTCCAGATGTGTGGTTACTGACTTTCTACTACAGACTTATTTGAAAGCTATTAATTCAAGAGGGATTGTGGAATTACAAATCTATGGAGTGCTACATGTAGTCATGCTCTGATTAGTATCTGTAGAATCCAGTTACTTCTAGAAATTATCTCCTCCTGCCGTGAACTCTGTAGCCCTTTAAAAAAGTTTTAATGACACTCTAAACTATGGTTTGCTTTCAGTTTTGCAATAATCATCAGAAATTATGTTTACATACTCAGGTGCAAGATTTGCATGTCACGCCTGTAAAATGCACATGAGCATTTCTTATACCTGTCTTCACCCAGCCCTTACTCTAGAGAGTCACTATATTTGGCTCTGAAAACCAGTTGGTGAACAGGCACAGACCAACAGCTCCACCCAGCTTTTCATTCTAATATGAAAATATGTCTGCAGATAATTTGCAACATCTTGGTTTTTCTTATTATTCCAGATCACTGGGAGGCTATTGCTAATATGGTTATTTCCAAAACAGTCATACTTCTGGAGCTGTAACAATCTGAGAAAGATTATTTGCTTGGTTCTGACTTTGCACATACATTAGTAATGCAATCTTACCTGGCTCAATATCCAAGGAATAGCTGTCAATCTCCAAATTGAGGTGTTGGGCTGCAGCATCACAGAAGTCTTCCAAAACACAGTGTACTGCTTCTGTGATATTGTATGGCACTGTCCTGGCAAATTTCATTTTGCTGTTCACAATCACACTTCCATTCCTGAAGTTAAGTATTTCCAAGTGCTTAAAACCTGTAAGGTTGGACTGAAGGTATGGAAGTAGCTGCAAAACAGAAATTTGCCTTTATTTTAACTTCCTGTCAGTGTCTTCCTGCTGTTAATTTCTCTTATAGTCACTTTTCATTATCAAGTACAAACATCACACACTCATTTCACTGAATTTAATGCAATTGTTAAACTCCATGAACAAATTAACTTTTCCATTTAGCACTATCTTCTTCTGGACTTCTGCATCTTTCTCAATAATAGATTGAGATAGATGGGCAGCAATTTCCCCTGTAATGAAATGCATAGCAGCTGGGGAGTTTATTCATCTGGAAGAGAAAAAATTACCTCACTCTAAAGCCAACTTTAATTATTTTCAAACATTGAATCCAGGCAGGTTGGGGCATAGCATAATAGGCATGTTACTGAGCTGACCTGCTGCCCTGTTGTACCCATAGAGAAAATCCATATCTAATCACAGTCCCCCTGCTAAGCTGTGATATATTTTTAAAGGCCTATTTTAAAATCCAGCAAGCAGACACAAGCCTTAGATGTAATCAGCACTGCTATACTGTTGAAGTGAATGTAAGAAAAAGCCAAATAAATTACATGCCAGGCATATGTCTGAAGTCTCTTGAACAAGTAAAAACTTTCATCACTGGTTTCATAAATTCTGTCTCCATACTGTGTGAGGTTTATGGATCCTTTAAAAATGCAGCTTATCAGACTGACTGTAGTAGGGTCTGATATTGTTAAAATACTGTGCAATTTGATGTATTCCTTTCAACTGTACCCAACTGCCATATATGTTGTTCAAGTTGATTTTCACCCACCAATTGCATGAACTGTTGTTCTAGTGCTTTGTATTCTGTCGAACTCCTATTGAAGAGGTCATCAGAAAAGTGCATGTTGGTTACCCTCAGGCTGAAGAAAACCACTAGCTCTTTGCCTTTGCCTGCAGTTGTCATGGAGCTGGTAGTTACATACTTCAGCGTAGGAGCTGGGGTGGTTTCTGCAGGCTTAGTTGTCAGCACTGGGATATAACCGCTGCCGTGCTCCCCTTCATCCAGAGCTGCTGTGCTCAGCCCACCGATGTGATCCAACTCAGCAGCGATATCCTGCACTCCCATTCCTGTGCCATCGGGAGGAGCGCTCTCAGGGGTAGGCGCTGAGGAATCTGGTAATTCGAGGGACTGTTCGATGATCTCAGAGAGGCTGTAGGATGGGCTGGTTGCTGCAGGCAGTGGTGCTATTTGGTCTGATGAAAGCACATCTGTAATAACACCTTCAGGCTGCATGGTAGAGAGATCACTTGAACCAATAAAGAAAGGCAACGTTTCATAAGTGCTGACTGTAACAAAAACATCATCGCCTGATGATTCTGGTTCTTCCATGATCTTAACTGCTGCAGAAAAACAGGGTAAAAACAAACAGCCATGTTGAAAAGCAAGCATAAAAAACATTGAGCATGGAAAAAAAATGTATATAGTATTTTCACAGAAACATTTTTAAAAACAAGCTTTAATACTATCTAAACATGAAAATGTTCCATCACCCAGGAAGGAGATACTGGAATAAAAGACCTCATGCACATGTTTGAGTGATGAGATTTCTGGGGCTTCTGTGTTTATTACACTTGGTAAGTATTTCCTGAGCCTCTAAAGCACATTCTTGTTCTGAAGGCACATAATCACACTGTCAGTTTATATTGTCTGAAAGAGTAGATCACAGCTTTGCACTGTCTGCTCGGATCACTTGGATGCTGGAGTCATTCTGTTCCCCTCTGCGAGAAGTTAAAGCTATTATTTGCCAGTAATCATAAATTGTGGTTACAAAAAATAGTACAGCCCCTTCAGATGCAAGCTGCATTGCTTTACCCAACAGCACCACTGAAAACAATTAAAAACTTAAGAAATCATCTGGTGCACCTGAAGTAGAAATTTTAGGAGGTCCCCATCAGGGCTTGGCATGGATCTAGGATATGTGATAGCTGTAGCTGAAATCCAAATCTAAAGTATCATAAATGTGATTCTGAATTTGGGTTGCCTGGACACATGACTTCACAGAAAATGATGGCCTCCAAGCAACATATATCTACCCAAGGTGATGACTTTGTCCTTTTCCAGGGAGATGCCACTCTCCACATGGAAGTTTTAGCAGCTCCTTACAGGCAAAATCACTTATCAGCTGTTAGGAAAGAAGTTTTTCTCCAGTTGACGAACTCTTCGATTCCCTACACACTTAATTTCCTCCCAATTGCCAATAAAAATATGAAAGGAGAGCAAATTTTTGCATTGGGAATATCCTTCACTGAAGGAGGTGGCAACTGTCCTGGCCATGGCAAAGGAGTTGCCCATGGATGTTCTTTGTACCCTTGTTTCCTTACTTCTAAATTAACTCCCTGATATTTCATTAAGGACTTGAGGTGCTTTTCTCTTGCGATATCCACATGCTTCTTGTGTGATCACAGATACAGACAGATTAGAAAAGCAAAGCCTAGTGATGTTCTCTGTTTACAAAGCTCTTGCTATTACTTGTTACGCCGATAAGGAGTGAGAGTCACTTATCAGTTAAGAGACCTCAGAACAGCTTTCTTAGCATTAGTGCATGAGGCATTAATGCAGGATGATCTACTGATGGGATGAGCCTGCAGCTCCACAGACCAACCTTCTCTGAGCATGAAGGCATACACTTGAGGACATGATTGTGATGGCATTTGTTAGGCAGATTATATTTTAGAAAGATAACAGCAGGAGAAAGAAGTACCAAAATTGCTTTAAAATTGCAGCAGGTTTGAAGCAGAATAACCATATATATATATGTTGCATATTTGGCATACAGCTGTATGTATATATACATACATATGGTCTATACATAAACTAGGTCTTCTGGCATCCTCTTATTACAAGCAAAGTAACTTAAAAGGCCTTGAGGGCATACCAAGATGATCTCTGCGCATGTATCACCTGTTTTCCTAAGCTGCCAATTCTTATCAGTCACTGTGTCTCCAGCTGAGAGAGATAGATGGTGACTGACCACAGAGGTCATGTTAGCCCCTTGCAATGGGAAAATAAATGGGCTCACCTAAAAGGCTGCTGAGCACTTACTGTAGCACAGCACCAGTCCCAAACCCAGGGACAACTGACTTGTTCTGTTGGATGTACTTTGTCTAACTGGTGTCACGTTACTGCTGCGACTTGCCTACGCAAGCGATATGTTGAAATCAGCAGTAAAATGACTTGCAACTGGTTTTACTAAGCTTTTCATCCATCTACATGAGATTTTGATAAAATTCAATCCTAAGAAGTTAAAAACTATGGGCGAAACAAAGAAGACCTAGACATTTCATAGAATCATAGCTTGGTTTGAGTTGGAAGGGATCTTAAAGATGACCTAGTTTTGATGGGACAACTTCCACTACACCAGCTTGCTCAGAACACCATCCAACCTGGTCTTGATCAGTCCCAGAGATGGAGCATCTACAGCTTCTCTGGGCAACGTGTTCTTGTGCCTCACCACCCTCACAGTAAAGGATTTCTTCCTAATATTTAATCTAAATCTAAACCCCTTCAGTTTAAGACATTCTCCCTTGTCTTATCACTACATGCCCTTGTAAAAGATCCCTCTCCAACTTTCTTGTAGGCCCCCTTTATGTATAGGAAGGCTGCTGTATGGTCTCTCTGGAGCCTTCTCTTCTCTAGGCTGAACAACCCCAACTCTCTCAGCCTGTCTTCATAAGAGAGATGCTCCTGCCCTCTGAGTATCCTCACAGCCCTCCTCTGGACCTGTTCCAGCAGGTCCACATCCTTCTTATATTGGGGAGGCCCAGAGCTGAATGCAGAACTCCAGGGGGAGTGTCACAAGAGCAGAATTCAGGGGAGAATCACCTCCCTTGATGTGCTGGTCACTTAAAAAAAAAACCAACAACAAAAAAACCTCTTTGCATTTTAAATGTTGCTTTTAAATATAACATCAATATATATATTTGTTTTCAGACTATATATAAGGAAGACATTTTTTTATGATGAAGGTGGTGAAACACTGGAACACATTGCCTAGAGAAGTGGTGGATGCCGCATTCCTGGAAACACTGAAGGTCAGGTTGGACAAGGCTCTGAGCAACCTATCTAGTTGAAGATGTCCCAAATAAAAACCACAACTCTAACTCTCAGCCACCACTTATCCTCCCACAAAGATGTTCACTGAACTCTGTAGATAATTTTTTGTATTACATGAACAAGGCAGGACAGTATTGTACTGAGAGTTTTATATCTAAAATTAAACTGCTGTTGGCAAAGATATGTAAACACTAAATTAAGAGACCATTTCCTGGGCCCATGCTATATTAAATCTTTGTAAAAGGAGTGCAGCATGCAGACATTTATTCCCTGCTGAGGGAATAAAATACATAGTTTTGACTTACCAGAAAAAAATCAATGGCCATTTCAACAACTTTATTTTAGGTATCTAATTAGTTGGTCCTCATTTTTTTTAAAATGAGGTAAACACTTCTAATTGACCATGAATAAGGAGTTATTGTTTGGGAAAGGTCAAATTGTCATGAGACGTTTTTCTAGAGGGTTTGCATTAATAAGCAGGCCCAGAAGCCTGCACATTAAGAGGTCCTGGCATTTCTTTTCATTCATGAGCTTAATAAGCACTGACATTTCCTATTGGCAGTAGACAAATTTTCCAAGTCCACTGACGGGTATTGTGTATATGTTCTGTATATGAAAGTTACAGTATTACAATGTATATGTATCTATTTGTATACTTGCTGGCTGACGAAAATAATAATGAAGGAAAGAGTGTGCAGTTAAGAGATTGGTCCATAATGTGGAGTAAGGATCACCTTATGTGCAGCTCTGCTGATATCAATATGAGATGGATAAACAGCAAGTAGCTGCATTCAAATTTACATATTTTGTTGATGCCTGAAATGCCACCAGATCCCTGGGTACAGGACGGTTGTGTACAAAGTGCTGAATTTATATTTAAGGCTTTTAGTTTTTAACTAGGGCACAAGTAAGATGAGGATTAGGAGAATTAGGAGAAGAAGATCATTAACCTAATGGGTCACAACAAGTGTCTCGCAGTACATAATTACTGATTATGTTTCTTTTTAATTGTAAATGCAAGCCAGAAGATCCAGAATGATCTACGGCTGTCATTCTGACTGTCTGTATGAATTCTTCAGAAGCCAGGTTCAATGTCCAGTGAAACCAACAGAACTTCTTCTCCACTGACTCCAGTGAACCTCAGTTCACTGGGAGTGAACCCCATCTCTTCTCCATCTTCAGTCCTAAAAAATCTTGTCTCTCTTAACCCTTTTTCCTTAGTACCCACACTGAAACTTTTTGTGTAGTCTAACTTTTTACAGAGCAGTCTAAGAGCTGCATCTCTAGCTCCACTACTATATAGTACTCTGTGTAACTTCCAGGAGAAGCCTTCAGTTTATTCTGAAAATGTTCATACCTCTCACCTCTCTTCATTATCAATATTCTTGGCACCGAAGATGCAAATAAATGCCATTCTCACATGATGTCACAAGAGGAGTATTTTCTATCCTAATAAAATACTACTTAGTAATGATAATCTTCTCTCCTTATTCTCAGAGCCATTCAGTCCTACCTGACACTCTGAAAACTTTGAGGGTAACATAAAATTTGCAAAATCAAAACCTGAAAAGATAAAACACTTCAGAATTCAGGGCATTGACCAACTATAGCTTACTAATCTTGTCTATGTTCATTATGAATTAATCTTTAAAGGGTGCTACTTTAGCTGTGCTCCACACACTGACATCAAGGCCAACCTTCTATTTGGTACCAACTGGACAACCCTGTTTTACTGACTTTCCTGCTTAACTGAGTAATTTGTCCAGGGCAACAGACTCTATGTTTGATTTGGGATGTTTGCTCACAAAGGGAGTTATAACATGGCTCTCATTTCTCTTTGAGATCTTTACCATGATTTCTTTTTTGGGGGGTCAGTAGTATTGCTTACTTCTGCAATCACTGAAGAAATAAAAACTAAAGAACTCTTCACTTGTTTCTCAAAGATGCATAAAGATTTAGAGCAAACCATTAAGAACTAAGTCAAGCCCTGACTACTTTTACTGCTCTGCAACTTTTCCCTCGTTGCAGTGAATTCTCTCTGAGAGCAGCAGAATGATGCAGTTCACAACAATCTGACTGTCCATAAACTTTTCACTAATTCAAGTTAACTGGTCTTACTCAACTCACACAATGTTTTCAGTACAGAGAAGGAATTCCCTTTACGGAATATCCGAGGGTTAATATTTTGATTGATCCATCTCTCCTTGGGAAATGGAAGCTCCCTTAACCACATCTGCTTTTAGCAATTTCATGTTTGGTCACTGTACCTGTAAGAGCCCTCTGAAAT